TTATTATTATTATTATTATTATTATTATTATTATTATTATTATTATTCATTAAACATGAAACTCAGTCAACTGAACATTCAAAAATGCATCACAAATACCATTGACTGGTGCTAATGGTTGATACGGGTTGCTGCCAGCGTCCTAGGGATCAACCAAGTACCTTCTTAAGATGTACAATGTTCCTGAATAGCGCAGTTTTTTGCAGTTCCGCTGGTGTTATTGCAGGAAGCTGCAATTTGTTGATGTATCTTATAAAATTCTTAGACATGGTACCAAGTGCCCCGATGACAATGGGTATCACTGTGACATGTTTCATCCATAGCCCGTGTAGATGAAACCTGTAACAGTGATACCCATTGTCATTATTATTATTATTATTATTATTATTATTATTATTATTATTAATTTCCTGTTCTTCCAAATGGAGTTTGCTCGAGCAGTTATGACTTTCCACCAGGTATAACTGGGGAAGCAATGCATCCAGTTGCAGCAGCCCCTCGAAGCCCGGCTACCGATTTCACCGCCAGCCCACGGAGGCTTCCGAAAGGCAGTTAACATGAGTCAAGGCAAAGGCGTCCGGCGTCCCCTGGAAGGAAGGGAAGAAAAAGAAAAGCGCGGGCGACCCCGACGGGCAAAACCCAGGAGAGCCTGGAGGCGGAGACCAAAGCCTTCCCCACCCCGTTTCCTCAGTCCCTTCCCGGCTGGGGAAGAAAAGGGCGGCGGACCCGCCTCTCTCCATCCTCGCCGCAAGGAGGGAAGGAAGGGGTAGCCGCTTTCCCACTCCGCTTCCGCTCTTCGTCACGTGAGAGGCCCCCAGCTACGGAAGCCGACGAGGCTCAAACCCGAAGGGGTTCGATTTCGCCCCCCTTCCTCCCTCCCGGCATCTAGATTACGCCGAGGGAAAAGAAGGCGAGAAAGCGCAGCTACGGGTGCCGGCGAGGCCCTCGGGGTCTCTCTCTCTCTCTCTTTCTTCCCCCCCCCACCTTCTCCCGCCGAGCGAGAACGCGGCCGCCCCGCCTCCTCTCGGCATCCAAGAGGCAACCCGGCCGCCCCCCCTCCCCCCCTCGCGAGCGCGGCTCGGCGCGCCATGGCCGGCCGCTCGAGGGACCCGCCGCTTCAGCAGCCGCCCGGCGACACAATCACTTCCGGTAGGGCAGAGGGCAGAGGGGAAGTGGGTGCCAGGGAGCGGGGTGAGGCGAGTGGGGGGGGGAGGAAACCCCGGGCGGGCCGGAGGGGGAGGGGCGGGGGAAAAAAAAGGGAAGGCGCGGCAAACCGGTTCCTCGTCGGCTTCTCTTTCCCCCCCCTCCCTTCCCCCTCTTCCCGAGTGCGTCGCGAGCGTTGGCGGCGTCGCCGTCTTTCCCCTGCCTGCCGGTGGCGGCGGCGGCGCTTCCGGTCGGGCCGCCTCCCGGCATGCCGCGCGGCCGGAAGTGCCGCCATCTTTAGGCCCCTTGCCTTTATTTTTACCTTTTTTTTTTCCCTCCCTTGCTTCCTTTCCCCTTCTCCTAGTACTGACAATAACAAGCGGAGCTCCTCGCCCGGCGGCCCTCCTTCCCCCTCTGCGGGCCGCGAAAGAGGCGGGGAAGGGGGAAGCGGAGCCTACGACCTCCCTGCTCCCGGAGGCCGGCCGTGAGAGACAGAGAGAGAGAGAGAGAAGGGGGGCGGCCCCCGGGCGGGAGAGACCGAGAGGACCCTCTCTCCCCCCCGCTCCCCCCTCTGCCCGTTTGAGGAAAAGGGGGGCAGAGTTAGCGGGGTAGGGAAAAGAAGGCGACTAGGCCCGTCGACACAAGCCAGCGCCAGAGGGGAAACTTCCCCGCCTCCCCGAAAGGCGAAGGGGAGAGACGGCCGGTGGGCTTCTCTCCCAGAAGAGGAGGAGATAAAAAAGGGGGGCGAGGAAGAGGAGGAGGAGAAGGCCTCGCCCGTCGTCGTCCCTTTGGGCTTCATCCCCCCCTCCCCCCCACCTCCAGCCAGCGGCGACCTTCCGTGACACCAAGCTCTGCTCCCGCCCCTCTCTGCGTGCCTGTCACACCAGGAGGATTTGATGCCCTTCAGCCTGCTCACCTCTGTGGTGTTCATGTTTCCCACAGGTTTCTCTTCCCCCAACCCCCCAGCAGCAGCAGCGGCGGCGGCGGCTCAGGAGGTCAGATCTGCCACGGATGGTAGCAGCAGCAGCAGCTCTTCCTCCTCCACCACCACCAAGAAGAGAAAGCTGAACAGCAATAGCAACAGCGGCGAAAGAGAAGACGTCGTCGACTCCATCTCCTCCTGTGCCTCCCTCCTGTCGCGCAACAGCGGCTCCTCCTTGCCCGCTCTCATTATCACCGCCTCCACGGCCTCCTGTTCTTCCTCCTCCTCCTCTTCCTCAGGGCTCGCTTCTTCTTCCAACCACCACCTGCAGAAGAAGCTGCGTTTCGAGGACTCCTTGGATTTTATCGGACTGGATGTAAAGATGGCCGAGGAGTCGTCCTCTTCGTCGTCGTCCTCGTCGCCGGCTGCGTCTTCGCAGCAGCACCAGCAGCTCAAAAACAAAAGCCTCTTAATCTCCTCAGTAGCGGTGGGACACCATGCCAACGGCCTGACCAAAGCTGCCTCCTCCACTGTCTCCAGTTTTGCAAACAGTAAACCTGGGTCAGCCAAGAAGTTAGTGATCAAGAACTTTAAAGGTAAAACCGGCTGCTGTCACACATAATCTCTTTAACGTCTAATATCTGGAGGGGAAACCGCAGCTTAAGGCACATTTTTCACCGTAGCTCCTGCCACAGGATTTATTCCTCTACTACAGCTTTATTATTCCCAAGGGTAGCTGGTTTTCTGCCTACATGCAAAAACCCAACTAGCTTTCTTTTAAAAGAAAGGAAGACATCTTCAGAGGTTATACTTAATCATTGTTTGAGGAAAGGTGCTTTCTTACCTGTATTGTAGCCTTTTTTGTTGAACCCTCATGACTTTGTTTGAGACCATGCGAACCATAGGAAGGAACTATAGCCTCCCTTCATTTGTACACCCTTGGATAGGAATTCTATCTTTTTTTTTCTGCAGTTGGAAAGTATGGCAAAATATTGAGGTTTTTTTTACAGGAGACAGATGGGTATATGTATTTTAAATATAAATAGATATTAATGGCAACTTGAAGAAAGTGCTTACTTAGGTGGACACAAATGTTTCTATAGGCAAATGGAAACTGTCCTGCATGCTTTGCCGAATCTGTGCAGTAGAGTTTTAGTTTGTATTAGAGCAGAATGGTACAAAATGAGATGCTACTTAACTGGGTTTTTCCTTTCTACAATAAGTTTGGGTCTCTTATAGGAGTTAATCAGGCAGATGTTCAAACTGGATGTGGCATTTTTATCTACCTGTCAAGCCCTTCCTAAGGACCTGGGATAAGCATGTGTGGTTTAATAATACTAAAGGTATCCTGATAGGATGTAAGCTGTGTTCTGAATAAAGCTGCCTTTTGCAATTGACTGGTGGTGATTTTGTCAATGCTGCGGTTCAAGTGGTGCTCCAGTTGTTTTGCGATTAGTTTAGTTTAGTTCAGTTTAGTTTAGGATGATTTGCCATTGCTTACTTCCTAGGGCTGAGAAGTGAGTGATTGGCCCAGGGTCATCCAGTTGGTTTTGTGCCTAAGCAGTCATCCAAACCAGTGGAAGGGGGTGGGGGGAAGCAGGGGATTCTTTAAATGTCCTTCCGCAACAATTTGCCCCAACCAAACTGAAAAATCTTCTGGAATTGATAGGGAGTGGAGAGGATTTGATGTTCCTTTTAAGTCTAGTTGAAACTAGATTATCCTGGCATAATTTTGAAATAATGGATAAAATAACACGTGGATATTCTGGTCCTCTAAGGTTGAAACAAATAAACACCTTTAAATTCTTTGATAATTTTGGGGGGCTGTGAAACTTGAAGAGAAAAGAGTTAGGGTATTTAACTATGCATAATCTAGGAGAAACTCATCCATTTCTAAGAGATTTAAACATGCTTTTCTTAATCAAAAAACACTATATTGTACATTATGTATAATAAACTGACATTTTAAATGTTTCTCGTACATTGTATTACTTCCTGCTTATATAGTTTTTGGTTCTTAAGAATTAAAGCTGTGTTTGTTTTGTAATTCTGTTTCAGGGTATAAATGCATCATATACTATACTGGCTGTCTCTGTTAAATAGCATTTGTATATTAACAAATTACTCAGACATGCCTTAGTTTTAGCCAAAGAAATACAATGAACTTTTTTTATCTGAAAACTTCAACATTAAGTTGTATAGATCAATTTCTGCCTTTGTAGACAATTTGTAAATTTCCTTGTTTTCACTTGATAAGGATAATTTTAATTTCATTTCATATACTAACTAGATCAATATTATGTTGACTGTTCGCTTGTTTCTTTTTTGGCTTATGTAATCTAAATTAAAATTATACATCATGTACAGTGTGTCATTCAAAGCCAAGGTGATCAGCTGTCCCTAGTTGATTTTCTTTATTTTAAGCTGGTACAAAATAACAGTCAAGAAAAACTTGTGATTTTAAAGCTGAACAGATTAGGTACATAAGAAGGCATTCTGAAATGGATCTGACAGTGTGACAAGACATAAGGAAGAAATATCCAAATAGATAAGCATTCCTCTTCAGTTTGCATTAAAAAAAAAAAACTTGAATCAAAATCAGTATTTTGTACTAATATACTGATGCATCCTAAGAAACCTTACTGACTTGTTCATTGGTTTGAAACATTTGAGCTTTTACCAAGGGCCAAATCACCAAAATTACCACTTCTCCTTACAGAGCAAAAATTGGTATTCTCTTTTTTTTTTTTGGTCTCTATAAAAATTATTTCTTTCTGGATTATGAGGTTGTCCTCTTTAAAAAAAAAAATTGAAGTTACTGTTGGGAAGCACAAGCGTTATACCAAATCAGTTTTCTGTGATTTTAAATGGCAAAAACATTTGCTGTAAAGAATTCTGTCTTCTTCCAGATAAACCTAAACTGCCTGAAAACTATACAGATGAAACCTGGCAAAAACTGAAAGAAGCTGTAGAAGCGATTCAGAACAGTACTTCAATTAAGTACAACTTAGAAGAGCTTTACCAGGTAAGCCTTCATGGATCCACGAGTAGACTTTGCAACAATTCCAAAGATTTTTCTCCACTTTCTAAGGTGTGGTTGAGATCCCATAGTCACGTTCTAGCTGAGATGCCATCTCAGTTTAGACAGATGAGAAAATTAACAAGAACATCTTCAGCATTCATGATGAGCTGATCTTCATGCTTTCCCACTGTAGAAAGTGTCCAATATCAATTTGTTCTTGTGAAGTGTCTCCTTTGATTGTCCGCACGCCAGCCACATTTTTGGGATGGAGTGCTGACCTGGGCCACAATTGCCTTGATAGACACAGAACACAATTCTCTATTTGGGGGATGATTGAAGCCCCCTTTGGTTTAGTTATTTTCCAGTTTGTGCCATTTTTTTTTTGTTCTTTGTTTTTTATCATGATATTCTTTCGTTCGGTGTGTGTTTATCTGTGAAGCATCCAGACCTTTGGGGAATTGGGTGGTGTGACATTTTTTTTATTTTAATAAATAAAATCCACCAGTAAAAGTTCCACTATCAACTAGTTCCAAACCGAATAGTATCCAAATCGAATACGTGCATTCGTTTTATTGAAAAAGGCAAAGAAAGAAAGGACACTAGGCTCTCCAAAGGGAAGCTTTCCTAGGAAAATTCAGCCTCTTTGACTATCTATTTGAAAAATCAGAGAACAACATTACAATATTTCAGGCTCTGCCCTTAGTGTACACATCTGGTATCTTATTAGCTTTGTTAAGTACAAGAACCAAAACAAATTGATTTTATTATATAAATATTTTAAATACAGTTAAAATATTAAGACATGGATATGTAGCTTCCTATCATAACATTTAAATTTACGGTAATATTTTACTGCCTGAAAAATTATGGCAATCCTCTATTTTAAAAACTGTTTAAGTATTAAATTATACATACATTTCATGGATATTTAATAGGTTCATTCTCTGTTCTTCATGGTTTAATTATCAGTTCTTTTTTTTTTCCATGTGTTGATTTTACTGATTGTCATTGTCATTAAAGTTCTGTACTAGTATTATGAAAAAAACAATGGTAGATAATTTTAGTTTAGATCTACTAGTTACACTGAGAATTAAATACAGCATGTAACTGAAGACTTGGTAAATCAGTGGGACTTAGTAGCTGTATGGCAAGCCTTATTGGTATATCCCGAAGAATCTCTTTGCAGTCGGTTTAACATACTTTGAAAACCCACTAAGACTTTGCTTAAGTCTTCATAATATGATTATGCATGCTTCTATAAATTGCCCTTAATCTTGTTCTGTTTATATCTTCCCTTTTAGTTTTACCTTCCAAGAATATCAGGTGCAGATTTTTGGTGTTAAAAGGTTTATTTGACAGGACGTTAACAGTGCGTTCCCAACCCACCAGGATCATTGTGTAACTGTGTGGGATTTTAGACCTTGAAAACTACTGTTTACTTCAAACAGATGCATTATTTCCTTGGGCCAGAAAACTCTTGATTTTTATTTATTTTTTTATATGAAGCACTATTTTTTTAAAAAAAGGATTGCATTGGAGGATTTTTTTACGTTGAATATGTTAGAATTTTTTTTAAAAGGGATTGAAATTTTATAAGAACATCAAATGGTATGAATCTTGTGTTCACTGTTGTGTGATCTAAATGCAAGAAAGTATAGCTTGTTAATATCCACCTTGTGAACCTCACAGCAATCCCCAGAGCGTGTTGAACCAAATTTGGACCAGTTTGTGGGTTATGGATTAAAATGTGGACTTTGCAGATAGGGAAGGCATCTTTTTCGTAGCTGAGTCTTGTTACAGAAAGCCAGTTTACATACCAGTTTTGAAAGTGCCAGCTTTGACAAGCCATATGATGCTGGGATAGTCTTTGAGACACTAGTCCTATTAAGGGAGGCATTCAGTTTATCAGGAAAAGCATCTTAACTCTTAAAACAATCTTTTAGCATTTTATCTAACTGAGGTGACCTAATGTGTTTGAAGGAAATGTGGTAAATTATATTTGCTCTGTCTCTGTTTTGTTCAGGTTCTCTCCGTGTGTGTGTGTGTTAGTGTGCACCATTACACACACACACACACACACAAATTCTGTCAAGGCCTTAGCAGACCCCTCTGATTTAGTATGTATTCAGAGTTAAATTTTGGAAGGCAAAGCAGCTGCATTTTCTGTCCATTTGTCTAGGTCTATTTTTAATGCCTTGAGTTAAAAATAGTCATTTGGTTGCTGGTAACTAACAACTAAAATAAAACCATTCACCCTAAGACCAGCAGAACTGGTAAATGGATCTACCTCTAGCTATGCTTTTTTTAAATACCATTATCTAAATCATGGCAGGGTTTAGGTCCCTCTCTCCCTCCCTCCCTCCCTCTCTCTCTCATATCAAAGAATTGAGACATACTTCAATTCTTGACACATTGCTTCCTCTGCTGGCAAAATAAATAAATAAATGTAAAATTAAGATCTTTGCAGCCAATCCTGCTATGGGGATTATACGTAAAGTGGTAGAACTTTGGTCTGAAATAATTAATAATAATTATTATAATTATATAATATTATTATATAATTATTATAATTATATAATAATAATAGGTGGCGCAGTGGCCAAAACGCTGAGCTTGTCGATCAAAAGGTCAGCAGTTCAGCGGTTCGAATCCCTAGCGCCGCGTAACGGGGTGAGCTCCTGTTACTTATCCCAGCTTTTGCCAACCTAGCATTTCGAAAGCACATACAAAATGCAAGTAGAAAAATAGGGACCATCTTTGGTGGGAAGGGAACAGCGTTCCACGCGCCTTTGGCGTTTAGTCATGCCGGCCACATGACCACGGAGTCTTCGGGAAGCGCTGGCTCTTCGGCTTTGAAATGGAGATGAGCACCGCCCCCTAGAGTCAGGAACGACTAGCACATATGTGCAAGGGGAACCTTTACCTTTACGTCTAGCGTGCTGATCCCTCTTTCCTTTCCATTTCTTTGTTCTTGAAGTTAGTGCTATGTGTCTTAAGACAGTAGAACAATCATTTTATGGACTGTCTCCTAAATCTTGGTATTTGAGAATTTAAAGCTTTTGTTTGTTTGTTTATTCAATTTCTATAGCCGCCCATCTCAGTCAATGACTCTGGGTAGCTTTCAATTAAAAAAACAAAAAATTACAAGTATATTACAAACTTTTGCTGATTCCGTCAAGCAGTTTTCAAGTGATTGGAACCAGACCTGTTGCTAAAGAGCAACCCGGACACTTTCTGAGGATCACATTTGTAAAAACATTTGCAGGTAGTCGTTGACTTAACAACCATAATTGAGCCTGGCATGGTCATAAGTCGTGGTAGTTGTTAAGCAGGTCACCAGATGACTTCATCCGATTTTATGACCTCTTTTGCGGTGGTCATTAATCAGCCGCCCCGGTGGTTAAGTAAATCCATTTTATCAATGAAACTGGCAAAAAAAAAAACATTGGAAAATCACAGTCATGTGAGTCATGCCTCAGGCAGCCTTAAATGCCAGCCAATTGCCAAGGGCCCAAAATTCAGTCACTTGGGGGATTGGGTGCTGCCAATGGGATTTTGAAATCAGGTTTGTAAGTATCCTTGGGAAGGGTTCACTGTAATTTCGAACAGTTACTAAATGACTGGTCTACCTGGATGGTCGTGGTGAGAGCTATGATGGCGCCAGGGGTTAGAATGCAGTATTGGAGGCTAATTCTGCTGACTGCCAGCAGTTCGATCCTGACCGGCTCAAGGTTGACTCAGCCTTCCATCCTTCCGAGGTGGGTAAAATGAGGACCCAGATTGTTGGGGGCAAGAGGCTGACTCTGTAAACCACTTAGAGAGGGCTATAAAGCACTGTAAAGCGGTATATAAGTCTAAGTGCTATTGCTATGATAACAACGGAATATATTGGAAAACAGCCTCATTGCTCTCGATGTGTCTGTTGGCAACACAGACTCCCTTGTAACATGCTGTTTTTTTAGGAAGCCTGCATTCGTTAGATTTGTGTTTATTTTGGCTTTTACACCACTCGTATACAGGACATAACAAACAGAAATTACATTTTCCGTTGCTAATGTCTTAGGCAAAAGAAGGAGGAGAGTGATGTATGTAATTCTTGTGTTTTCTTTCTTTCTTTCTTTCTTTTTAGGCTGTTGAAAACCTTTGCTCCTACAAAATTTCTGCAAATTTGTACAAGCAATTAAGGCAGATTTGTGAAGATCATATCAAAGCACAGATCCATCAGTTCAGAGAATATCCTTTTATAATAAATATTTCACATAAACGGAAAGCATGTCGGGGCCTTGTTAACCGTTTTAGCAATTCTCGTGGATTAAGAAATGTGGCACTTGTAGATTCTTTTGGCAGCTACAAAATACCTTAAAAATATTTCAGCCGAAGAGAAATGTATGTTACCTGCCAACTAATCGGTTTAATCATTAAACTGAATATAAGCACATTCTTACTGGAACTTGCCATTTGTACGTGGGTACTCACATTTAAACATTTGGGAGCGAAATATTAAACTACTAAGTAAACTTCCACTAAAGCGGTATCGATGATGCGTCAACCGTTTTTAAAAAATATTCTTAACTGCTTCCTCAAGGATTCGTTGGACAGTGTTCTTTTTCTTAAGAAAATAGACAAATGTTGGCAAGACCATTGCAGACAGATGGTAAGTCTCTTTTGTTTTCTAAATGTTTCTAAGAGCTTGGAACTAAAGATGGGTCTCTTCTATGCCATTTGAAAACTTTTTTCCTGGAAGAAACTGAGACTGCACTGAAGGGGTAGATCAGGGTGTCTTACCTTGGCAACTTTAAGAGTTGTGGACTTCAACTCCCAGAATGACTTGACTAGGGAATTCTGAGAGTTGAAAGTCCACAACTCTTAAAAGTTGCCAAGGTTGGACACCCCTGGATTAGATGGTTCCTCAGGAGAAGAGACCTGGACATTCCTAGACAGTTTAACTAATCTTTTTGTATTGTTAACTATCTGGAAAAAAAAGATTCCAGTAATTTGTATTTAGGAACAATTTGGTGGGGGTCATATTGAGGGAAATTTAAGAATTAGATTCAGGTTTATCTCTAACCTATCAGTTCTTTCTGTTGAAAGTTAGCCAAAAGCAGGAAGCTTTTAGAAGTTTTTTTTTTTTTTCCAGGGACAGGAAATGGGAGAATACCTGTGAAGAATACCTTTCACTCTCCTGAAATATTTATCTATGGGCCATTAAAAAAATCTGTGCCACCCACCATAAAGAATGATAAGAAATTAGAGCAGTTTCTAAATGCTTTGTGAAGTGTTTGATTTTTCACAGCGGCAGTCAGTAAGCATGGATATCTGGAAGTAAATTCCCTTAAATTAAGTGGTTCTCCCTTCCAAATTAATATACCTAGATGAAGGCAGTTGAATGATCTTACGTTCTATTCATCCGATAAATATATTCCTTCAAATCGGTCAACATGTGACGCTTTGTTTTTCTTTCTCTCGTTCTTTCTTTCAGATAATGATTAGAAGTATCTTTTTGTTCCTGGATCGAACTTACGTTCTCCAAAATTCAATGCTGCCATCAATTTGGTGAGGGCGGAAAAATAGGAGTATTGATTTCTCGCTTCCGAACGCTTTGTCGAGCTATTGATTTGTCATTTTTCTCCCCTTCTATCCTGATGGAGCGATGGCCCGTCCACAGTCGATAGAGAACCTTGAACAAAACCAAGAAAATGTGTACTCTTTCCTTCGTATCTGTTTCCTCCTGCTCAGATCTGTATTAAAATGCATGAGGTTTGGGTTGTATTCAAAAGCCAGTTCAAATAAATAGCAAACTCTTTGAAAATATGTCATGATGAATGTGAGAACGATATGATGGCTAGAATGTTACTTCGGTCTAACCCAGGGGTCAGCAACCTGTGGCTCTGGAGCCGCATTTGGCCCTCTGCTGCGGCTTCCTGTCACTCAAAATACGCAGCGCAACCATCAATGTGCGACACCCGTCAGCACACGATTTATTGAGCCTTTTCAACCCCCTGTTGGCCAACCATGGATAAATCCAAGAAAAGAAAAGTTTCAGAAGAAAACAAAATGTTTAATTCAATTACATATGCTAGTTTTGTGGCCGCTCAAGAAATAGTCAGGCACGGGAAGGGTTTTGTGGCTCCCGGTGTTTTCTTTTCTGTGGGAAACGGGTCCAAATAGCTCTTTGAGTGTTTAAGGTTGCAGACCCCTGGTCTAACCTGTGATGTCTGAGTTGGCTTACTGGCTTCCCTAAATTACAAATCTTTGTGGTTTACAAGCCACATTTTATAAATCAGAACATTCTGCCAACCCAGCTAATTCTTCATTAGAGGTAGTCCTCAACTTACGACCACAATTGAGCCCCAAACCTCTTTCACTAAGCGAGATTATTTGTTAAGTGGGTTTTGCCCCATTTTATGACTTTTCTTGCCATAGCGGTTAAGTGAATTACTGCTATTGTTGAGTTAGGATCATGGTTGTTAAGTGAATCTGGCTTACCCACTGATTTTGCTTGCCAGAAGGGGGAATCACATGACCCCAGGACACTTTAACCGTCATAAATACGAATCGGTTGCCAAGCATCTAAAAATTTCGATCATGTGAAACGGGGAGATGCTGCAGCGGTCATGAGCGTGAAAAAATGGTTCTGAGTCGCTTTTTTTCAGGACCGTTGTGATTTCAAACGGTCACTAAACAAAAGGTCGTAATTTGAGGACTACCTGTAATTGATTAAGTCATGTCTATGGAGATTCTCAGTCTTCTAGGTCACGGTTGTCCGAAAGGTGCTTTTTTTTCAAGAGGCAACTGGACTTTCTGGTTTTTTTTTTCTTTGAAGACATTTCGCTTCTCATCTAAGAAGCTTCTTCAGTTCTGAAGAAGTTGAAGAAGCTTCTGAGAGAAGCTGAAGAAGCTTCTCGGATGAGAAGCGAAACCTCTTCAAAAAAAAAATAACCCAGAAAGCCCAGTTGCCTCTTGAAAAAAAAGCACCTTTGGGATTAAATCTTGATTTACTGAAACCAGCAAACGCAACAACCGACTCTTATGTTCTTCCTTTTCTTCTTTTTTTCCCTTCCACCCTTTCAGGGATATGGGGCTGGAATTGTTTAGGACTCATATAATTAGCGATCAGAAAGTCCAGAACAAAACCATTGATGGCATTCTTCTCTTGATCGAAAGGGAAAGAAACGGAGAGGCTATTGACCGGAGTCTTCTCCGCAGCCTCCTAAGCATGCTTTCGGATTTGCAAGTAAGAGCCGTCCATCGTGGTAAAATCTGCCTTTAAAAAATGAATTGAGACTTGAGCTGCCGGAGCATTCTGAAAGTAATGATCTATTTCTCTTCCCTTCAGATTTATCAGGATTCTTTCGAGCACAGATTCTTGGAAGAAACAAACCGTCTCTATGCTGCAGAAGGGCAGCGCCTTATGCAAGAAAGAGAGGTATTTTCTTGAGAACTCCGAAACACTAGTTCTCTTAATTCCTTCTTTTTTTTGTGAGCAGATCAATGTCTTTCCCTGTTATCCACCCTTCCAAAGAAACCTCCGTTATTATTTATTATTTCGTCAAGCATGTATTAGATAACAGATATAAGTATAGAGACAATTATGAATACATGAGATGAATACAAATAAATGGGGACAGTAGGACAGGGACGGTAGGCACGTTGATGCACTTATGCATGCCCCTTACAGACCTCTTAGGAATGGGGTGAGGTCAACAGTAGACAGTCTAAGGTTAAAGTTTTCGGGGTTTGGGGAAGAAACCACAGAGTCAGGTAGTGCATTCCAGGCATTGACCACTCTGTGGCTGAAGTCGTATTTTCTGCAATCAAGTTTGGAGCGGTTCACTTTAAGTTTGTATCTATTGTGTGCTCGTGTGTTGTTGTGGTTGAAGCTGAAGTAGTCATTGACAGGTAGAACGTTGTAGCAGATAATTTTATGTACTACGCTTAGGTCAGACCGAAGGCAGCGTAGTTCTAAATTGTCTAAGCTCAAAATTTCAAGCCTGGTGGCATAAGGTATTTTGTTGCGAGCAGAGGAGTGGAGGACTCTTCTTGTGAAATATCTCTGGACTCACTCGATTGTATTAATGTCTGATATGCAGTGCGGGTTCCAGACAGATGAGCTGTATTCAAGAATTGGTGTAGCAAATGTTTTGTATGCCCTAGTTAGTAGTACAATATTACCAGAGAAGAAGCTACTACACAAGATTAGGTTAACAACTCTTAATGCCTTTTTGGCAATGCTGTTTCAGTGGGCTCTGGTGCTTAGTTCATTTGAGATGAGTACTCTGAGGTCCTTGACAGAGTGAGAGCCGTCTACGAGGTCGTATCCATTACCTTTATGATTTTTTCCATAACTTACTCAATCTTCCAGGTCCCAGAATATCTTCACCATGTCAATAAACGCTTGGAAGAAGAGGCAGACAGGATTATAACATACCTGGATCAAAGCACTCAGTAAGTTTTCGGCCTCTCTTGACCTGCTGCCTAAAAGCCTGGCAAGTGTGAGTTTCTCCGTGAGTCGTTGCTTTTGGCTAGCGTGAAATTATTAGGTTGGGGGGTTTTTTTGTCTTTACATGTCTTCCCTTATGGAATCTCTTTTAAATTCCAGGAGGCAAAACCCTATGTCAATTTTTTTCCCCTCATCTTACCTGAGTCTTTACGCCGCCCGGTTTCGGGTTGACATTTGGGGTTCATGACCCCGGACAGCACCCCGGTATTTGGGGAGCTGCTTGGATTTTAAAGCAGATTCAGGTTAATGTCAGGGTTCCAAGTAACAGCCGCAATGAAAGAAAACTCCGAGGCAAGAAGTTCCTCAAAGTTACATTTTATTAGAGATGTCATATTGGCACATCTGGGAAAACCCAAATCTGAAAGCTTCCAGCTTTTCCCCACCCAAAGGAAAGTCCAAGTCCCTGCCCAACACCCACAAGTCCATCACATGGTCTAGTCAAAGCACCATCCCAACTGGAGATGCCTCCCAGTTCCAGCCATCCAGGTGCAGGGCAAGATGACCTTGACTTTCTGAGAAAGGAATGTTGTTATGACTACATATCACCCTGGCTCCATACAATCCCCCCTCCCAGTTTCCCACAGTAGTAATTGTGGCAGGTCTGAAGGCCCAACGAAAAATATGGCTTCCAGGCCTGACCCCCTATTTATTTTTGCTTTTCTTCCCAACCCTACAGCACCCTGTACAGATAGTCCTCGACTTAACAACAGTTTGTTTAGTGACCGTTCAAAGTTACAGTGACCCTAAAGAAAAGTGATTTATGATCGTTTTTCACACTTACGACCGTTGCAGTACCTCCCCCCCCCATGGTCACGTGATCAGAATTCAGACGCTTGGCAACTTGTCTCGTACTTACGACGGTTCCAGTGACCCAGGGGTCACGTGATCATGTTTTGTGACATTTCTGACAAGCAAAGTCAAGGGGGAAATCGGGTTCGCTTACCAACCCCATTGCTAACTTAACAACTGCATGGATTTGCTTAACAATTGTGGCACCAAAGTTCGTAAAACGGGACTAAACTACTTAAGTAACAAATGTTACACTTGACAAGAGAAACTTTGGGCTCCATTGTGGTCGTAAGTCGAAGGACTACCTGTATATCAGTGGTATTAATAATCAGGGATACCTTTGCATACCTGGAAAATCGTGTTTGAAATTGACTTCTTCTTATTAATTCAGTTTATAAGAAATTATATCCGTCCGCTTGCAAAGAAAGTGAATAACGGTATATCCATTCAGTGGCTTTTTGCTTCAGGTCATTTTCTGCCTACTTAAAAGAAGGCGAGGAAGATTTTAAAAAAGAACCTAAAATAGCTTTTTTTAAAAGAAAAATAAAATAGGATAGACCACAGTAATGTTGTTGGAGAATGTTGATGCTTAAACTGTGACAATTCTTGGCGTTCTGCTTAGATGAATAGTTTGAACGGTTAAAGAGTGAGCAAAAAGGATTGTAATTCTAAACGCTTTCTCCTGTAGGAAACCACTAATCGCCACTGTAGAAAAACAATTGCTAGGAGAACATTTAACATCCATCCTACAGAAAGGTAAACCCATCTATCTCTATAGAAATCTTTTGTTTACTGCTTCTTCGGGGCTTTTTGGTTTCCTGGGCTGGGTGGAAATGACCCAATCGGGTGCTGATTCTGACACACACACACACACTTGTCTCTGTACACCATGACATTATATTCCAGAGGGGCCTGGAGGTCACATTCTCCTTCTGGGAGGAAAGGAACCACAGGAATGCCATCGGTTTCACTTTGCAATACCAACTTGTGCTAAGAATAGCCATGGGGAGAAAGAATAGAATAGAATAGAATAGAATAGAATAGAATAGAATAGAATAGATAGAATAGAATAGAATAGAATAGAATAGAATAGAATAGAATAGAATAGAAATAGGAGAGGAGACGAGAATAGAAGAATAGAATAGAATAGAATAGAATAGAATAGAATAGAATAGAATAGAATAATAGAATTCTTTATTGGCCAAGTGTGTTTGGGCACATAAGGAATTTGTCTTGGTGCATACGCTCTTGGTGTACATAAAAGATACATCCGTCGAGAATCATAAGGTACAACACTTATCATTTAGTCATAGGGTACAAATAAATATTTAAATATTTATTTACTTTAAATATTCTTCCTCCAAGAAAGTCCAAGAAGCATAGTTATTTCCCTCTCAGAGTATTATTTTCTCCATTTTATTCTATTTTATTAGAATTGCAATCACCTTTTTAAAAAAAAAAAAAAACATGTCTTGGGCTTTTTGTAAAGCAAAATAAATTGTTTTAGTTGACAAATGCTCTGATTCCAAAACGGCTTTGGGGGAAAAATTGTTTTCTTGTTCTCGCGTTTCAAACTTAATTTCGAAATGTTTTGTCTCCATCAGCCTGCTTTTAACTTAGCATCGTGATGCCTTCATTTTGCAGGTTTAAATCATCTCCTGGATGAAAATCGAATTCAAGATTTGTCACTACTCTATCAGTTGTTTAGTCGGGTCAAAAATGGAGTGCAGGCTCTTTTGCAACAGTGGATTGAATACATAAAGGTAATTGTGCCCGGCTAATTTTCTTAAATTAAGTTTCAGGAATAAATTTAAAATCTGTTAAAAGCGAAGAAAAATACTTGCATAGTAATAATTGTAGATGTTAAAGAAAATTGCATATATATATATATTTTTATCTTGCATAGCATGGAACATGCATAAACCATGGAATTTTGAAGTTTACAGTTTAACAAAGTTGGAAGGGACCTTGTAGAGCATCTAATCCAACCCCCCCCCCCCAAAGCAGGAGACTCTACACCATTTCCGACATGCCAGTGCCGTCTCTTCTATAATATTGTATTGATTCCTCCAAGAAATTTTGAAACCTTTGAATGGGAAGCTTTGATCTTTGCTGAATCATTTGGATTTTGCTCCCAAGTGGAACATTTTTGTTGCTTGTGTTTTTCAGAAAATCTTGTTGCGTTTGGGAAGCATTTCTACCCAAGTGCAAAGGGGTTTTCTAAACAGCATGAGGATGCTAACCTATATAAACAGGGGTCGTTACTTGATTTTCTAATTTTCCTTGCTGGGTTTTTATTAAACTTGCCATCGATTATATTAAGGAACGAATACCCTGTGATGTGTTTCGTGCTCCTTTTTAGGCATTTGGTAGCACCATTGTCATTAACCCCGAAAAGGACAAAACCATGGTACAGGAGCTGCTAGATTTCAAGGATAAAGTGGATCACATCATCGACATCTGCTTCTTGAAAAACGAGAAGTTTGTCAACGCCATGAAAGAAGCTTTTGAAACGTTCATCAACAAAAGACCCAATAAGCCAGCTGAACTCATAGGTACAGCATCATTCCTTCAGGAGCTGCCAAAATAGGACGTTAAAATGGATTTATAAGTCAAAATCCCTGAGGGTGTTTTTCAGGGGTAGAGAATTTCCCAGCTTCGGCATTCTTCATGCCCTTTTCTTCAAAAAAAGAGATGTAAAAAAATATGAGCCTAAATACAGGTTGCCTTCGATTTACAGCCACAATTGAACCCCAGATTTCTGTTGCTAAGGGAGACATTGTTAGGTGAATTTTGGCCCGTTTTAGCATCTTTCGTGCCGCAGTTTTTAAGCGAATCCCTGCAGTTCTTAAGTTAGTAACACAGGTTGTTAAGTGAATCTGGTGTCCCCGTTGACGTTGCTTGTCAGAAGGTCGCAAAAAGGGAATCACTTCAACCGTCATAAATATGAGTCAGTTGCCAAGCATCTGAATTTTGACCCCACCTGGCCATGGGGATGCTGCAACAGTCGTAAGTCATAGCGGTCCTAAGTCCCTTTTTTTCCTCCTTGCCGTTGTAACTTTGAACAGTCGCTGAACGGACTGTCATAAGTCGAGGACTTCCTGTAAGGAATTTCACTTAACCTTTGGGGAGGAGGGCAAAGGCTTTTGTGAACACTGAAGTGATATGATATGAGTAGGGATATGTCTGGTGCAAAACTGAAGGCCTGTTTTCTCTGGTTTGGGAGAGAAAAAGACACGAGGTGACGTTTAGTCAATTAAAACTTTTCGAGCACTGTTGTTATAAAAATGGCAGGAAACTGATGGTGTTTAGCAGTTACAGTTGGAGAGAACTTTAGGAGCAGAAAAGAAAGATATTTCAGGCTGCAGGCTGCACTCCCTGTTTCACCCACCCACTCCTGGCCTAAGCTTAAAAGAATTGGGCTTAAGTAGGTCAAATGATTGGGATGCAGTGATTCAGTGGCTAAGACGCTGAGCTTGTCGATCAGAAGGTCGGCAGTTCAGCGGTTCGAATCCCAAGTGTCGCGTAGCTGGGTGAGCTCCCGTTACTTGTCCCAGCTTCAGCCAACCTAGCAGTTCGAAAGCACGTAAAAAATGCAAGTAGAAAAATAGGGACCACCTTTGGTGGGAAGGTAACAACGTTCCGTGAGCCTTTGGCGTTTAGTCATGCCGGCCACATGACCACGGAGACGTCTTCAGACAGCGCTGGCTCTTCGGCTTTGAAACGGAGATGAGCACCGCCCCCTAGAGTCGGGAACGACTAGCACACATGTGCGGGGGAACCTTTACCTAGGGTAAATGATTGTTGGTTAGATGGACGAGAGACTGTTCCTTGGCTAAGATTAGTTCCCTATCTCTGATCTTGAATAAATGTTTGGATCCATTATTCAAATCTGTACTATTATTGTTTTTTTTCTCTTCTTCCTCCTCAGCTAAATACGTGGATTCAAAACTTCGTGCGGGCAACAAAGAGGCAACCGATGAAGAGCTTGAAAAAATGCTGGATAAAATAATGATCATATTTAGATTCATCTATGGTAAGAGCTGGGCTTTGTTTTTACCAGATTGTAGGTATTGCATACAAAATTATACATACTAATGTCTTACCTGTAAATGACTTTTTTTTTTTAGTTTTAACCATAACGTAACGCCTGCAGACAACCGCTTTAATCTTAACATAAACCGCTTTAAACTTGATTGTAAAAACTTTGACTTTTGTAACAAAGTTGTCAAAGTCTGGAATATCCTGCCTGATTCTGTTGTCTCAGCTATTAACTTTCACCGCTTTAATTCCAACTCAACTTCTGTGGACCTCAACCCATTAAATTAAAGAGGCTGCTAAGGGGACGTGCGTAAGTGCGCTAACATGCCTATTGTCCTCGGCACGTTTTAATTTTTCTCATTTTGTTCATTCGAATTTGTGATTTTCGTTTGACAAATTGAAAAAAAATGAAAACTGTTAAGCCCACCCTTACCCATTTCTCAAAGCAAATTGGGTTGGGGTGAAGGCAAATTGGCTTTCCATGGTGATGTCCAGAAAAAAAATCCAAAACCAACAAGTTGCTGATGCCTAGAGGTCTATGAGAGGATTGCTTTAGAACAGGGATGCCCAGCATTGGTGACTTTTAAGACCTGTGGACTTCAATCCCCAGAATTCCCAAGCCAGCACGGCTGAATTCTGGGAGTTGAAGTCCAGAAATCTTAAAGAGTTGGCTAAAATTGGACATCTCTGCTTTATGTGTCAAAACCAACTTTCCGTTTCTACAGGAAAAGATGTATTTGAGGCCTTTTACAAAAAAGATCTCGCCAAGCGACTCTTGGTAGGCAAAAGTGCATCTGTAGATGCTGAAAAATCCATGCTGTCAAAACTCAAACATGGTAAGGTATTATTATTTTTTTATGCACCTTCCACAAATGTTGCTCGTATCACTTGTAACCTGACAATTTACCCATTTTAATACTGTGTCTTTTCCGACATAAAGTTAAACCTGTGTAAAAAAAAAAAACAACAACAATCCAGAATTGAAGAAGCATTTCTGCTTGCAAAATGGGTGCAGGTATTCATAAATTCTGTTTCTTTTCTGAGAGATTCATGCCTGATCCCAGTCAAGGCATTCTGATTGTCACATTCTGCCTCCTAAAAATCTAAGATTGAATCTTCTGAAGCTATTTTGTAACCTTCCATCCGATTCCTGTGCAATTAGTTTTCCTAGCTTCTAACCAAAGCACAGAATGAGTGAAATGCTTAGAAATATATTGCATTTTGTTTCATAAAACTATTTACAGCCTTTGCCCACCGTACCTCGTAACATAATAAATATGTCAGTCTTGTAAAACAAAGGTAGGAATTCGTTTCCCCCTTGGGAGTTTGAGAGAATTGTTTATAATGGTAATTGAGCGGTTAACGCTTCAGGTTTTTATAATGCTTTCTGCCTCAGAATAGAGGGAACTTTGCCACAAATTTTCAGCCATCATATCAAAGGATGCCCGGCCCATCTGATGCCACAGGTGGACAGTCTCTCTTTCCCCATCTCTCTTTTAGGATGCTTACAAGATGCTATCCTATACTTTTTTTTAAAATTTGATTTATATGCCGCCCTTCTCCAGAGACTCAGGGAGGCTTACAATGTGCTAAGCAATAGCCTTCATCCTTTTGTTTATTTATACAAAGTCAGCTTATTGCCCCCACAACTGGGTCCTCAATTTACCTACCTTAGAAAGGATGGAAGGCTGAGTCAACCTTGAGCCTGGCGAGATTCGAACCTGCAGTAATTGCAGGCAGCTGGTCTTAATAACAGGGTGCTTTAGACCACTGTATTACCAAGGCAGTTTGGTCTACTACAGCTAGTCCTCAATGTATGACCACAATTGAGCCCAAAATGTATACTGCTCCAGAAGGCTCTGGAGCCTGGAGAGAGAAAAAAACAGGCCTACTGGGCCCATCGAGCCATCGCATGCCAGGAGCGGGGGGTCGCGCGTGGTTGTGGGGCGCATAGAATTATGGGTGTGGGCACACATGTGTGCGACCCCCCGCCCCACTCCTGGCACATGATGGCAAAAAGCACTGTTAGCGTCATTCTGATGGTGATTATATTATATAGGTTAGTGATGGCTAACCTTTTTGTCCTCGTGGCCATAGTCTTCAGCTGTTCCAAAGCAGAATACTTCTAAAAAAGCATCCGCTTGCAGGAGGATTTTTAAAGCATGGCATTAAGCAGGTGACAAATAATGGAAGACGAAATGCTTTTTAATAGTGCTTTTAATCTAAACTGCTCTCTTGCAGAATGTGGTGCTGCTTTCACCAGCAAACTTGAAGGAATGTTTAAAGACATGGAGCTCTCTAAAGATATTATGATACAGTTTAAGCAAGTAAGGAAGCAAAGTCTGCCATCGTAGTTTGTTTTTTTTCCCTTTGGCAAGCCTCTCCTCTGTAGACCTCTTCTTTCTGTTTTTCCTACTATCTTCATTTTTTTTTTTGTAATGCCCTTCCTATATTACTATAGAATTACTATGGGGAAGTCATGCCTAAAAGAACTGAGTCACTGATTCATTACGTAATTCTCTAGTGACCTTGCCAGTTTCCCGGCACCCTTAAAAATGCTGCAAGAATAAAATAGGAAAAAACTAAAGAATTCCTTTCTAAATCATCCTCCTCCTCTTTTAATAACCCAATAATCCCTTGCAGGGTGGAGTCTGGGCAACTGAATCAAGGGAGTGTTTACTGGCCAGGTGCCCTTCCTTTTGCCAATTCCTTTCTAAGTAGTTTGGAGAAAACAATGCAAATGTTTTCTTGTAGTTCTGAACAGTCATCCTTTGTGTCTTTGATTCTGTCGTAGTATATGCAAAATCAGAATGTACCTGGTAACATTGAACTCACCGTGAATATCTTGACCATGGGCTACTGGCCTACATACGTGCCTATGGAGGTCCATTTACCATCAGAGGTAAGAAAATTGTATAGTAGCTTTGAAACGGAAGAAATCTGTAGCTGTCCTTCAAAGATCAGATAAGGAGAGTAATGCCATGGTTAATAATTAAAATATATCAGGAAGGTTATAATGAAGGGACGCAGTGGCTCAGTGGCTAAGACGCTGAGCTTGTCGATAGAAAAGTCGGCAGTTCAGCAGTTCGAATCCCTACCGCCATGTAATGGGGTGAATTCCCATTACTTATCCCAGCTTCTGCCAACCTAGCAGTTCGAAAGCACGTAAAAAATGCAAGTAGAAAAATAGGGACCCCCTTTGGTGGGAAGGTAACAGCATTCCGTGCACTTTCGGCATTGAGTCATGCCGGCCACATGACCACAGAGATGTCTTCAGACAGCGCTGGCTCTTCGGCTTTGAAATGGAGATGAGCACCGCTCCCTAGAGTCGGAAATGACTAGCATATATGTGCAAGGGGAACCTTTCCCTTTCCCTCTAACGTGGGTGCCTTAATATTTAATTCATCGATCAAGATTAAATATGCCCTGGTGAAACTAATAATCCCGAACTGAAGGTGACCACGTAAATCTCATCTGTTTTTGTTATATAAAATGCCGGCATGAAAGTCATTTTAGCTAAGTCAGCACTTGATTTAAAAAGTGCAATTATAGGTTCATCTTGAGTCAGGAGTCAAGAAAGAAAGAAGAGAAGGGGAAAAAAATAGGTTTATTTTATCTTTAAAATCTGTGTTTCCATTCTGTTCAGATGGTGAAGCTGCAGGAAATATTTAAGACTTTTTATCTGGGAAAACACAGTGGCAGGAAACTTCAGTGGCAATCAACATTGGGACACTGTGTACTGAAAGCTGAATTTAAAGAGGTAAGGTTTGCTTTGGGGTATTTTTTTTCCCCCCATAGTTGGAAATCATTTTGCAGATTTGAAGATGTCCCAGAATCTTTGAAGCAACTCTTGTATCCCTAAACTTGTGTTCAGCTGTCCTGAGCTTTAAATGCTTTACAGGTAGTCCTCCATTTATGACCTGTAATTATAATCCCGTAAGTGGGATTAGAATTTGTATTGCTAAGCAAGGCAGCTGCAGTGGTCATAAGTGCGAGGACCGGATGTAAGTCACTTTTTCAGCACCAATGTAACTGTCATGGTCGGCTGGAGAATTCTAGGAGTTGAAGTCCACACATCTTCAAGCTACCAAGGTTGAGAAATGCCGATGTAGATCATAAGACCTTCGTTGTTGTTGTTAGTTGCAAGTCGTGTCCGACCCAACGCAACCCCATGGACAATGTTCCTCCAGGCTTTCTTGTCCTCCACCATCCTCTGGAGTCCATTTAAGCTCATGCCGACTGCTTCAATGACTCCATCCAGCCACTTCATTCTCTGCCGTCCCCTTCTCCTTTTGCCCTCCATCGTTCCCAGCATTAGGCTCTTCTCCAGTGAGTCTTTCCTTCTCATTAGGTAACCAAAGTATTTGAGTTTCCTCTTCAGGATCTGGCCTTCTAAAGAACAGTCAGGGTTGATCTCCTCTAGGACTGACCGGTTGGATCGCCTTGCAGTCCAAGGGACTCGCAGGAGTCTTCTCCAGCACCAGAGTTCAAAGGCCTCAATTCTTTGGCGCTCAGCCTTCCTTATGGTCCAACTTTCACAGCCGTATATTGCAACTGGGAAAACCATAGCCTTGACTATACGCACTTTTGTTGGCAAGGTGATGTCATAAGACCTTTAGTGTCATGATAACAGTGATAATTACAGATGTTATTTCTTCAAATGCTCTACGACGGATAACCTTAAAGTAAGCATTTCACCATGATGTTTTCACCCATTCGGCTTTGTTCAATTCGTTTTTTTTTTTCTTTTCCGGCAGGGCAAGAAAGAGCTCCAGGTGTCTTTGTTCCAGACTTTAGTGCTACTTATGTTTAACGAAGGCGAAGAATTCAGTTTAGAAGAAATAAAACAAGCCACCGGAATAGGTTAGTATTTGAGGGCTGCTCGTAACGTCCGAGCGTGCACAGTTCAGATGCTGAAGCGTGCATTTCTCTCCCTCTCTTTTTGTGTGTTTGTCTTCTCTCTTTCTCTTCTCTGCTACAGAGGATGGAGAGCTAAGGAGAACCCTCCAGTCGTTAGCCTGCGGCAAGGCCCGAGTGCTGGCCAAAAGTCCCAAAGGCAAAGATGTAGAAGATGGAGACAAATTCACTTGCAATGACGACTTCAGGCATAAACTCTTCCGGATAAAGATCAACCAGATCCAGATGAAAGAAACGGTAATTTTTTTCGCTTTCAGACTTTCTTCAGAAATACCCTGGGCACCGGTTTAAAACGAGGGGTCTCCAACCCAGGCGCTTGTGGACTTTATGACTTGTGAACTACAACTCCCAGAATTCCTCACCTCAGCCATGTTGGCTGAGGAATTCTGGGAGTTGAAGTCCACAGGTCATAAAGTTGCCAAGATTGGAGATTCCCTGGTTTAAAAGAAATAAGTACCCTTAAAACCCAGACACTGATACTTTTGAACATCCCAAACATAGCAATAGCAATACTACTTACTTATATACTGCTTTACAGCCCTCTCTAAGCGGTTTAGAGAGTCAGCCTCTTGCCCCCAACAATCTGGATCCTCATTTTACCCACCTCGGAAGGATGGAAGGCTGAGTCAACCTTGAGCCTGGTGAGATTCGAACTCCTGGCAGAGGGCAAAATTAACCTGCAATCCTGCCTTTTAACCACTGCGCCACCATGGCTCCTAATTCAACATCCAATCAGCTATAGCAATAATAATAGCACTTAGATTTATATACCACTTTACACTGCTTTTACAGTCCTCTCTAAGCGGTTTACAGAGTCAGCCTCTTGCCCCCCAACAATCTGGATCCTCATTTTACCCACCTCGGAAGGATGGAAGGCTGAGTCAACCATGAGCCTGGCGAGGTTCGAACTGCCAAATTGCAGGCAGCCGGCAGTCAGCAGAAGCAGCCTGCAGTACTGCACTCCAACCCCTGCGCCACCGTGGCTCATAAACGAACCATAAGTTAAATTAATTTATAAATGAATTATAATTTAAATTAATCCTGACACCTTGTAGGATTTTTTTAATTACACCTCTTGGTGCCCGGCTGGGAAAGCCTGAATTAATGGATTAATCTCCTGTTCGCTTTTCAGAGGCCAAACTTTTTTTTTTGTTTGTTTGTTTTGTTTTACTTCCACAGGTAGAAGAACAAGCGAGCACTACAGAGAGAGTCTTTCAGGATCGTCAGTACCAAATTGACGCGGCAATTGTGAGAATCATGAAAATGCGCAAGACACTTACCCACAATCTGCTTGTCTCTGAAGTATACAACCAGCTGAAATTCCCAGTAAAGGTCGGTCCCAGGGTTACTTCTGAAGTAGAGTGTATGTTTAAGATAGAACTCTTCATAATTTTGGCTTGTTGTTCCCAGTGTTTGTTTTTATCCCGACTTCGTTATTTTTATAAATGGCTCAAGGCAGTGGAAGATGTCTAATATTCCTTCCTCTTCCCATTTATCTACAACAACAACCTCTGACTATGAGATGGAACTGGCCCAAAATCACCCAGCCGGCTTTCATGGCTAAAGCAGGACTAGAACTCTCCATCTCCTGGTGATTGCCCCAAAGTCACCCAGCTGGCTTTCATGGCTAAAGCAGGACTAGAACTCTCCATCTCCTGGTGATTGGCCCTAAGTGACCCAGCTGTCTTTTATGCATAAGGCAGGACTAGAACTCACCGTCTCCCACTTTCTCACCTGGTTCTATTATACCCATTAGCTTCTCTTTATAAGCGATGAAACAAAAATGACCCTGTCTTTCATTCAAGCAAGGAACTTTTGAGTTGTTGTTCTCAAGGCAGACATTTTTGGCCTCCGTGCATCCCGTTTTCGGCCCGTTCCAGGTGGTGGCGGCAATACCCACAGCCTGGAACAGCTGATAGGTGGTATTCCGGGAGGCAGCTCCACCCGCCAATCAGTTGCTCGTGCTAAATCAGGCTGTGCTGAAACGGACCAGGCTGTTCGCTCTTTGCTGCAAGGAGGCAAATTGGCTGGGAGGCAGAGCCAGATTTTTTTTTTCTTGTTTTCCTCCCCAAAAGCTAAGTGCGTCTTTTGCTTTTTTTTTTTTTTTTAATTTGATTTATATGCCGCCCTTCTCCGGAGACTCAGGGTGGCTTACAATGCGTTAAGCAATAGCCTTCATACTTTTGTATATATATACAAAGTCAGCTTATTGCCCCCACAATCCGGGTCCTCATTTTACCTACCTTAGAAAGGATGGAAGGCTGAGTCAACCTTGAGCCTGGTGAGATTTGAACTTGCAGTAATTGCAGGCAGCAGATGTTAATAACAGTGCTTTAGTCCACTGTGCTACCAAGGCTCTTATAGTTCGGAGCGTCTTACAGTCCGAAAAACGGTACTTCATTGGTTCTTTCTTTTTTTTTTTCTCCTTACGCAGACAATGTTTCTGATTTCTCCTATTGCTTTTCAGCCCGCTGACCTTAAGAAGAGAATAGAATCGTTAATTGACAGAGACTACATGGAAAGAGACAAGGAGAATCCCAATCAGTACAACTACATTGCATAAACACAAAATGAGCCTTTTTTTTTTTTTTTTTCCTTTTCTGCACACTGATGTTCTTGGTTACTGGTGGATAAACGAGCCTGTTGATCCCATTAAATTAACCTTTTTTCTACTACCAATGACTGAATGAAAGCAACCTCTAATGGGATTGTGGGCAGGGGGGGGAAAGAAATATAGTCGAGTGGTCTTTTTTTTTTCAGTGGCTTTACATGCCCATTTAAAAGAGTAGTATTTACATTTTTACGAAGAATGCTGTTGAACTCTTTGCATGATATTTGGTATGAACTGCGGAAGATTGCAAGGAAGTATCCAGTCTCTGTAATTCTACCTTTTTCCTTAAGGGCTAGAGGGACAATCTCTCTCTAGCAACTTTGCTGTCATCCCATTTTGGGGAAAAAACAAAACTTAAACTGTGTGGCGTTTTTTATTAAGAAAACAAAAACCCCGAGTTACAACCTTTTTTTTTTTTTAATTAAAAAAAAAAGACGCTTAAACTGCATGCAAATTTCTAACTGCTATAATGAAATTATTGGGTTTGTTTATTGGACAACAAAGCCTGTGTGGATTGGCAGTCTTCAGAATGGAAAAGCCGCTCTCGTTTTCCTAAACATAACAAAATTCTTCTGTAGGTGTTAGAAAGAAAAGCACGCCACTGGATTTTTCCCCCAAGGTTGAGGAAAAAAAGGACCTGCCATAAAATGCTTGGATTTGTGGTGCAAATATTACTGTGAAAAAGCTTAAGGGAATTAGGCTGCTGCTTACTTCCTTCGTCCTCAAGTGTAAGTACTTTTTTTAAAAAAAAATAAAACAATTCATGATAACAAGAGTTAATTGTGAAGAGGGGGGGGGGAATTTAGAGGCTCATTAATTCAGAGACTCTGAATTAATGGACGTCAGGATGTAATGTGATAGCTGCACTGGGTGTTTATTTTTCCCCCTCCCCTCCCATGCAAAATTAGAGGTTTTATACTTCTTCTGAATTGCACATGTTTTATTATTAGACCAAGAATTTATAAAACAGGTATTTATGAAACGGCGCCTTCCATCCCCGTCCAGCCGCAGCCAAGAGAAGAGTTGTAGCTTCAATCAGTGTTTCTCAAACTTGTCAGCTTTAAGATGTGTACACTTTGCTGGCTTTGGGAGTTCTGGAAGTCGAAATCCACACGTCTTAAAAGTTGCCAAGTTTTTTAAAAAAAACAAAACACTAGCCTAAATAATACCTCTGCTTTCTCTTCATTGAGTCATGCTGGATTCGGGGTGGGGAACGGGGGACCATTTCTGGACAGGCTGAATTTGCTGAACATGGTTCCCATCGTAATGGTACCCTTTCCTCACCTGGTCCTGTTAGTATGGGGGCTATAAATCCCAGACTTCCCCAGTCAGCTAGCATGGAAAGCCTTAAGAGAGCTGCTTATCAGCTCTTCCAGTGTCTATAGTGCTCTTCAGGAGGTACAATTCTAAGAGAGCATCAGGATGGTATTAAAAGACCATCCAAGCCTACCTTCATTGCTTTTAATTTATTACACCAAATATGTGGATAGCCTGAGTTGCTTTTTCCATCAGAAAGTCCTGCACTGTTACCCCGAATGCATGCATCCCATCCAAAATCCTGTTTTTAATCTGTGTTCAGTTGTCATCTCCTCTCTGAACAGCTGAATCCAGCGCTAATCATAATTGTGCAAAGCCTGAACTAGCAGAGTTTTTCTTCCATAACTTGTCCAATCCAGAAAATCTCTGGATTGAAACTTTATTCAGACGTTAAGCCACCTTCTCCCTTCCTGGCACACCTCCAGTGGAAATATTTAGCCATCCATGGCCTCCCTAACCCGGTCATCTTGAAAATGAATATTTCCTGCCTAAGAGTGACATTTAAGTACGAGCGTCTGTCTACCTTTCATGTAAGCTAGTTTAGCAAGCCATCTTGCTGGTACATCTGTGCCTGGGAACTCAGGGAGACAAGCATTCCTCACAGAAATTGGGTTTTTTTTAAAAAAAAACCTTTTCTCCAATCATCAAGTGATGCTGGGTTTTTTTTTTCCTCCCTTAAAGAGACTCTGTAAAAAGGAGAAATGTTCATAGTCAGTCCACCGAATCGTTTTCCCTAAGTGATGCTGAATAATACCAATTTTTTCAGCCATATCGGCCAGCAACTTTTCTTTCTGCTGGCATCATGTGCCTGCTTTATGGAGCCATAAAAATATTTATAATAGATATGTATATAAAAATCAACATTTCCCCCCGCCCCCAACTAGGGGCTAAAGCAGAGACCCACAGCTTGTATGGACATAAATTTTTAAAATCTTTTTTTTTTTCCTGTTGCATGCAGTTTATAGCAGCCTCCTTTGTATGAAATCGGAATTTCTGTTGATTTTAGTTTGAAGGTTTTTTAACAACAAAAAACTTTATAGCCAACAAAATGATTGTTTTTTTTGCTGATTTACATTTAAGTGACCACATGGTTTCAAAATTAATGGCAAAGGTGTTGTACAAAATTATTTGTTCTATAGTATACACAAAGGTGCCAAAGTACGCAATAGTTAATTTAAAGAAAATAGACAATTGTTAACGTTACTTTAGCTGTGGTTTTATTTACCTTTATTCATCATTCAGATGCTCATTTTATCCGTCTAATGTGTGCCCCATTTCTGTGTGTTTAAACGTGTGCTCCTGTCTTCGATTTCTCCAAAAGCAAAACATTTTGTCTTTCTAATTTTCTTCAAAATAAAATGTAGTTTTGTTTGGGGGGGGTGTCTCTTTTTTTTTGGTTTTGTGCATTGGAAAAATACCACTTTTACTTTTAGTGACTTCATATATATATATATATATATATATATATATATATATATATATATATATATATATATATATATATATATATATATATATATATATATATATATTATATATATATATATATATATATATTCAAAAGAACATCTCCTCCACCTCCCTAAATGTTTAAAACTAAAAGAGTCCAGCAGCATTCAAAAATGTAATATACTTTTTTGTATAAACACATTCTTTGGAAAGAATAATCTTTGCAACGGGTGGAGGGAGGGAACAGACAGCAGTGGGAGGGGAAAAAGAAAATAATCCTGTTTCTTTGAAGAAGCCACTTCAGTAGGCTATTTAAGATTGTGCTTGTTTATTGCATAGAAGTGTTCTATTTACACAGGTCTGCAAAGAGGACATGTCCGCATTAATTCCTTCAATGCAAATAAAATACCAAAACCTGAAACAATTTTCAAAATGCTTCATAAGTAAAAGTGGATGGGGTACAGAGAGTCTCTTTGGTAAATAATGTAAATACATGTCCTTTAAAAAGAGTGAGTCTGTTATCTAGGTATTTTGTGTCATTTAATAAATAATAAACAGTTTTGTGTTGCTAAAGTCTTCCTCAGTCGTGTGTGGGATGGAAAGAGCTTATGACGATGATGCGTCTCTGGTTGACATCGAGTTACTTCCTCTCCTTAAAACAAAAAAAAACTCACGATAGATAGGCTTACGACCGCAACTGAGCTCAAAACGTAAGTTGCTAAGTCAGGCCTCTGTCAAGTGAGCTTTGTCCCATTTTACGACTTTTCTTGCCACAGTTGTTGAGTTAGCAATCCGGTTGTTAAGTGAATCTGTCTTCCCCGTTGACTTCGCTTGTCGGAAGCTCAGAATTGAATGGTTAGAATAACCGAGTTGGAAGGGCCCTTGGAGGTCTTCTAGTCCAACCCCCCTCTCAAGCAGGAAACCCTATCCCACTTCGGACAGACGGTTGTCCAATCTCTTCATTAAAAACTTCCAGTGTTGGGAGTCGCAAAAAGGAGATCACGTGACCCCAGGACACTACAACCGTCATAAATATGTGGTTCAATTTTTGATCACGTTGTTTTGACCTAGGCTTCCCCAACAGCACGAAGCTGAGTCCTCGTCCCGATAAATCCCTTTAATTTACAGTGAATTCCTTTCCAGCAGTCTTTCCCAGAGTTTTTCAAGATAGTTTACAATTACCGAGTGGCCAGGCTGATATCTTTCAGACGAGGCAATACTTGGCAAGAATGCAGTAATGAACTAATTTGTCTCCTTCAAACTCCACTCCCCTTTCGCTCCTCTTTTATTCCCTCTGGGAGGGGCCATTCGTCGTCCACCTGTGGCCTTACTCCCAAGTCGACCCTTGTTCTTTAGCTGTTCCCTTCGTCTGGCAACTCTGCGCATGCGCACACTGGGAACAGGCTCCAGCTGTTCGTCTGCCTCCCTGATGTCTGACTCCAAAAGCAGCTGATAACTGGCCCCCTCTCTGCCTCCATGTTCCTCCTCAACCTCCTCACTGTCCGAATCTGCTGCCGGATCCGCTGGCGGGCCACAACAAACGTAAGCATGGGGACGTGGCAACGGTCCTAAGTGTGAAAAACAATCACAAGTCACTTGATCAGTGTCGTCGTAACTTTGAATGGTCACTAAAGCAAACTGTTGCAAGTCAAGAACTATTAGGCTGGTTAAGTGCTTTAGGAAGTTGGAATTTTGCCTTTCACTAACTGGGAAGGAAGTTGTGTTTTTTGGCACAAACGAAAAGACACAGGCAGTTTTTCCCTATGGCCTAATTTTCACCCCTTCTTCAATTGCATCATGTGGTTTTTAACTTGGGTATAGGGTCCACCTGGAAAAAGAACATGGTGGCTCAGTGGATACGATGCTGAGCTTGTCAATCGAAAGATCGGCAGTTCAGCGGTTCGAATCCCTAGTGCCACGTGATGGGGTGAGTTCCCGTTACTTGTCCCAGCTTCTGCCAACCTAGCAGTTTGAAAGCACGGCATTGGTTGAGTTGCCATCTCAGCCTACGCAGAGCCTGGCAAGGTTGCAAATAGGAGCCCTGGTAGCGCAGCAGACTAAAGCACTGTTATTAACACCAACTGCCTGCAATTACTGCAAGTTCAAATCTCGCCAGGCTCAAGGTTGACTCAGCCTTCCATCCTTTCTAAGGTAGGTGAAATGAGGACCCAGATTGTGGGGGCAATAAACTGACTTTTGTATAAATATATACAAAAGTATGAAGGCTATTGCTTAACGCATTGTAAGCCGTCCTGAGTCTTCGGAGAAGGGTGGCATATAAATCAAATTAAAAAAATAGCGAAGTCTCGTCATTAGCATCGTCTTGCAAATGGCCCTTCCTTGATCTCACGCAATGGGAAACTCTCTGCAACTTGTTAATGCTGAAGGCTATTCCCGAGAAGAAGAAAAAAAACACCTGGCTCATTTAATAACTTTGATGCTTTGTTTTTGGCTGGTTTTTTTGTTTGTTTGTTTGTTTGTTTTTGACTTCTGCTAAGACAGCTCATTGCAAACCATTTTTTTCCCTGAATTTGCTACGAAAACAAGGACTTCGGCATAGTGCAAAACAGACAGGGGTGGGGGGAATTGATTCAAAGTTGGCTTGGTTCAAAATAGGTGAGTTGGATCGATTCAAAGTTCCTATCTCCCCAAGATTATGGAGGGGGCAGAAAACCAGATACCTTTCTAATCTGCAGCTCTCAAGTGGCACAATTAAAAAGGGGGGGCAACCTGGCCTGCTTTTCTACAACTTTTTTGTTGTCGCACAAACTCTGATGAAGTCTGTGCCTGGGTTAACATGCCGAGCCGTCATTTCTTGGTTGAATATGCTGCATATAAAGGCCGATTTGGGTGCTGGCGACACGCTGCTCCTCCATCTCTCCACTTTGATGTTACTTAGTTGGGTCATGAAACATCCGCAAGAAAACAACCAAGCTCAGCAAGCACCAAGGACTCCGTTCTTTCTTCTTCTTCTTCTTCTTCTTCTTTTCTTCTTCTTCTTCTTCTTCTTCTTCTTCTTCTTCTTCTTTTCTTTCTTCTTCTTCTTCTTCTTCTTCTTCTTCTTCTTTCTTCTTCTTCTTCTTCTTCTTCTTCCTTCCTTCCTTCCTTCCTTCCTTCCTTCTCTTCTCTCCTCTTCTTCTATTTCTTCTTCTTCCTCCTCTTCTCTTCTTCTTCTTCCTCCTCCTCCTCCTCCTCTTCTTTTCCTTCTCCCTTCCCCTTCTCCTCCTCTTCTTCTTCTCCTCCTCCTTTCTTTTTTTTTAAAAAAAATTGATTTATATGCCGCCCTTCTCCGGAGACTCAGGGCGGCTTACAATGCATTAAGCAATAGCCTTCATACTTTTGTATATTTTATACAAAGTCAGCTTATTGCCCCCACAAACTGGGCCTCAATTTACCTACCTTAGAAAGGATGGAAGGCTGAGTCAACCTCAAGCCTGGCGAGATTGGAATTTACTTTAATTGCAGACAGCTGGTGTTAAATTACAGTGCTTTAGTCTGCAGAGCTATCCAGGCTCCCTTCTTCTCTTCTTCTTCTTCTCCTCCTCCTTCCTTCCTTCCTTCTTCTTCTCCCCCTCCCCACCGCTCCCCCTCCCCGCAAACCTCAGTCCCTGATGATGTTACCTAGTTGGGTCATGAAACATCTGCAAGAAAATAACCAAGCTCAGCAAGCACCGAGGAGTCCATAATCGTCCTCCTCCTCCTCCTTTCAAACCTCCTTCCCTTCCAGCCCTGATAATGTTACCTAGTTGGGTCACGAAACGTCTGCAAAAAAAAAAAAAACAAGCAAGCAAGCTCAGAAACCACCCAGGACCCCTCCAGTCCATCCCCCTGAGCTACAAATATTCTCCTTTTATTGGTATTTCAAATCATGGCTGATTGGGGGTGGGTGTGTGTGTGTAAAGATTTCAAATTTGCAAGCGGGGCGAATTTAGGAGAAAGAAAACAACACAAATAAAAAGTTGACGGCTCCCCCACACCCTTCTTTTGTGATGAAAGCCTCACCGCCCCGCCCGCCTCTTATTACGGCAGAAAGCCCGGCCGTGAACCGCAAGGTCCACGCAAGGCGGAGCCGCGCCGCGATTGGTCGGCGCCGGCCGAGAGGCTCCTCCTTTATCTCCCGCGGGGCCACGCCCCCCCCTGCCTTTGCCATATGACCGGCTTGGGCGGCTGGGTGAGTTTCTCGGCTCGTCTCGCTGCCTCGATCCGTTCCGTGGCTGCTGCTGCTGGTTCCCTTCGCCGCTTCGGCATGGAACCGCCTCGGCTTCGCTTCCGACCGCCCTTCTACGGCTGTCTTCTCCTCCTGCCCCTGCTGCTCGACGGCCTGGGTGAGAGCCTGGGGGGGGGAGGTTTTTTTTGGGGGGTGGGCTGCCCTGGGAATACAATAAGAGGGGTGACACCCCCCCAAAAGGTGGAAGGAGCATTCGGGGAGGGGGGTATCCAATGGGGAAGGGGGGAGGGTGCCGAGGGTCTCTTGGAAGGAGTTTTTTTGGGGGGTGGGCTGCCCTGGGAATATGATAAGAGGGGTGACACCCCCCCCAAAAGGTGGAGGGAGCATTCGGGAGGGGGGGGTATCCAATGGGGAAGAAGGGGGGAGGGTGCCCGAGGGTCTCTTGGAAGGAGTTTTTTTGGGGGGTGGGCTGCCCTGGGAATATGATAAAAGGGGTGACACCCCCCCAAAAGGTGGAGGGAGCATTCGGGGGGGGGTATCCAATGGGGAAGGGGGGGAGGTGCCCGAGGGTCTCTTGGAAGGAGTTTTTTTGGGGGGTGGGCTGCCCTGGGAATATGATAAGAGGGGTGACACCCCCCCAAAGGTGGAGGGAGCATTCGGGGAGGGGGGTATCCAATGGGGAAGGGGGGAGGTGCCCGAGGGTCTCTTGGAAGGAGTTTTTTTGGGGGGTGGGCTGCCCTGGGAATATGATAAGAGGGGTGACACCCCCCCCAAAAGGTGGAGGGAGCATTCGGGGAGGGGGGTATCCAATGGGGAGGGGGGGAAGGTGTCCGAGGGTCTCTTGGAAGGAGTTTTTTGGGGGGCTGGACTGCCCTGGGAATAAGATAAGGGGGGGTGACACCCCCCAAAAGGTGGAGGGAGCATTCGGGGAGGGGGGTATCCAATGGGGAAGGGGTGGAAGCAGCCCGAGGGTCTCTTGGAAGCAATTTTTGGGTGGTTGGGCTGCCCTAGGAATGCGATAAGTGGGTAACACCCCCCCCCAAAGGTGGAGGGAGCATTCATGGAGGGGGAGGTCTCCCATGAGAGGGAGGGTGGAAGTGGCTGAGGGTCTCTTGGAAGCACCCCCCAAAATAGGGGACCTGCTTGGGGGTACCCCAAAGGTGGAGAAAGGTTGCTTGGAAGGGGGGAAGGGAGATGGAGAATTCAGGCATCCCCCCAAAAAGATTTGAGGATGGAAACAGAGAGCAAAGGAGGAGGGAGTCCCTTAAAAATGGGGGAGCTGAAGTTGCCAACAGGAGTAGGCACACTTTAAAAGTGGGGGTGAAGCTTTAAAAGGGATGGTGAAAGACCCCCCAAATTTGGTGGGTCGATGCGTGGAATGGGCGGTGGAGGCCCCCTCAAATTTGGGGGTGGTGGTAGAAGGGAATGGAGGAGGGCTCTCCTGAAAGTGGGTTGGCACACTCTAAAAGTGGAGGGTGCCGGGGAGCCCCCCAAATGTAGTGAGTGGATGCAACTGGAATAGGGCTGTAGAGGATTCATGGGTGCCCCTTTCCCTGAATTTGAGGTGGAGAAGTCAGAGGGCAACGCCTAGAAGAAAAGTCTAGTAAAATGCAACTTAGACACCCCAAAAGTTGAGGTTGTTTGGACTTCATCTTCCAGATGAGTTGATGGTTGGAAGTGAAGAGAATGGAGGCTTCGGTGGTGCGTCCTTAAAAGTTCAGGAGAAGGGGAGGGGAGATCCCATGAAAAGCAGGGAAGCTTCTAAGATGCCTTCATAGCGAAAAGATTGGATGAAGTTGCATCTGAAGTGGGATGTTAGCAATTGCATTGACCCCCTCACAAAGGAGGAGTTGAACAATGGATGTTAGAGGAGAAACCCCTCCAAAAAGCTTGGAAGAGAAGATTAAGAAGATCAAGGACACACAATATTCTTGGCCACAAGATGTTACAGAACGATAGTTTTCTTCTTTTGAATGGTTGGTTCCACTTCCAAGCTCCATTGAAGCCCTGGAATTTCTTATCTCCTTTCTAAACTCCAAACCTGGTCCAACCTTGGGTAGTTTTTGGGGGATTAGCCAAGAGAAGTCAGGTGCTCTTACTCATCTGAATTATTACAAGCTCAGGGAAATTATACTGTACATACTAAGGCAGCCTTACTCAATCTGGCATCCTCCACTTAGGCTGAAAAGCAAGTATAGCTGCCAGCGAATGAAGAAGAAGATAAAGGTAGATTTCTGCTGACTTGCTCTTGTCTTCTTCTGGCTGATATTTTTCAGCTCCCCAGTTGAGCAGAGACTTTTCTTGTGGTCTCCCAGATCCAAATGTTGACTTGGTTGACTTTGCTAAGAGGTCTGCCCAGTAAATTGAGTATGTCAAACTTTGGTGGTCTTCAAAAATCACAAGTAGGGAGAAAGCTGGAATGAGCCTTGTTAAAAAAGAGAAAAGAGGTATTTCTAGATTACTTCTCAGAGGTTGGAGAAGAAAAAAGGCAAAACTCTGGCTTGGATGGGAGTAAAGAGGCTCTTCTGTATCCAGCAGGGGTCAACTTTTGTGACTTGTGTAAACAGGGCTGTTGTTTGTGACTAGCTGTGACATCATCAACAATTAAAATCCCTCAGTAGCTTACAATCTCTCCATGTTGTAGAAACTCAGCCTTTGATTTTTATTGGATTCTGGATCCTGCAGCCATTTATGATCCAGTTGTCAACCAGAAATCCAGAGAGGATTCCCTGTCCTCAAAGTGGGATCTGATCCATCCTTGGATGAGTTCTCACAAAGCTATTAAAACACGGAGGTTCCTGAGACTCATCCAGATCTTTTGAAGTTTTAAGGGCATGGGAACCACAATTCTTCAGCCAGTGTTAGTGGGACGTGTTTCTGGGATTTCACCTCCCAACAGATTTTGAGCAGGCTAGATTAATGTAGGCGGAAATCAGTTTTCTGGGCTTGTGGGTTCATGTATGACAATCATGGTGACATAATAAATGTGTTGCGTAGGGCTTGAAAGGCACTTGGTACAGTGATGGAGGCACCAGGCCACAGATGGAGATATCATAAATTTGAGTCCACTTTAGGCACAACACCAGCTGGGCAACCTTGGGCCTGTCCTTTTCTCTCAGCCCTTGGAAGGAGGCAATGGCACAAACCACTTCTGAAAAACTTTGGCAAGAAAATTGTAGGGATTTGTCCTGGCAATCTCCAAGAATCAGAGATGAACGAAAGAGAGAGAGAGAGAGAGAGAGAGAGAAGGAAAGGAAAATGAATGAATGAATGAAAGAATGAATGAATGAAATAATAAATGAATGAAATAATAAATGGCTGATCTTTACATATAGAATAACTGTCTTGCTTGCGGTTTAGGGAAAGGGGTATCGTGCCAGTTACATTTTTTGTTGTTGAGTTTTGTAGTAGAATTGGAAAGAATTTGGTCTCTGCATGAGTTCCTGTTCTGGCCTAGTTGTTTTGCCATTCAAACTCTGGCATCTTCATCCGTTTCTTGCAATTTCAGTGCTTCTAGCCTTCCGCACAGATACAGCTGTCATTTCTGTCTCAAACAAGCTTTTTTTTTTTAAGTTGCTCTTATTATATTTGTGTGTTAGATGGGGAAATGTAATTTGCAAACTGCACATCACATCCAATTTGAAAAGGGGGGGGGACCGCATCATTAAAAGATGAGTTTAATTAGGAGGGAAGGACATTCGGTTGCAGAGGTTTAACTGCTGTTAAACCAGCATTTAAACCTGTTTGTTCAGCATCGTGTCATGAGTTTTCTCTGGGAAAGACAAGCTGGGACACGTCTTATGTGTTGCAATTACACCAAAAATTTACTACCATACTGGAGTGACATCCAGTTAATATTAAGTATTGGGTGGCAGAAATAAAATGGGTTTGGGAGACTTCTAAAGTATGCACGTGCCCTTGGATTTTCCATCCCACCCTCCAAGAAATGGTGAGAATGCATATATTTGTTTCTATAATAGCATCTTCATCAGCAGTGTTTTTTTCATAGTTAATGAAGCGTGGGTGTTTTATTCATCAGTCTAGATAAAAATCAGTTTTAAACCAGAATGACTGAAAAATAATTAAGGATGTGGAATTTTCTTTCTGAAGTTTTTTTTTTTTTCATTAACAAGCGGCTAGTTTTACTCCTGTGTTCAAACATAATTATAATCTGAATACTAAGAGAAATGAATTTTACGAAGAAAGATGATCACGACTCTGTAAAAACTCGGCTTTTATTCTTTCTTGCAATTCATACATAATCATGTAACACCTATATTTAAATGTAAATTAAAACATTCAGATTTTTTTCCTCCCCACCACCAGAAATATCCTCAAAGACCGACTCTGATCTCAGATTTAAAATATCTGAGGAATAGATTGGGTCTATGTTGTAAAATTTGCTTTTTGCACAATTAATCTCTGAGAAGCAGAAAAGCCCAGAAATTGTTTTCCTCTATAAATTCTGAGCTGTTTGTTGAATGTGAATCTTCTATGGGAATAAATAAAAATTGAATAATTGCTAAATATAAAAATGATCTGAATGAACAACAGAACAACAGAGTTGAAAGGGACCTCGGAGGTCTTCCAGTCCAACCCCCTGCTCAAGTAGGAGACCCTATACCCGTGATGGCACGTGTGCCACAGGTGGCATGTGGAGCCATTTCTGCGGGCACGCGAGCTGTTGCCATACCTCAGCTCCAGCCCGCATGCGCGTGCCGGCCAACTGATTTTCAGCTGGCCCCACTCACGCTGCACCTTCCCTCCCAGGAGTTTCCACACGGCCCGTTTTGGATGCCAGGGCTCATGTGGAGGCTCTGGGAGGCCGTTTGTGGCCTCCAGGGGGGCAGGGAAGGCCGTTTTTGCCCTCCCCAGGCTCCAGGAAAGCCTCTGGAGCCTGGGGAGGCTGAAAAACGGGCCTACCGGAAAGTCTGGAAACGGGCCGTTTCTGGCCTCCGGAGGCTTCCTGGTGGCCTGCTAGGCCCAAAACAGGATACTGGGGGCGGTGTCATGCACACATGTGCAGGGGAGTGTGGGGGACACGCATGTGCAGGGTGACGGGGTGCGGGGGGGCATTGAATTATGGGTGTGGGCACGCGCGTTATCACACGCGCATGATTTCGGCACCCGAGGGAAAAAAGGTTCGCCATCGCTGCCCTATAGCATTCTCTTCTTAAAAGCCTTCAGGTGATGGAGCAACCACAATTTCTGAAGGCAAACCGTTCTACTGCTTAATTGTTCTCAAGTGAAATCGATTAAACTGCAGGGTGGCGGGACGTTCTGTCACGAATTGTATCACTGGCTTACTGGGCGAACCATATTCTAGTTGTTTTCCAGACCTACGCGGTAGATTTGGAGGTGAAAGATGACTCTAACGTGTCTTGCCTGTTTGCGAAATGGATGGTGAAATTCTCGATAACCTACGAAGGAACCGATGAATCTGTAAGCATGCCTGGTTTATTTATCTGTTTGTTTCCCGGTATTTAAGCTAGCGGTGGGCAATATGGAGGAACCTCTGCATCCTGAAAACACAAGCATCTCCAACAAATCCTGTCTGAAATTTGTTTAAATAACCGAGAAGACCTTTGGATTTAATTCCAAAAGGCCTCTGGGGGAGAGAGCAGGTGTGCGACAGCACCTGCCAGGATGGCAGTCCTTTAAACAGCCGTATCTTCTTCTGGGTCTCTGTGCTTAAAAAGCAACAGCTGCTTTAAAGGGCTTCTAAGAAGTGCTCCCCGCGTCCTTGCAAAACACCTTTTCACTCGTCCTTAAAAACCCACTGAGTAAGGAAAGGTTTGACTTTAAAATTCATGCCATATTTTTTTGTCATATTAACAAAATGACAAGAGTTGGAAGGGACCCTTAGTGGTCTTCTAGTCCAACCCCCTGCTCAAGCAGGAGACCCCCATACCATGTCAGACAAATGGTTGTCTTCTTAAAAGCCTCCAGTGATGGAGCAGTCACAATTTCAGAAGGCAAAGCTATTCCACTAGTTTGTTGTTCCAACTGTCAAGAAATTTCTCCTGAGTTCTAGTTCACTTCTCTCCTTGGTTAGTTTCCACCCGTTGCTTCTTGTCCTGCCTTCTGGACCCTCAAATATTAGAAGACGGCTATCATCTCATGTCACCGCTTAAGAGAGGGGGTGGTCGGTGGCTAAGATGCTGAGCTTGTCGATCGAAAGGTCGACAGTTCAGCGGTTCGAATCCCTAATGCAGCATAACGGGGTGAGCTCCCGTTCCTTGTCCCGGTTTCTGTCAACCTAGCAGTTCGAAAGCACGTAAAAAAATGCAAGTAGAAAAATAGGGACCACCTTTGGTGGGAAGGTAACAGCGTTCCATGCGCCTTTGGTGTTGAGTCATGCCGGCCACATGACCACGGAGATGTCTTCGGACAGCGCTGGCTCTTTGGCTTTGAAACGGAGATGAGCACCGCCCTCTAGAGTCGGGAACGACTAGTACGCATGTGTGAGGGGAACCTTTATTTTTATCATTTCGTCACTCAACACAATGTTTGAACGTGGATGCTTTCCAGCGAGAGTTCATCGGTGGTCTCGCGCACATTCGGCTTAAAAAACTCCTGCTTGGTTTGAAATCTTTTTTCAGAAAACAGCTACGTTTATGCTCCCGGAAAACCTGAGCTACATCGGAACCTCTTGTGGGAATGAGACCTCGGGCCCTGTCCTTTCTATTGAGTTTGGGGACGGGAATTCTTGGACCATCCGTTTTACAAAGACCAAAGACACTTATCAAGGAGTCATCACCTTTGTCTATAACACCGGAGACTCGACATTCTTTCCAGATGCTAAAAGGAAAGGTAGGTGTGGGGGGACTTCAGGTTGCTTCGGTTCAGGGGTGGGCTGCTGGGGGTTCACAGGGATTTGGGAGAACCTAAGATTCTGTGCAGTTTGGAGAACCCCCAAATCCACTCCTGACTGGTCCCATCTACCCCGCCCCTCCCAGGAGTCTCCACGTGGCCTGTTTTGGATGCAGGTAAGTGCAGGGCACATGCGGATATCCAGAGCCTCCGTGATGACGTCCGGGCGAATGGGAGGAGCCTCCCGCCACTGCTGCTACCAGCTCGCCCAAACTGGTAGAAACCCACTACTGATTACTGAATCTTATGAGGATTATGGACTGTCCAATAACAATCCCGAAAGGGGAGAATTGGGTGTCTTAATGTAGCACGAAGTGCTCAGTTTATGAGGAAGAGGTTTTGTCATGAGGGGGAAAAAAAACAGGTGGTTGCATTTCCGCCCTCTTGAGCTTATTGCAAAAACCCGAACATGGCAAGATTCTCTTGCAAAACCCCCACGTCTTACTCTTCGACTTCCAGGTTGTTTTACTTATTGCTGTGGTTTGCCTCTCCCTGCAAATTTAAACTGGCCTGGCCTGAAAGAGAATTTTCTCATTTTATATGCTATGAAGAGGGCAGAGCTCAGTTGAGCAAGACTGAGTGGGCACTTAATTCTTCTTGATCCTCATTTTATACATAAGACGCCACTTTGGCTGTTTCTCCCGAGTGAGCTAAAAGCGCTTTCCTCCTTCCTTCCCTTAACAGTTCTTTGCCACGGATCTGGATAGAAAGTCATTTCCTCTGTCTGGATTGATCTTGTCACATTAATTGGAGTCTGATGACTGGATTGCAAGCCCTGATTGCTAGCTTGCTTCAAATGGGTGCCATTGTCTTTCTCGGCCTCCGGGTATTCTGCAAGGAATTTTATCCCAAAGGGATGCGGTGGCTCAGTGGCTAAGGCGCTGAGCTTGTCAATCAGAAGGTTGGCAGTTCAGCAGTTTGAATCCCTAGTGCCGCGTAACGGGGCGAGCTCCCGTGACTTGTCCCAGCTTCTGCCAACCTAGGAGTTCGAAAGCACGTAAAAAATGCAAGTAGAAAAATAGGGACCACCTTTGGTGGGAAGGTAACAGCGTTCCGTGCGCCTTTGGCATTTAGTCATGCCGGCCACATGACCATGGAGACGTCTTGGGGGAGCATTGGCTGGCTCTTCGGCTTTGAAACGGAGATGAGCATCGCCCCCTAGAGTCAGGAACGACTAGCACGCATGTGCAAGGGGAACCTTTACCCATACCTTAAACCAAAGGTGCTTTTCCAAAAGGCAACTGGACTTTCTTGGGGGGAGGGGTTTCCTGGAAAACGTTTCGCTTCTCAATGAAGAAGTTGCTTCAGTTCAGAAGAAGTTCGCTGAAGTTTATTGGAGAAACTTCTTGGATGAGAAGCGAAACATTTTCAGAGGGGAAAAAAACAAGAAAACCCAATTGCCTTTTGGAAAAGTGCTTTTGGGGCAACCACGAGCTGGATGGTTGAGAATCTCCATAGACATTTAAGGTTTCTATATTTGCAAGTTTTGGACCCAAACATGTTGATTTCTTTACAGAACGAATAACCATTGTGGCCAATTTTCCTGCCAACCCAATTCCGCTAAACACGGCGTTTAGTTGTGGCACTGAGGACACGGTGAAAAGTGGTGATGTCACCCAGACGTTCCAGAGTGTAACTCTGCAAGCTTTCCTTCAAGATGGACGCTTGAGTAGCCAGAGTGAGTAGCTCAAGAGTACTCGACGGTTTTGGAAACTGGCCAGCGCCCACGTTTGAAAAAGTAAACAGTTCCTGTCCTGAGAACCAAGACTTTTGAGTTGGACACTCCTGAATAGGTGGTACTTTCTAGCCAGAAACGTGTTCCCATAAAGCAGGGGTGGAGAACGATGGCCCTTTTATGACTTGTGGGCTTCAATTCCCAGAATTCCTGAGCCCAGCTATTCTGGTTTAGGAATTCTGGGAGTTGAAGTCCACAAGTCATAAAGGAGCCATCATTCCCCACTCTGCTTTAAAGGCTGCATTTATGGGACTGATATCAGTGACATGGGTTGGCCCCACCATGATCTACCTGAGACAGTCACCTCGAGCAGAAGAAGAGAGGAGATAGCAGCAAGGTGTCAGAGAAGAGAGCCACCTGCGACAAGACCTGTTTCTTCTAAGATAGGTTGTGATTTTGAGATACACGGAAGTTCCATTGATGTTACTAAAGAAATATTCAACTGTCATCCTCTAGGGTGGCATGCAGAAGGGTCAACATCTTCTCACCCTAGAGGTCTTGGATTGGCCATGTCTATGGTGTTGGTTCCTGGGATGATGTTTTCACAATCCTTTTTTAGATGACTCGCTTGGTCTAGAGATGGGGGTGTGCTGCTGGGGGTTCGTAGAGGTTCGGGAGAACCTCTAGCTAAGATTCTGTGCAGTTCCGAGAACCCCCACATCCCACTCCTGGCTGGCCCTGCCCACCCTGCCCCACCCCTCCCAGGAGTCCCCACGCGGCCCGTTTTGGATGCAGGTAAATGCAGAGCGTGTGAAGAGGCTCAGGGAGGGTGAAAAACGGGCCTACCAGAAGCTTAGGAAGGCCGGAAACGGGTCCTGGGGAGGCCGTTTTTGCCCTCCCGGAGGCTCAAACAAAACCTCCAGACCCCGGGGAGGGCAAAAACACCGCCCCCGCCACCATTGTGCAGGAGTCCAACTAGGCCACGCCCACCCAGCAACCTGGCAGAGAACCCCTTGCTAAAATTTTTGAAGCCCACCCCTGTTTGTAGACACCCATGAAAACGTTGCAATATAATTCAACATCCAGAATTTGTAACTTTCCTGAACGTTTGACTTCAGTTCCCATAATCCCCAGCAGGTTTTTCCAAAGTTTGTAGAAACTACAGTAGGTTCAGGGCCTCCAATGGGAAAAATGCTGGGTTTGGTAGTATACAAGTAGGCCTCATCTTACAACTATTTGTTTAGTGACCACTCGAAGCTGTAATGGCAGTGAAAAAAGTCACCTACGACCAGATTCACTTAGCACCCGTATTGTTACTAAAATTGTAGTCATTCACTTAACAACTGTGGTAAGAAAAGGCCGTCACACGGGAGCGAAACTCGCTTAGCAGCTGTCTCACATAAGAACAGATATTTCGAGCTCAGTTGTGGTCGTAAGTTGAAGATTACCTGTACTGTGCCGGATACAAATTTAAGGGTTTTCCAGAACTGGCTCCTGTTTCAAATTACTCTGTTTTCCCTCTCTCTCCCACCCAGAAACTCTGTGTGATAATGACATGACAGCTACTATTCCTGGGGCCAGCAAATCCGGCAACACTGGCACCGCAGAGTTAAATGCCACAGAAACGCCATCATCTCCCACCATCCAACCAGAGGAGAAACCTGCCTCAGGAAGCTACACGGTCAAAACTGGCCCGGTTACCTGCATTTTGGCAAACATGGGTTTGCAGCTGAACGTCACCCAACAGGTTTAACAGATAATACTGTCTTGGTTATTCCTTCGCCGTTGTGAAGTGTTGTGTCTCACAGCTGTTTTGACCCGGCTCCCCAAACACGACAAGCCCTCTGATGTGAACTCAAAAGATTCCTTTAATTAGAAGCAACCCCGGCAAAAAGTTTCTCTCACAGGCTAACAAGTCCATCCAGCCGGAAGATGAATAGTTCTCTGCTACATCTATTCGTCTCCGGCCCCTGCCTTTTATCCTGAGAGTTAGGATGGGGCCTCGTTAGCAGCAGTGGCTCTTCCTTCCCAAGGATCAGCCCATAGATTTCCACTCTTCTCCTCTCCTCTGCCTTCTGTGTAGCTGTTGGTCAGGCACTGGACCCAGCTGTTCCTCCTCCTCTCCATCAGCCACCTCCAGACCTGGGGGCTGTTGACTCTCCATCTGAGGGCTGACGGATGGCCCAGGATCCGCCTCTCTCTCTCTCTCTCTGCCAGCTCCATTCCTTCTTTCCTGCCCTTGGAGCTCCCAGGTTGCCCTGATGCTGTCCCTGACTCGCACACCTCCTTTTCTGATATGGCTGCTGGAGAGGGTGGCAGCCAACAGGCCACAACAACAGTGTTGATGCTAATGGTGTCTACCACAAGGAGACACAGAAGCTGGTAATGTCTGGGCTGATTTTAATTTTCATGAGGATGTGGCTGAAGTTGGGTGGTAAAAATGCTGAATATTGCTTTAGGGGCGTGTGGGCTTTTCTCCTTTTTATGCTAAAGTTAGAGAGAAAAGGAATATGGAAAACTTTAGTTCTATGCCTAGGAAGCAACTCAAAAACTCATTTTAACCTAGCCTTGGATATCTGCACTAAAAGAAGACTTAAATGATAAAAACTTAGCATTCTCAGTTGCCAAGAGAATCCTTGCTCTGACTTGACCCTTAAGAGAAGAGATATAGATATGTAAAAACTACTAAAAAATGGATTTTTCAACCCTTTTTTCCTTCCGCTTACCATCCCTGCTTGGTTAAAAGACGATCAGGCCAGAGCAGGGAGTTAACTCGTAAAGGATTGCTAATGAATTCCCTTTTGTTTTAAATTACACGTTTACCGATTGGTTTTGCTTATTGCACACAAGCCAGAGTTGCAGTTCAGGTTAAGCATGTAAAGTTATTAAACGCACAAATAAAAAGAGCTTTGGTTTTTTTTTGGCTGTCCAGCTCTCCAGTAGAGGGAGCATAGATTCCCCAAATCTTGTCTGGAATGGCGGTAAATCCTGATTCCTTGAGACTATAAGGCGCCTTACTGATTAATTATGGATTAATTATAGAAGAATAAATTTCTTTTAGATCAGTAAGCAAAAACAGCAGCGGCTTTGAGGAACACCCTCCTTTTAAAGATGACTTCTATATTTTTTTTCTCCAGGAAAAAGATTCTTTTTTTTTCCCCCTCAGCAAAATTTGAGTTCATTTTTTTTAAAAGTTGGCCGGGTTGATATTTTAATGAATCTTTATGTTGACGTGCTTCGTTTCTTGGTTCTGATATTGTTCCTAACCATCGTTGCACCTTTTTAAATAAAGGTGGGATGTGAGTTTTGGAAGAGATTTTGAGTTCCCCAGATGTCTGTGGAGATTCTCAGTCATACAAGATCATGGTTGTCCCAAAGGTGTTTTTTTTTTCCCAAGAGGCAACTGGACTTTCTGGTTTTTGTTTGAGATGTTTCGCTTGTCATCCAAGAAGCTGAGTTCCCCAGAGCAAGGGTCTCCAACCTTGGCAACCTTAAGACTTATGGACTTCAACTCCCAGAATTCCTTTCCTGGGAAGAAAGCTGGCTGAAGAATTCTGGGAGTTGAAGTCCACAAGTCTTAAAGTTGTTAAGGTTGGGACCCCTGTCCTAGAGCCCAAATATTTTTGGTGGGGCTTCCCACCTGTGAGAGGTGTGTGCAGTGTGAGACACAATCATCCCGCTTCTGTTTGTCAACCAGGTTGAAGATAATTTTGTGAGCTTCAAAGCGTGAAGATATTTGTGGGTAGGGATAAAAGACGCAGAAGAAACTCAGCTTTGAAAGGGCGCTGAAATGCTTCTGGGTTTTTTTCCCCCCCAGATTCCCACGATAATCAACTTCAATCCAAACAGCACAGTGGCCTCTGGTAATTGTGGCAAGACAACTGCCGTGCTTCGGTTGAGTGACGGTAACACTAAGGTTGATTTCCTCTTTGCTGTGGTAAGTAGCAATAGCACTTGGACTTATATCCCGCTTCACAGTGCTTTACAGCCCTCTCTAAGTGGTTTACAGAGTCAGCCTATTGCCCCCAACAATCTGGGTCCTCATTTTACCCACCTCGGAAGGATGGAAGGCTGAGTCAACCTTGAACTGGTCAGGATCGAACTCCTGGCAGTGGGTAGAGTTAGTCTGCAATACTGCATTCTAACAAGGAAGGGAAGGGAGGGGAGGGGGGAGGGGAGGGAAGGAAAATAGCCATAGCCCTTCGACTTATATACTGCTTTACAGTGCTTTACAGCCCTCTCTAATATTGCCCCCAACAATTTGGGTCCTCATTTTACCCACCTCGGAAGGATAGAAGGGTGAGTCAAGCTTGACTCTGGTGAGATTCGAACTGCCAAATTGCAGGGAGCCGGCAGTCAGCAGAAGTAGTCTGCAGTACTGCACTCTGACCACTGTGCCACCGGGGATCACCACCGGGGCATGTACCAATTGATGTGCCGACTTTATTTATTTAGTTGGTATTTCCCCCTGCGAGTTGATTCACCTTTTCCTGATAGAACAAGAAATCTCTGCAAGAGAAAGCAGGGAAACCTTTTCGGTTGTGTTGGGGGAAGCAAAGAGGTTCCAACCGGCTTCTTCCAGAATTATTGCTCCAGCCTTAAATGCAGCCACTGCGGGTTCATTTTACAGTCAGAAAAAGGGCCCGTCTCTCAAAATTGGATCGCTTTCATTAAGTCATGAATTAACAGCCTGTTGCAGTATCAGATTACACCCAGAAGGACGGAGATATCCAATGGGGACTTCAGTCTGTTAGGCATTCATTACATGCTACTTCCATGCTAAAAGGCCCTTGAGTGAGTGACACCAAACTGTCATTTTTTCATGGAACAAAAGGGAGGAAAAATGATTTGGTGCATTCATTAAATTGCACTGAAACAAACATGCAATTGATTTTTTTCCCCCTGCTCTGCTGATACTTCCCAGAGATTTAAGGTTGCCATGATCCTCCCTCTCCCCCAGATTAAATAAAATAAAATTGTACGCTATGTTTGTGCTGTTAGGAGTGGTGCGGTGGTATAGAGGTGGAGCTCTCGCCTCACAATCAGGAGGCTGTGAGTTCGATCCTAGGTAGAGGCAGATATTTCTCTCTCTGGGCACCATGAGAATTTATCTGCTGAACAAAACTCCGCATCGGCGACAGGAATAGCATCCGGCCAGTAAACGCTCTGCTAACTCCATTCCGTTGCCCAGACTCCACCCCGCAAGGGATTATGGGGTCGTTAAATGGGGATGGTGATATTCGTGCTGTTAGGTTTCCCCTGAAAAGTATTCTCGGTAAAATTATGTCCGTTGTATATGTGTTAACCGGGTTTCATTTTGTGAAACAGAAAAATTCTACCTCTTCGGAAAAATTCTATCTGAAAGGAGTGGATATCAGTATGACGGAATCGCTAAACGGTAAGTGAGGTGTCCTCAACTTACAACCGTTCATTCGGTGACCGAAGTTACAGCAGCATTGGAAAAAAGAAGGGACTTATGACCGTTTTTCACACTTATGACTGCTGCAGCATCTCCATGGTCGTGGGATCAAAATTCGGGCATTTGGCAAATGACTCTATTTATGATGGTCACCTGATCCCCTTTTAGGCGACCTTCTGACCAGCAGTGTCAACGGGGAAGTCAGATTCACTTAACAACCAGGTTCCTAACTTAACAACTACAACGGTTCACTTAATAAACCAGAAATGCATAATCCTTCTCTTGCAAAACAGGGTATGGTAAAATATAGCTTCCGCTATTGTATAAAGAAAGCAGGTGGTTAAATTAGATATATAGAGAGCCACTTTGATCTAGAAGTTAAGGTACCAAGCTAGAGAGCCAGAGACTGTGAATTCTAGTCTCGCCTTAGACATGAAAGCCAGCTGGGTGACTTTGAGCCAATCACCAGGAGACAGTGAATTCTAGTCTCGCCTTAGACATGAAAGCTGGCTGGGTGAGTTTGGGATCAATCCAGGGGTGAAATCCAGCAGCTTCTGACAGGTTCTGGAGAACCGGTAGCAGAAATTTTGAGCAGTTCGGAGAACCGGTAGTGAAAATTTGGAGTGGTTCAGTGAACTGGCTGGCCCCAGAGTGGGGTGGGAATGGAGATTTTGCAGTATCCTTGCCCCAGAAGTGGGGAGGGAATGGGGATTTTGCAGTTTCCTTCCCCAGGAGTGGGGAGGGAATGGAGATTTTGCAGTATCCTTCCTTTGCCATGCCCACCAAGCCACGCCCACAGAACCGGTAGTAAAAAAAAATTTGGATTTCACCACTGGACCAATCCTCTCTCAGTCCAGCTCACCTGACAGGGTGGTTATGGTGGGGAAAATAGGAGGAAGGAGTATTTGATTTGATTTTTCTGCCTTTTAATTGTTTATTTAAAAAAAGACGGGATATAATTTTTAAAATAAATAAAAATAAACTGTCATCCAAGCTCACCTACCATCTTGTTCCTCTTCAGCTACCTTTTTGGCCTCAAATCACACCCTCAACAACTGGGAAACCACCATGGGGAACTCATATCTGTGCCGAAAAGAAGAATCGATCTTTGTGAGCCCTGGCTATAAAGTCAACATCTTCGATTTAAAGATCCAGCCATTTGAAGTGGAAGAAGGGCAATTTTCAGCAGGTAAGAGAGAAAAGCCAAGGAAGATTTGGGACTCTTCCATCTAAAGATTCAAGGGACAAATGTCTATGGAGATTCTCAAGTCATCCAATGTCATGGTGGTTCTAAAGGTCCTTTTTTTTTTTTTTTTTTCTTCAAGAGGCAACTGGATTTTCTGGTTTTTTCTTTAAAGATGTTTCTCTTTCTCATCCAAGAAGCTTCTTGAGCTCTGGCCGGATGGTGAGGAATGGAAGGATTTATATTCCTTGCAAACAGCTGGTCATTTGCATTCTTTTATCAAATCGTTGAGGCCACTTGGAGGTTTATCTGTGTCCTCAGGGTCAACCTCAGTGGTGCAAATGGGTACGGAGCCTTCTTGCAACGGCTGAAAGGACTGTGTTGTAGAGTGGAGATAGATAATGCGGTATCCTTCCCCCTCTGTTGAGAGAGGGGCTGTTCAATTTTGACCTAGATGGCCTCTTTGACCCCTCTTTCAAGCCAGCAGTCCTCTCTATCCAAAATGTGGACTTTGCTGTCTTCAAAAGAGCGGCCTTTGTCTTTTAAACGCAGAATCTTGTCCGGATAGTTGTTCGTTTGTTTGTTCTCCTCTGTTGTGCCATGCGTTTATTTCATTCTCCACCATCCGGTCAGAGCTGAAGAAGCTTCTTGGATGAGAAGCGAAACGTCTTCAAAGAAAGACTAAAATGTCCAGTTGCCTCTTGAAAAAAGCACCTTTGGAACATCGAAGGGACAATCAATTAAATGTGGAAACACCTAGTCCTCAGTTTACAACCAAAACTGGAGCCAGAATTTCTCTTGCTAAAGGAGGTTGTTAAACGAGAGTCATGTCTGATTTTTGCCTCACTGACTTTGCTTGTCAGAAGCCTCCTCAGAAGGCCGCAAGTGGCCCTCACAAGACCCCAGGATGCTGCAACCCTCATAAATACGGGGCAGTTGCCAAGTACCCATATTTTGATCACATTCTGGGGATTCTGTGACAATCATAAGTGCAGTTCTAAGCCACTATTTTCCAAATCGCGGTTGTAACTTCAAAATGGCTGCTGAAATAATGGCTGTAAATTCAGGATAGCCTCCAATCCCTGAATTGCATGACCCAGAATGCTAGAGAATAGATAAAAATCTAATGATAACAATAAGAGCTTATGCTGACAACAGCTTTGGAATATATCGAAAGAGGAGTAGATTCCATAAAAGGGGAGAGAAACTGATATATCTCATTAAAACCGTAGCCGGTTCCTTTAAAAATCAAGATTTCTGCTGCGAAAAATACTTGGGTCTATTTGCAAAGAACTTTCAAGCTGATAAATACACTTATGTCCCACTTCTCAAAACAATGTTGAATATCTTTTTTAAAAAAAAAAACACTTAAGAACTTCTGACTCTTGAGCCTCTTAAAACAAATTTATCTTAAGATAAATATACTTTGTAAACGCTATAAAAGTAGCTTTGTGTTGAATTAAGTTTATTCTGTGTGTTTCATAATCATCTTTTTTGGAGCCAAAATTTTTCAGGTGATGAACAGGACTGAGAGAAGATTGACCTGAAGCCTGGATTGACCTCTTAATCTAAATTTTTGATATATATATATCAATATATATATATATTAGTTGCATCACTTTTAAGCATCTATGTTAATTTTTAATCTAAAAGCTGGTAAATTGGCATGCAAGAAAGGCAGAATATCCCCAAGATACTTCCGGAAGCAACCCCGTAACTTAGAAAATGATGTCAGATTTCACAAGGTTTTGATGTCCTCATGATAAGAGCTTATAAAACTTCTAGCCAGAATGCCAACGTCTTAAGGGAGAAACCATGGGTATTAAAAGAAAAGTTAATGAAGAATTCTGGTGGAAGTTTAGCCATTTTGAGATTCTGGCCAGATTTCATTTCAGCCATTGGCAAAAGGCCATCTTGGCATCAAATTGGCCAGATGTTCTTTTTTTTTTTTTTCTCAATTTCCACAGAAAATATTATGAAAGCATCTCTTAAGATGGATTCGCTAACTTAGGTTTGTAATGTCTGCGTGAAGACTGACAACTCTAGATTTCTCTTTTCAGCCAACGTCTTTTGATTTTTATTCTTTCTTTTTGTCACCCCATTTCTCATTTACAGCGGGAGAATGTTCGCTGGATGATGACACTGTTCTAATCCCAATTGTAGTTGGAGCTGCCCTTGCAGGCTTGGTTGTCATAATAGTAACCACTTATTTAATTGGCCGGAGGAAAACGTACGCCGGCTATCAAACCCTGTAGAGTCCAGCGTGACTGTTCTTCAATCTTAAAAGCCCGTTTACCACGTAGAAGCCAACTGTAAAATTTGGGACTCTATTTAAAAATGGGGAACTCCTCCTCCCCCCGAAACACAGCCAACAATTGATCTCTAATTGTAATAAGGACTTTGCAAACTGCGTCGCAGTGCTTAGGAATGGCCAAACTCGACTCTGAAAAGAAACTTCAGCTTGAAATAGGGTTATGTCGAGCTGCACCCAGTCAGTCAATAAGTAATTTTTGAGAAGTGGGGTTGGTTTTAACCAGGCTCAATTTTAGGATGTTAAAGCAATAAGGGTGCAAAATCAAAGCATTTGCTAATGCTGTGTTGTGTGCAAACAAATGGTTAACCTGGGTGCTATAACGACTGTAACCTGGAAATCTAGGCCTACCTGCAAAGTTGTTTTCTTTCAGCTTATGATGCCAAACAAATCTGTTGGGTTAACTACTTCAGCCTGAGTAAGCTTAATTAATGCATTCTTTTTTTTTCTCTCTCTCCACCAATTTGGTAGCAGTTTACTAATTCCAAAACTCCTCTTGGCTCTTTGAGACTTAAAATAACACAACAGCAACATTGAAGGAGTGGGTATATTCCTCTCTTTTGTGAACCAGGCGAAAAGAGTTCATTGCTCTCTTATTAAACAAAACGAAACAAAAATAGGAGGAGAACATTGTCGTTTTAGGTAGCCTTAGTTTGTTTAGCAGATGTCCAAGGATTTTAATTCCTCTTTAGCTGAAGGTCTTACTTACTTACGAGCTGGGTGCAAATAGAAGACAGGCGTTGTTAAAAATCCAGATTTTGCACTTTTTGCATTTGCAGCCATGTGTAAACGGAGTTGAGGATCTTAGTCTCAGAAAGTTCCTCCTTGAAGTGCCTGTAAAATTTTAGCGCATAAATCCCCATTGTAAGCCTTCTTAACCAAAACAATGTGCAAACGGCTACTGTTTAAAGTTTTATTTTTGCCCCGGTAATAATGCAAAGACCATGAAAGATTGCTAAGCCAACGTCATAGCAGTGAGCTTCTCTGCCACTTAAAACAATTCCAGAACTGGATCTTAAGGCACTTTTAGTCTACTAAAACTCCCGAGTTTACAAACAATTAAGTGAGCAGTAGCCCTGTAAGGATGCATATTCTAAAAAAACATAGTCCTGTCCTTCCTTCATTTAATATCTTGCTTTTCTCCTCAATGTGCAACCGTAAATAAGGTTGCACTTAAATCGCTCTTGTATTACTCTTTTTGTGGATTCAACAGCTTTTTGTGTATTATTATACCAGTTAGTATATTTGTGAAATCATTATTTATATGCTACCGTAGATATTTAAAAAAACCGAACCAAGCGTGTAGTTTCACTTGAAAATATATCAATGCCTCTGTTGGATTTGCACCCAACTAAAAGTATGAACAATAGAGTAACCGGCCTGTGTCAATTTTGATAAATGTCTGCTTTTAACTGTTGGAGCAACTATGGTCTTTACTATGTTTGTATTTCTGTGTAGGAATTTGACTGTTTACACATAGTTCTCTAATAAAAATTCTTCTGTTCATGAGGAAATTTGGTGATGCTTAATTGAAAACCTTTCTCCAGAAATGTAGTCTTTTGCCTGGGTTTCAACTGGAATCTGAAGCAAACTCCCAGTCTTTTAGCGCTCTGCATCATAAAATTGTTTATTATTATTATTATTATTGATTCTTATCTGTCGTGAGGCTCAGTTTAGCTAAGGCATCTTTTAATGTAAACCATTGGGGTTTTTTTTCATACTTGGCAACTTTAAGAAGTGTGGACTTCAACTCCCAGAATCCTCCAGCCAACGTTCTGAATTCTGGAAGTTGAAGTACATCTTAAAGAATTCTGGGAGTTGAAGTCCGCACAGCTTAAAGAATTCTGGGAGTTGAAGTCCACACATCTTAAAGGTTGCCCTGGTTGAGACACACCTGTATAGGGAGTTAGTTCTTGTCACCTTCTTAACAAATTACACACAAATCTTCAACCAAGCACTGCCTCCTAATCAGGGAAGCCGCCAATACTGAAATTTAAACCATTGACAAGTCTGACTTCGTTAGAATTTCTGCTCCGTGATTGTAAGGTTGGAATTCACTAAACATCTGGCCTCATCACCATCCAGGTGGCCATGAGGAGGCCTTGTTGCAGATGTGGATGTGAGCCAGCTGCCAGGTCATTCCTATCATTTTGGACAGTAGGGGGCAGATGTGTATCAGCTGATCTCCACTATTGATAGAACGAGATTAGATCCTAGGAAGCCTGCCTTTAAAAGTTGTGGTGTTTTGTTGTGATCAATTTGAGCAAAGACAGAAGCTAGCTTTAAGCCTTTCTCAAGATAGACATATTAATACAAGGAAATGCTTTTCCTCCTCCTTGGTTTGTTCTGGTCTGGACCCCAGTCATAGATTTATAAGCAAGCACTCATTGGATAGTAGATAGATCAATAGTAAGGGACACAGTGGCTAAGACACTGAGCTTGTCGATCGAAAGGTCGGCAGTTCAACGGTTCGAATCCCTAGCGCTGCATAATGGGGTGAGTTCCCATTACTTGTCCCAGCTTCTGCCAACCTAGCAGTTTGAAAGCAGGTAAAAAAATGCAAGTAGAAAAATAGGGACCACCTTTGGTGGGAAGGGAACAGCGTTCCATGTGCCTTTGGTGTTTAGTCATGCCGGCCACATGACCACGGAGACGTCTTCGGACAGTGCTGGCTCTTCGGCTTTGAAACGGAGATGAGCATCGCCCCCTAGAGTCAGGAACAACTAGCACAATGAATTGGCTATGAAAGGCCTGTGTTGTTGCACCCCCAATGAATTTTCAAACTCAATAAATTAAGATGTCTGGACTTCAGTTACCAGAATTTAGAATATACAGTTAATTTGGAGGTAAAAAAAAATCTTTGCTCCAATGAAACTTACATTAACCAAGTAGAGATGGTGCTTCTATGCAGTGAGTCATCATGGTCAGTTTAGTTGTAACTTAGTCTATTGGGTGAAGCCAATAATTGGAGCTTAGTCTGCTCCTCATGATGAGAGCCACAAGCTAGAATTTGTTAGCAAAGCAAATGGTGCTGGTTATTCACCTAAATGGCTAAATAAATGGAAATTAAATTAGCCAAAGAGGAGGAAGATGGATTCATCGGGATGTCTAGAGATTTCCTGGAGATTTTGCTTTATCGGTTATGCTGCACAACGATTTCTTGAAGAAACCGCAGTGGCCCAGTTTATTATTAAAGCCATGATTTGGTTTCCCAACCACTATGGCTGGAGAGTTCCTGCTGGTGGAGGCCCTTGGGGAAGAAATATTGCTTCCTGGTTCTGATTTCCAGGTCCCGAGGAACATTTGGAGCAATGCGGTGGACAAGAGAAGTTGGCCTTTCCTTACTGAGTCTTGACAACAGCTCTTCCCAATGTGGACATCCTCCAAATTATGGCTCTTGAGGACCCATAATTCCAATCAGAAGTCATATTGGCTGGGAATTGAGTTTTATGTCTCTGGAGAGCATCTAGTTACCTTAACATGTTCCATAAACTTGGACTTTTGTTGAGGTCCCTAGGTTCTACAAGAAGCTCTCTCGGCCAAAGTGTCTCTGGGGGCTTTGCAAAGAGGGGAAGTCTGCTTTGCTTTGTTGTGTATGTTGTCAAAGCAACATGGGTGAGCTGCCTTTGGCATCTACAGTTGGGCCAGAGGCCAGGATGATGTTCTCTTCCAACAAGTCAACTCACCTGCTTAACTCTCTTTATCACCCTTTCTCCATCCAGCTGAAGATTGCATCCCAGCGGTCGACAACATCTTTGTGCCACTCCTGCTGGCAATAGCCTTGGTAGGCTTAGTTTGGCTGGTGGTGATGGCATATTGTACCAAAATTCGGCATCGTGCTGGCTATAGACAGATCTAGAGGTGGAAAAACCGATGCAGGGTGAAGCCCTTTTCAAACCGCCAAGGAGGAAGGATTTGTGGCCTGAAAGGTGTCATTTCTCACATGTGTTTGTTCTTTTCAAAAAAAAAAAAAATTGCACAAAAGAGCTGTTCTACTGACAGAAAGACGTTGGGGTTGACGGTTGTTAGATTGGCATCTTATTATGATAAGCTTAGAAGAGACGTCTTCTGAATTTGGATTTAAGCCAATAGAAGCGTAGAAAAGGACCTGCTCATTTTAAGGGGTGATTTAAATGTGGCCAACGCTGTATAACCTTAACATGTTCATAGCATCATTTTTTGTCGGGCTCCAAAAGGAAGAGAAAGAAGAATTACACTCAAGAAAAAAGAGATGCAGGGGGCATGCTTCTGAAATCTATTTTTTTTTTTTTCGTTCTGTATACTGGTGCTTTGCCACCCTTGTGAAAAAGCATGTTGTTGAAACGGGGAGTTTTGTAAAATGCTGTTGTTCTCGCTTCTCTACAACTAAAGCATTTTTGAGGGTGTTGAAATACTGTATCCTGCATTTGTTTTCTCCGCTGCTTCAGTTCAGCCACCTCGCAAAGAAGCCAAACCAGAATTGCAAAAGTTTGACCCTCTTGCTATATATATATATATATATATATATATCAGTGGTGGGTTACTACCGGTTCAACCCGGATCCGACGAACCGGTGGCGGCGGCAGGAGGCTCGGCCCGGACGCCTCTGTGCAAGCACAGAAGCATCGCGCATGCACAACTGCGAGTGAACCAGTAGCAACTGAAATTGAAACCCACTACTGATGTATATGTGTGTGTGTGTGTGTGTGTGTGTGTGTGTGTGTGTGTGTGTGGTGGGGGAGAGATGTTGACGGCTGGAACCAGAAAAGCATTGGCATTCCTAAATCAAGATCTTGACTCGGTGTAGACTTTGCCTGAAAAATCCGAACCCGATTTTTGAATCCAGCAGCTGGCTTCCCATGTGCGAAGCCACGGTTTATTGAAAAAGGCTACATGGTCATCGTCATCATCATAAACCAGCAACTTGGTTTAGCCACGTAGATCAGGCTGGGATGGGTGATTACCGATTCTGGACCTTGTCTTATCTATCTATCTTCCCACAAGGTCAGCTACCAAGAACTGCCAATTAGGAATTATGCAGGTTAAGAGCCTTGGTAGTACAGGGGTTTAAGGCACCCTGTTATTAAGCTGGTTATTAAGACCAGCTGCCTGCAATTACTGCAGGTTCGAATCTCGCCAAGGCTCAAGGTTGACTCAGCCTTCCATCCTTTCTAAGGTAGGTAAATTGAGGACCCAGTTGTGAGGGCAATAAGATGACTTTGTATAAATATACAAAAGGATGAAGGCTATTGCTTAATGCACTGTAAGCCGCCCTGAGTCTTCGGAGAAGGGCGGCATATAAATCAAATAAAAAAAAAAGAGAGAAGACTCCTCTAAATTAGTCCCGCCTGATAAGTTTTCATTTGGGAAATTCTGCAAACCAGGAAGAAAACTTAAGAGCCAAGTGGTTAAGAGCAGCCCACCGTAAATTAAATTTAAGAATATTACTACCGTGTTTCCCCCAAAATAAGACTGGGTCTTATAATAATTTTTTGCTCCAAAAGACGCACTATGGCTTATTTTCCTGCTAGGTCTTATTTTGGGGGGAAATACAGTACTAAACACCTCCGTCTGGTTGACGATCTTAACTGTGGCTTATATTTTGGGTAGGGCTTATATTAGGAGCATCCTGAAAAATCATGCTAGGCCTTATTTTCCGGTTGGGTCTTATTTTCAGGGAAACAGGGTATTTGCACTTTACCTGCCAATAGTTGCTTTAGTCACTAACTAACCCTCTGTCTCTTGTTTTCTCCCATCTTTATCTCTGCAGCTGAAGAATGTAAAAGCTCTGACATTCTCTATGTCATCCCTATTGTGCTGGGTGTGCTAACTGGTGTCTTGGCTATTCTTGGCTTTATCTTTTTCATGATTTCCAAACGCAAGCGTCAAGGGGATTATAATCCTGTGTAAATCTCCCTTCCCTTTTTCCCTTTTTCCCCTTCCCTTTCCTTCCCTTCCCCTCCTTCTTCCTCAGTCCATTTTCTTCCTTTTATTTCTCCCTCCGCATTTATGTGATACTCAGATGTTGTTTTTTTGAAAATTAAAAAACAAAAAAAAACCTGTCCATGTTTCTGAAAGTATTTTGCACTTTGTGTTGTGGGATGAGCTACACAGGGTGTATCTATATATCTATATCTAGCTAGCTAGCTAGCTAGCTAGCTATCTCGCATTGACACCTAAGGAAACATTTCGTTTGCAGTGGCACCCGTAAATGAGAGCCACTCACCACCTCAGTGTTTGCGAGTCTTTCTCACGAGTTGGGAACTCTGATCCTACCACATCTAGAAGATCTAGATGTCAACTTGCAAAGCATCCCTGGCCTGCTCTCTAGTTGCCATAGGCAAGGGGGATGGAAAACTGATGAAACAGCCCAGCATCCAAAGACAGATGCACATTCCAGACTTATCTCTCTCAAGGCTGTCTCCCAGGGTTACCCACAGCGGGTCGGAGGGGAGTGATCTCTACCACCCGTGAAATTGTTCTGTTGGCGAATGTGATTGATGACACACCCTGGAGGGAGGGGGGAAACAGGGTCATGATTGGGGCGTAAATTACATGGGGTCAGAGTTGGCTCCACTTCGGAACATGCCAACATGAAGCTTCTAATAACTGGGTTTCTTTTGAAGCCTAGCTCGAGGTTTCTGATTTAATTAGGGCATCTGTTGGAACCCTGACACTGGGTTGAGAAAGCCCACTTTGAACAGATTGAATGTTAAATAGGAAGAGGAGATCACCTTGATAGCCTCCACAACCTCAGGTAGCTGTGAACTGGGGAAACCAGTCTTAGGAAGGCATCGCCGTTTTTTTCTACCAAGACTGGAAACTCCTGTATTGCTGCATTTTGTAATTCTGTTATCTTAGGTGGGTGGGAATCTCAAATCTTTACTGAAAGTGGACTCCAAAATGTTGATTATATCTGGACGAAGTTGTGCTGACTCTCCCACGAAGAGATCTGGGGAAAACTCTGAAAGCTTGTTGAGGGATTAAGTAAAGTTTTAAAAAAGCAGGAGTTCAAAAGAAACTTCCTAGTCCCTTGGATTTCCAAGGTGGGAATCCTAATCTTGGTATGACCCTAGAGCCAGTTTGGTCTAGTGGTTAAGACATCGGGCTAGAAACCAGGAGATGATGAGTTCTAGTCCTGCTTTAGCCATTAAAGCGAGTGACTTTGGCCCAATCGGCAGGAGACAATGAGTTCTAGTCCCACCTTAGGCCTCAAACCTACTGGAGGACTTTGGGCCAATCACCAGGAGACTTAGAACTTAGAACTTAGTCCTTAATTCTAGTCCTGTTTAGGCATAAAAAGCCAATGGGTGTCTTTGGGACTATCATTCTCTTTCGGCCCATCTCATCCCCTAGGATGGTAGTTGTGGGGAAGATGAGGAATTTTTATTGTGTGTGTTCACCATCTTCAGTTATTGATAAAAATAAAAGTGGGGAATGTATAAATAAATAAAATGGAGTAGGGGCCCAACAGACCTCAAAAGAGCTTCTAGGTACCTTGGGTTCCAGGCCAAGGTGGAATCCTAACCTTGGTTGATTGTTTGCCCCAAGTCCTAAGACAGCCCATGGTACAATCGGGTGGGATTCAGCCAGTTAGGGAAAAGTCGATGTTAATTTTAATCTGGTTCGCCGAACCGGTAGTTGCAAGGACTGACTGACCCCGCCCATCCGGCCCCCTCCCCTCTTAGGAGTCTCCATGCAGCCCATTTTGAATGCCAGGTAAGTGCAGGGCTTTGGGAGGGCAAAAAATGGGCCTACTGGAAGTCCGGAAACAGGCCCATTTCCAGCCTCCGGAGGGCCTCCAAAGCCTGGGGGAGGCTGTTTTCACCCTCCTGGAGGCTCAAGGAAAGCGTCGAGCCTGGGAAGGGCGAAAACACCCACCCCCCTCCGTGGTGCAGGAAGCCAACTATGCCATGCCCCCATGGCCATGCCCACCCAGCAACCGAGCAGAGAACGGATTAAAAAATTTTCAATCCCACCCCTGGGTACAATCCATCAAAGGCATTTAAGACCTCCCCCCCTCAACTGCCATCCTTCAAGCCTTTGTGAACCCGCAGGCAGTATACAGAAAGAGGCTTTGTTAGGCTGTAAGTCAGTCCTTTTATTTCAGGGTACAAGCATCTGAGACCCCCCACCTCTCCACCGCCTTCCCCAGCCATTTCCATCCCTCCAGTCTAAAATGGCACCTCAGGAACGTTGGGAGGCAAACGAGAAAGCAGTCCGTACACTCTCCCAATGCTGGTTCTCCTCGTTCACGCGGACGTCTTACCACCCTGTTCCAAGGACACGAGATCGGGTTGAAGTACGCGACTCACGAAAGTCCCAATTCTGATGTCACAACTGTGGGGTGGCGGGCCTTCCGTGGAGGTCCTTGTTCCCCGTGGGATTTAAAACGGTGCGGAGGGTGAAGGCTTTCCAAGCAAACATCTTGAGATGATCAAGGCGGAAGAACACGAGGCCCCTCCCTAGACATCCCTCTTGCCTTATCTTTGCAAACCTGATTTAAGGCATTCAAGGCTGGTGAACATGAAAAAAACCCCACATTTTCCTCTCTATTTAAGGGAATATCTTATCTTGATTGAGAAGGCCTACGCTGCCTAGGAGGACATCACTGTCGCTAAATGGAGCCAGAAAAGCTATAGGACAAAAATAACTAGGGGGCAATGTTTGAAGGGGGCAGGAGGGGGGTCAAAGATTACGCTTAAGGCCAACTAACCATTTGTTCGGTGTTGTAAATCCTACGGTGGTTAAATCACAGGTTTTAGAAGGCTCTTTTTAATCATAGCTTTAGGAATATCCATTGCAAAAATAGTCAGAAAAAAAGCTGCCTCGTTCTCCTTCAATACCTATCCCATACTGGCCCATGAAATTAAATACAGAAATCGACTTCCGTATTGACAGTGAAGGGATCTTTCACCAAAGGGAAATTAAAAAATAATTTTAAAAAAAAACCCAACAAACAATAAAACCAATTATTTCTGATATTATGGCAAAACTCTGCATCTGATGCTAAATGCCATCCCTTCCGATACACCTGGGGCAAAGATCTAAAATGTTTCTTTTTTTTAATTTAAAATGCTTTTAAAAAAAAAATCATTGGGCTGATGGGTTTACTCGCAGGATGAATGTTTCGAGTGCTTGAACGTTGACTTCTGTGGTCTTATCTTGGGAGCTATCTTTATTTTTATTTTTATTTGTTTATTCTTTTTTTTTTTCCAGAGAAAACCAAAAACGATCCCTCAGAATAGGAGTTGGGAGTTTCCTGGTGCTGCTACGTCAATGGCCAATTGGATTTTTTTTTTCTTTTTTTCCCCCCCCTCCTCCCCGCGGCGAGGAAAAACGTTTGATTGCCATAAAAGGGTGATCACAAACGGAGAGAGATCTGGCCTTAGCTGTTGACGGTTAGTGTGAAAATGATCCGTCCCAGAAACCGATCGTTGTTAACGGTGTTGATAATCCCTTTCCCGTTCAGTTGGCATTGGAGGTCCAGGGTCTGGTTTCTTGTCATTCCTGTGAACTGAATAGCTACCAAGGGTTGTGTGTAGTTGACCTGGAAAAAGGGGATCAAATCAATCGAGACCTTTTTATTTCAGACTCGGAACGGCAATAAAACGGAAAGCAATGAAAAACAACGTAAGCGATCACCTTTACAGGCGGGCTGTAAGGAATAGGTCCGTGATGGCGAACCTATGGCACGCGTGCCACAGGTGGCACGTGTAGCCATATCGGTGGGCACGCGAGCTCAGCTGATTTTCGGGCCTTCTGGGCCCACCAGAAATAGGGAAACAGTCTGTTTCCTGCCTCCGGAGGACCTCAGGGGGTGGTGAGGAAGGCCCATTTTTCTCTCTCCCTAGCCTCCAGAGCCTTTCTAGGAGTCTGGGGAGGGCGAAAACGGCCTCCTCCCCCCTACCCCCATGGAGGGCCTCCGGAGGCCGACAGGCTGTTTCTGGCCTCCAGAGAGCCTCCGGGGAGGGGGTGGAGGCCATTTTTGCCCTCCCCAGACTCCTAGAAAGGCTCTGGAGCCTGGGGAGAAGAAAAGATGGACCTACTGTGCCATCGCGTGCCAAGAGTGGGGGGAGCAGGGGCTGTCACGCGCACATACATGGGGGCAGGGTGCATAGAATTATGGGTGTGGGCACACGCACGCACAACACACACACACACACACTCCTGGCACACGATGACAAAAAGGTTAGCCATCACTGGAATAGAGTATCCCTTCCAGTACTAACAATTGTTAAAACAGAGAAAGCATTGACGTAAAATGCAGGCAGGTAGTCCTCTACTTATGACAACACTTGGGACTGGAACTTCCATCAGCTAAGCCTCGTTATGTGAGTCACAACCTTTACGAATGGTTAGTAAGTGAACCACCAGAGGTGTTGAGCTTCCCCCAAGGGCCATCATAACTGAATGGACATTCAACTAAGGTTTACATGTATTGGGGAAACAACTGTCTAAATGAGTACCTCTATTGGACAAACATCTGTCTGAAGGGCTACCTCTATTGGAGAAACACCTGTCTGAAATGGTATGAGTCTCCTGCTTGAGCAGGAGGTTGAAGGCCTCCAAAGTCCCTTCCAACGTATCCAAAATACGTTATTCTCTATGTGAGCTGATATTAGGTCATTCAAAACACAATTGTAACTTAGATACAAAATTGTAAAATAATTTTTCGAGCCCCAGTAGAGCAGGATAAGTGCTGGCAGAATTGTATAGACTGTATCTCCAGGAGTTCAAAACATCTGGAGATTGTCAATGTGGACTTAAACTCTCCAGAAAGCTCCTAAATACCACAGGGGTTATTCACACAAACATTAATCCAACCGTTAAATTTCTACTTACATGCGTAAGTTTGCCGTAATAAGGGAAATACATGGGTTCAAATGTCTCACTTGGGAAGTAGTCTACTGACTGGAGGTGACTTTGATCGCCTCTCTGCAATTCAAAACAGAATAATTATGCCAACATACGCAACAAATCGACAACAGGCGACTCCGTTGATAGAAACCGGCTAGCCACTGTACCCAGGTATAAAAATTGTCCTTCCCTTCTCCAAATATTGGATTACAAGCAGTCTTTCACTTAACGACCACAATTGTGGCCAACAGTTCTGTTGCTCAGACATTTCTTAAGCTGAGTTTTGCCTCATTTTATGACCTTTCTTCCACAGTTGCTAAGTGAATCACTCTGAGAGACTCTGCCAAGTTTTGTCTTGTACTGCAGTTGGAAACAAGTTACGTGGCAGCTTGCCAAACAAGATAAGGTGTGTTGAGAAATATTCCTTTGAAATACTGTTTGGACAAAACTTGCTGACTGTGAATGAACGTAATTCACAGTCGTGTAAATAAAAGAGGTTTTGCCGGGATCAGTTCCTGCCTCCTGCTTGTTAAGGGGGCCTAGGTCAGAACAGACCTGTAGACCTCCAAGGATGTCTCAGCTAAACCAGAGCTGTTCTTCAGTTCATTTACAGAGTCCCCAAACTGGTAAAATCTGATTTAAATGGTAACCACCTCTTACTGCTCACAGTATTATGTCAAAATTGGTACCTTGGTAGTACAGTGGTCTAAAGCACCCTGTTATTAAGAACAGCTGCCTGCAATTACTGCAGGTTCGAATCTCGCCAAGGCTCAAGGTTGACTCCGCCTTCCATCCTTTCTAAGGTAGGTAAATTGAGGACCCAGTTGTGGGGGCAATAAGCTGACTTTGTATAAATATACAAAAAGGATGAAGGCTATTGCTTAACACATTGTAAGCCGCCCTGAGTCTCCGGAGAAGGGCGGCATATAAATCAAATTAAAAAAAATAAATAAATTGTGTCTCGTTAAAAAGAAAAAAAAGTAGGGAGGTTGGATAGGTTTGCCTCAAGAGTTTGGCTGCCAAGAATATCTGGTGCAAATTTGCAAATGGAACCAATAAAATCAAAATAATTTACCTGGATTTTGCAACTCACAGTAATTGGAGTGCCATAGCCAGGCTGATACCCGATAATCTGCAAAAACAAAAACAAAAACCAAGAGCTTTTTAATTCCCTTTAAAAACACGTTGATCTTCCAAACTCCATTTTGGCTGCAGGTAAAATGAAAAAAACAAGAGATCAGAAACTACAAGCACTTCGAACTTCCTATTTGCTTTGTTTTCGAGGGCCGCAGAACCACGGAGAAATTTCTTGACAGTTGGAACAATTAACCAGTGGAATGACTTCCCTCCAGAAGTTGTGGCTGCTCCATCACTGGAGGCTTTTAAGAAGAGATTGTATGGGGAGAGAAGAGAACAGTATGGGGTCTCCTGGTTGAGTAGGACTAGAAAACCTCCAAGGTCCCTTCCAACTTTGTTATTCTGTAAAGCCACTGTTTCTTCTCCCTTGCTTCGTGTCCACCTACGTGCTTGACTTGACCCACTGCAAACATCAGAGCTGCCAGAACTCAAACCTCTAAAATACACCCACCCCCCTCAAGAGGATGTAAGCAAGTATAAAATGACCTACACGATTCATCTTTAGCAATATGCAAGGTTGGCCCTGTGAATATCCAAAGGTTTGATCCTGAACTCCGGAACACTTCATCAATTGGGACCTCTTGAATTGGCAAGCTTTCTTCACCACAGTTTCGTCGCTGTCTTGCACGAAATATGAGCCCGGGGTGCACGGGATGTTTCTGGCTTCTTGAACCTTGTCGTCATACTCTAAAGAAAAACAGAGAAACCTTGAGGCACTATAATGTATATCTTACTGTTTCAACGGGTTTCAACGCTGGGCTTTGGTTCTGACCCAGCTCCCCAAACACGACAAACCCTCTGAAGTTAACTCAAAAATTCCTTTATTAGGAGCGCCAGCAGCCCCAGCAAAAAGTTTCTCTCTCACCGCAGGCTAATAAGTCCATCCGGCAGGGAGATGAATAGTTGTCTGCCACATCTATTCATCTCCGCCCCCTGCCTTTTATCCCCAGAGCTAGGTTTCGCTAGCAGCAGTGGCTCTTCTGTCCCAAGGACCGGCCCACAGATTTCCACTGCTCTCCTCTCCTCTGCCTTCTGCCCATCTGCACGTCAGGCACTGGACCCAGCTGTTCCTCCTCTTCCTCATCAGCCACCTCCAGACCTGGGGGCTGTTGACTCTCCATTTGAGGGCTGACGGACGTCCCAGGCTCCGCCTCTGTCTCTCTCTCTCTCTCTGCCAGCTCCATTCCCTCTTTCTTCTCGGAGCTCTCAGGTTGCCTTGATGCTGACCCTGACTCCCATGCTGCCGTCTCCTCTGCGGGTCTGACGGCCGATAGGCCACAACAGCTTTTCGGGACAAAAAAAACTTCTTCTCTTTTCAGAATCAGGCCCTTTGGTAGGGAAGATGTCCCTTGTGGATTTGGTTCTAAGACTTTCATATTTCTATGATAGTAGTGGACTATTCCAGAGAACCAGTCTGGCCTAGTCGTTAAGGCACCCAGCTAGAAATTAAGAGACCGGGAGTTCTTAATTCCCCCTTATGCATGAAAGCTGGATGGATAGCTTTGGACCAATTACACAGCTTACGCATACACTGTTTTTAAAACTACATATTTCTTTGTGGAAGAGGACAGCTTTTGCTTTTCTTAAAGGCAGTCCCTTTATCCTTCGTCTGGAGCCCCAACCCAAATACCATTCAAAAGAGCAAATTATACACATGTTTTTGGAGCTCTTAATAGTGGAAGATGTCAATCAAATTCAGGGGTGAAATCTACTTACCTTCCCTACCGGTTCGGAAGTGCATGCGTCACGCGAAGACCCTCTGTGCATGCACAAACTAGGGGTGAAATGCTCCCGGATCGGACTGGATTATCTGATCCAGAAGCGATCTTGGCCGGTGGTTCAGCGATCCAGTAGCGATGGCGAAGCATAGCTCCGCCCACCCGGCCGGGTGTCATTACTTCCTGGTTTCGGCACGTGCGCTTCCGAACCAGTAAGGAAGGTAAGTAGATTTCACCCCTGGCACAAACCCTTCTGCGTATGTGCAGAGGGTAAAAAGCAGGTTACTTCCTGGTTAAAACCAGGAAGTAACAATGATCAGGTGGATGGATGAAGCCTTGCGCTGCTGTCGCTACCGGTTCTCCGAACCACCCACTGCCATCGCTACCGGTTCAGTCAAACCGGTCCGAACCGATAGCATTTCACCCCTGGTCAAATTGGCTTTTCTTTAAGTATGGAATTTTGGGGTTTGAAATCAAAACAGGAATGGAGAAGGAAGGAAATGATGCTGCAACTTTTTGGAGGCAAAGAAAAAAAAATATAAACCACCAGACAATGAATAGATAAAGAGTTACACAAAGAAAGAAAGGAAAGTCACCTTTTAAGAACTGTTCCAGGTTTTCCACATAAGGCTGCCATGAACTAGGCTGGGAAACTCTGAAGGCAATGTTGTAGGCTTGCTTTATGTATGGCCTAATCGTAACTCCTGCAAAAATAAATTTAAAAAGGTAAAAAAAAACAAAAAAAAACCCCCAAAATAGGACTGACTTTTTAGATCTTAGACGTTAAGACTTGTGGACTTCAACCCCCAGAATTCCTCAGCTAGCAAAGCTGGCTGAGGAATTCTGGGAGTTGAAGTCCACAAGTCTTAACGTTGCCAAGTTTGGAGACCCCTGTCTTAGATCAACATCCCCAAAGCATCCTTTCCGATGATACTGGCCAACTCTTCCCCCAAAACATGGCAGATGCAAGGACGATGAATCCTACCCAATTGGTAAACCGATTATTTCATATCCACATCATAGTTGCCCCTAATTTTAGCCAGCATAGCCATAGCAATAATACTTAGACTTATATACTGCTTTATAGCAGGGGTGAAATCTACTTACCTTCCTTACTGGTTCAGAAGCGCACGCGCCTTATGTGCAAAACCTTCTGCGCATGTGCAGAAGGTGAAAAAAAACATTACTTCCTGGTTAAAACCAGGAAGTAATGACACCCGGGCAGCAATCACTACCGGATCGCCAAACCACAGGGAAAAATCACTACCGGATCGGGCAATCCGGTACAATCCGGGAGCATTTCACCCCTGCTTCGTAGCACTTTACAAGCCTCTCTGAGTGGATTAAAGAATCAGCAATGTGCGCCTCCCCAAACAATCTGGGTCCTCATTGGACTGACCTCGGAAGGATGGAACAGGCTGCGTCAAGCTTGAACTGCTCAGGATCGAACTCCTGGTGGTGGGCAAAGCTAGCAATAGCAATAGCACTTATATACCACTTTACAGCCCTCTCTGAGCAGTTTACATCTTGCCCCTCAACAATCTGGGTCCTCATTTGACTGACCTCGGAAGGATGGAAGGCTGAGTCAACTTGAATTGGTCAGGATCAAACTCCTGGCAGTGGGCAGACTTACCAATAGCACTTAGACTTATATATCTCTTCACAATGCTTTACAGCACTCTCTAAGCAATTTACAGAGTCAGCATCTTGTCCCCCCCAACAATCTGCGTCCTCATTTGACTGACCTCGGAAGGATGTGAATCGAACTGCTGGCAATGGGCAGAGTTAGCCTTCAATGCTGCATTCTAATCACTGCGCCACCACGTATCCCCTCTGCTCTAAGTCCCTGCACACCCTTGAGGCCCTCCCCTCAAATGGACCCCTTACAGACCTCACTGGAGCACTTACCTGGTGGGGCCACCCTGTCCCTGTACCTCGGCGTGTAGGGACTCAGCGTGATCAAGACTACGTACATACAGAATATGAACATGCCAGCCAGGAACGTGTACAGGGCAATGTAAAAAAGGAGTATCAGACCTGAGAGAAGGAGAAGAGCTATTAACTGATGGCCTTGTGATGGGTGCTCCATTGCTGGAGGTTTTCAACAAGACACTGGACAGCCTTTAGTCTGCAATAATGTTTGTTTGTTTGTTTGTTTGTTTGTTTGTTTGTTTGTTTGTTTGTTTATATTCGATTTATGTAGCGGTCCATCTTAGTTTTGTTGTTGTGGTTAGTTGCAAAGTCATGTCCGACCGATCGTAACCCCATGGACAACGTTCCTCCAGGCCAGGAGTCAGCAATCCATGGCTCTGGAGCCACATGTGGCTCTTTCATCCCTCTGCTGCGGCTCCCTGTCGCCAATCAGCTCCACAATTGATAGGGCTTTCAGTTAGGACAGGTAGAGGAAAAAGGATGCCGCGCTAGGAAGAGACTCTATGGTGGGGGAACGGGACTTCCGGTCAGCAGAGGAAAAAGGACGCCGCGCTAGGAGGAGACTCTATGGTGGGGGAACCGGACTTCTGGTCGGCTCCAGAATTGAACGGGGGGCTTCTGGTTAGGACCTTTGTGGCTCTATGAGTGTTTAAGGTTGCCGTTCCCTGCTCCAGGCCTTCCTGTCCTCTACCATCCTCTGGAGTCCATTTTAAGTTCATCCAGCATCATATCTTTTTAGTTCTTGTCCATGGGGTTTTCATGGCAAAGATACTGGAGTGGGTTGCTATTCCCTTCTCCAGTGGATCACATTTTGTCAGAACTCTCTGCTATGACCTGTCCATCTTGGGTGGCCCTGGACGGCATAGCTCATAGCTTCATTGAGCTACGCAAGCCCCTTCGCCACGACAAGGCAGTAATCCACGAAGGGGTAATCCATCTCAGCTACAGAGATCAAATATATTATAAATATTTGGGCGGCTCATATAGAATCTCCAGCTCAAGCAGGGGTTGGTCTAGAAGACCTCCCAAGGTCCCTTGTAACGTTCTTATTCTATGTTCCAGTTGGGCAGAGAATGGCCTGCTTCCTCCCTGTCTCCTGCACCAGAAGACAAGACAAGCAACGGATGGGAACTAACCAAGGAGAGAAGCAACCTAGAACTAAGGAGAAATTTCCTAACAGTGAGAACAACTGAAATTCACCAGTGGAACAACTGGCCTCCAGAAGTTGTGAATGCTCCATCACTGGAGGTTTTTAAGAAGCGATTGTCCGGAATGGTATAAGATCTTCTGCTTGAGGAGAAGGTTGGACTAGAAGACCTCCAAGGTCCCTTCCAACTCTGTTATTCTGTTGTTCCGTTAAAGGCTTCGTCTCGGGAGAATAAAGGCCTTTTATTGCTTTAAAAATAATACTAATACTAATAATAATGCATGAAAGTAAATCCTGCGGAGGGTTCTTGGCGTGTTTTAATTTCCCAGCGGGGACCCAAATGCATTTTCCAGGACAGGCTTTGAGCGCAGCTGTGACTTCTGGCCTCTGCGTTCCTGAGGTGTTTACGTTATGGGGGAATTTGGAGTTCTGGGAACAAACCGGCCGGCCCTGGGCACAGGACATGGTGGGAGGGGAGGGGGGAGCTGCTGAGAGACGGGGGAGGGGGAGAAACAAAACTTAATTTGGACCCGCGAGCTTCTTTGGCGTGGGGTCAAGAAGGGCCGGGAGGGAGCCTCTCTTTGAACGCAGCAAGGCAGAACCGGCATGGCAGGAGGAGCAGCGGGGATGCTGCTGGCAAGGCATGGAACGGCTCACACGGGTCCGTTGAATTGGGACACGGGGAGTCCTCGACTTACGACCACGACTGAGGGCCCCCCCCCGATTTCTGTCGCTAACTGAAACATTTCTGGTGAATTTTGCTTCGTTTTACGAAACTTTCCTGCTCCGGTGGTTTGGTAAATCCCTGCCGTTGTGAATGCAGGCAATCCTCGTCTTACGACCACAACTGTGTCCCAAACGTCTGTCGAATTCTGTGAATTCCCTCCCCCCTGCCATTTTACCACAGTTCACATGTGAACCCCTGCAGTTGTGAATGCAGGCGATCCCCGTCTTACGACCACAACCGAGTCCCAAATGTCTGTCGATAAGCAAGACATTCGTTCTGTGAATTTTTTTTCCTCTCCGTTTTACCACAGTTCACAAGTGAACCCATGCAGTTGTGAATGCAGGCAATCCTTGTCTTATGACCACAACTGAGTCCCAGACATCTGTCGCTAAACGAGACATTCAATTCCGGGAATCCCCCCCCCCATTTTACCAGAGTTCACAAGTGAACCCCTGCGTTTGGGAACTTATTCACAAGGTTGTGAAGGGAATCTGGTTCCCCTTCCCCCATTTGGTTAGTCAACAGGTCGCAAAAGGGGAACACCTGACCCGGGACGCCGCACAACCGTCATAAATGCGAGACGCTTGCCAGGCATCTGAATTTTGATCCCGCGACCATGGGGAAGCTGCGATGGTCGTAAGAGTGAAAAATGGTCACGAGGGATTTTTTTTGTTGTTGTAACTTCAAATGGCCACTCAATGAAGGGATGTAAGTCTTCTTCCTGTAATTCTTTTTCCATCTCTGCTAACGGCTCCGACTTGTAGCAAAAGTCAGGGGCGGCTTAAAGATTCTGAATCAAATCCAAAATATTTGGAATACAAATTTTCATCCTTCTGTTAATTTCACGGGAAGGAAAATGATTGGCGTATAGATAAATCCTCAACTTACAACTGTTACAATGGCGTTTTTAATGACCGGTTCGGTAGAACGGTTCAGTTCAGAAATACCGGCAGTCCTCGACTTTTGACGGAAAGTCACAAAGGCACTGAGAAAAAAGGGAGTTCTAAGTGAGCTGAAGAAGCTCCTTGAATGAGAAGCGAAACGTCTTCAAAGAAAAACCAGTCCAGTTGCCTCGAAAAAAAGCACCTTTGAGACAACCATGATCTGGATGACTGAGAATCTCCATAGCCACCTTAGTTTCTATCCTGATGCACTAAACTGTGCTTTTATTATATACATTTTAAGCTATATTTGGCTGCATTTTTACAGCACACTAGTAACAGAACAGAATAACGAAGGGACCTTGGAGGTCTTCTAGTCCAACCCCCTATTCAAGCAGGAAACCTTATACCATTTCGGACAAATGAGTGTCCAATCTCTTCTTTAAAACTTCCAGTGTTGGAGCATTCACAACTTCTGGAGGAAAGTCGTTCCACTGATTAATTGTTCCCACTGTCAGGAAATTTCTCCTTAGTTCTAAGTTGCTTCTCTCCTTGATGAGTTTCCACCCGTTGCTTCTTGTCCTGTCCTCAGGTGCTTTGGAGAATAGTTTAGCTCCCTCTTCTTTGTGGCAGCCCCTGAGATATTGGAAGATCATGTCTCCCCTAGTCCTTCTTTTCATCATACCCAGTTCCAGCAACTGTTCTTTATATGTTTTAGCCTCCAGTCCGTGAATCGTCTTTGTTGCTTAAGCTATAAATGAAGGCTAGCATTGGCACTCAGTCTTAAACCAAAGTTGCAACCTACGAATGATGCTTTTAAAACCGTCTTTCAGCTCAGTATGTGGACACGCTCACTTCATTAAGACAGATGAAGCAGACCAAAAAGATTGACCATAATAGATGTGCTGGCCTATGCTGGTTTAGCAGGAACGAATTAATAATATCTTCGTAACCGAAATAAATGCAAATTTCGCTCCATATTTATTCCTCCCCCGGTGTTAAACTGTAAATGTTAGGTTTCTCATCCACTTTATTTAAAAAAATAAAATAAAAATCATGCACACGGATGCAATATTGATACAACTTTCATCCTTATCTCAAGAGGAAATTAAATGACGAGTGATCAATTTCACTTACTCCAGCTCCGAGCGGTCCGGCCCAAACATTCCCGGGTATCTGGATTCCAAATGAAAGTTTTAAATTCTTTAATCCTTTCGCCTCGCGTTTTCTTGCCCATCGCTCGTTCTTTCTTTTGTTCCTCTTCTGCATCCAGCTGATGTCTCTCTTCATCCTTATTTTCCTGGAATGATGACAAAGCAAACCCCACACACACACACCATGAGTGAAATGTTCTGGCCTATTTTGCTTGTTGTTTTCATTTCTTCCTCCACCCCCCCCCTCCCCTCCATCATTCCTTCCCACTAAAATAATCCCATTTGTCAGAAATAAGCACCGGAGTCGGTGGAAAGTTTCCATTGTGTCATCATTGCTCCTTATCAAATCTTTTCAAAGTGGGAAAAAGGAATAGGATAGGATAGGATAGGATAGGATAGGATAGGATAGGAATAAGAATAAGAATAAGAATAAGAATAGAATAGAATAGAATAGAATAGAATAGAATAGAATAGAATAGTAGAATAGAATAGAATAGAATAAATAGAATAGAATAGAATAGGGAATGGGGAATAAGGATAGGATATAGTAGGATAGGATAGGATAGGATAGGATAGGATAGGATAGGATAGATAGGATAGTGATAGGATAGGATAGTAATAGAATAGAATAGAATAGAATAGAATAGAATAGAATAGTAAATAGATAGAATAGAATAGAATAGAATAGAATAGAATAGAATAGAATAACAGAGTTGGAAGGGACCTTGGAGATCTTCTAGTCCAACCCACTGCCTAAGCAGGAAACCCTACACCACTTCAGACAAATGGTTATCCAACATCTTCTTAAAAGCTTCCAGTGTTGGAGCATTCACAAATTCTGGAGGCAAGTTGTTACACTGGTTAATTGTCCTCACTGTCAGGAAATTTCTCCTTCGTTCTAAGTTGCTTCTCTCCTTGATTAGTTTCCACCCGTTGCTTCTTGTCTTGCCTTCAGGTGCTTTGGAGAATAGCTTGAACCCCCCCCCCTCTCCGTGGCAGCCCCTCAAATATGGGAAGACTGCTCTCCTGTCTCCCCTGGTCCTTCTCTTCACTAGACTAGCCATGCCCAGTTCCTGCAACCGTTCATCCTATGTTTTAGCCTCCAGTCCCCTAATCATCCTGGTTGCTCTTCTCTGCACTCTTTCTAGAATCTTCACGTCTTTTTTACATCGTGGTGACCAGAACTGGATGCAGGATTCTAGGTGTGGTCTTACCAAAGAGAGAGAGAGAGAAAGAGTGAAAAGACTTGGGCAACTCAGGAGTTGCTGAATTACCCAAATAAATGAGGGCAGATGGACCTACCTAAAAGTTTGGGGTCAGATAATTGGATCCTTGAACCAAAGAATCCAACGGAGCAACATTTTTTTTTTCATTCTTTGGTTTTGTTATTTCCAGCACTACTCAACCAGAAAAATAGTCTCTGAAAGGGGGAGGGGGAGGAAGAAGAGGAGGAGGAGAAAGACTCTGGGGTCCTTAGTGCTCTCTGAGGATTTTTGATTATTTGCCTGCAGAGCGTTTATTGCTCAACAAGGGAACACCATCAAGGCTGAATGGTGATGGTGGCTAGCACCGATGAGACGATGTAGTAGGGTAATGAAACGTCTGCAAGCAAATAACTTGCATAAGTTATAAGAGCCTTGGTGGTGCAGCAGACTAAAGTGCTGTTAAGTAGCACCAGCTGCCTGCAATTACTGCAAGTTCAAATCTCACCAGGCTCAAGGTTGACTCAGCCTTCCATCCTTTCGAGGTAGGTAAAATGAGGACCCGGATTGTGGGGGCAATAAGCTGACTTTGTATAAAAAAAGAACACCGCTTAGGGGGGGCCGAAAGCCCTACTAAGCAGGTATATACAAAAGTTTGAAGGCTATTGCTTAACGCATTGTAAGCCGTCCTGAGTCTCCGGAGAAAGGGCGGCATATAAATTGAACCAATAAATAAATAAATAAACAAACAAACCAAGTTCAGAGAGCACCAAGGAGCCCACCTTCCTCCTCCTCCTCCTCCTCTTCCTCCTCCTCCTCCCTGCAAACCCCATTTCTTTCTGTCACTGATGATACCTCAACCAATAATGAAATATCTGCAAGCAAAGAACCAAGCTCAAAAAACACAGAGGATTGCACATTTTTCCTCCTTCATTTCTCCTCCTCCTCCTCCTCTTCCTCCTCCTCCCCCCCTCCCCCACAAACCTCATTCCCTTCTAGCATTGATGATGTTAACTAGTTGGGTAATGAAACATCTGCAAGAAAACAAGCAAACTCAGCGAGCACCAAGGATCCTATAGTCCTCCTCCTCCTCCTCCTCCTCCTCCTCCTCCTCTCCGCAAACTCCCTTCCAGCACTTCAATTAAATGTCCTTAAAATCTCTAAATGTGGCCCAGGGAGGGAAGGGTTCATTTTAGCCACTTCGGTTTGCAAACCATGGTTTATGTCTTAACATGCTATGCACAGCCCGGCAAACCATGTTTTATTCAATCATATGGTTAAACAAACTCCAGTTTAATGTGATGCATGAATCTAGCGAATGGGAGAGTCATTTGAGGTTCGTCGAAACAAGCCGGTAGTGCCAAAAAATACTTGGATGGCACATACCCTTCCAGGCAAGAATGCTTGAGTCAAAGCCATGTTCAAATCGTCTTCTTAAGTCCACGAAGGCCCAGTTTATTATATACCTCAATGAAATTGGCCATATTTTGGACGCTGATTTCATTATTCCCCGTTGAAAACAACCTCAATCAACCACAGCTTTTCTATTCTTCAATAAACAACGATTCCATCTGCCTAATTACGCCCAACCATTCGTATTTTTCTTTTTCTCTTTCGAAATATTCGAAACCAGGGGCATCTGCTAAGCCCAGATAAAGCTAGTTAGTGCAATTTGGGCACAGGTCTCCCATCTATTAAGTTTAGCAATGTGGAGACCCTGGAAGAAAATCAACAACACCCAGTAAGGTTAACTTACCGGTGTTTGAAGTTGGTTCATGTGATGATCTGTGGAAGCTCCAGAGGTGTCTTTGGTAGCCATTGCTTTGTAAAAAACGAAAACAAAACGCAAAACGGGGAATAGAATTAATATGAGAAGCCGGCTCTGGAATGAAAGCCACTTCTACTGGCTCCGCAAAGTTCAACCGAACCTCTTTAGGAAAACCATCCAGACTCACGTATAGAAAGCAGATTCGCCTCGTCTGCTGGGAATGTGGGGAGAATAACCCCAAAAACTGACGGTTGAAAACTCGGGGACTTCTTTGCTGCCAATCCCAGGTGACGACTGTTGCTCTTTCAATGTTGCCCAAGGCAGGGGAGAAATGCAGTTGGACAGCCGTCAAGATGGGGGATTGCTTTCCTCTGGCAAGTGACGTCATGCAATTCAAGGCTAAATAAGAGTTCGGGGGCCTGTCCATCGAAGACCATTGAGGTACACTAAGGAGTTTGCTGGAGAAGAACTTTTCTAAGAGAGCAGAGACCCATCCTGATTCGGTCTAGGCAAGCCTGGGATCAGTTTTTAGACTGCTTGTGACACCGTCGGACTTGAATGGAGAGCAGAGACTGTACGAGCAAAGGTGTTCCTGTCAGTCACGGTTGGGTGGACGGGATCATGGAGACTTGATTTGATTGCTCTCAAAAGTTCAGGGAATCAGATTTGGCTATATTTATCCCTCTGTGCTCATTCAGGCTGAGCGGATGGGATTCTGCGGGGTCAGTTTCCCAGCTGTCTAAGGTTCCGCGAATCATCTGAAGAACCTCAGAGGCCTCGTGGCACAATGCCGAGGTTGGGTGTTCCCTGGAATGGGCGGGGTGAGCATCAAGCAGGTGGGTGGGGCAAGCATCGGGCAGGCGGGGCGAGTGAGCGGCGACCGGGTGACCAGGGCAGGGGCGTGGCCAGCCAGAGGTCGCTACCGGTTCGGCGAACCAGGTCAAATTTTCCCTACCGGTTCGCCTGAACCGGTGCGAACCAGCTGAATACCACCTCTGGTGCTCCGGATGGGTTCCTGGTGGCACAAAATGTGCCCTCATCTTCTCCCAGTTTGGGGGTATCCAATGCTAAGGTATGCATCTTGGTATCTCCCCTTGCTTTGGCTTTTTGGACAATAGCCTAACTAACAGCCGTTCTCCGAGCCAAGCTTTAGACCAGAGATGTCCAACCTTGGCAACTTTTAATACCTGTGGACTTTTAACTCCCAGAATTCGTCTGCCAACCATGCTTGTTTCATTTTTCATGTTTCGTTTTTAGATCATAAATCCCTAAGGACTGAAACATCCATCCATCCTTTCTGAAACATCCTGAACATAGCCAACTGCTATGAAAATTAGAAACGCACCTGTTGTTTCAAAGGTTCTCTAATGTTATCTTACGGTTAATGTAATTTAAATTAATACCAGTTCAGTTGTTCTCACCCCATCCATGGCTGTCTGTCATGGTGCACATTTTGTCCCTTGCCCTCTGAAGTCATTGATATTAGAATTAAACTAGAATAACAGACTTGGAAGGGATCTTTGAGGTCTTCTAGTCCAACCCCCTGCTTAGGCAGGAAAGAGGAAACCCTCAAATGTTTGTCCAATCTCTTCTTAAAAGCTTCCAGTGTTGGAGCATTCACAACTTCTGGAGGCAAGTTGTTGCACTGGTTAATTGTTCTGACTGTCAGGAAATTTCTCCTTAGTTCTAGGTTGCTTCTCTCCTTGATGAGTTTCCACCCATTGCTTCTTGTCTTGCCCTCAGGTGCTTTGGAGAATAGCTTGATTCCCTCTTCTTTTTGACAGTCCCTGAGATAATGGAAGACTGCTATCATGTCTCCCCTGGTCCTTCTTTTCATTAAACTAGACATACCCAGTTCCTGCAACCGTTCTTCATATGTTTTAGCCTCCAGTCCCCTAATCCTCTTGGTTGCTCTTCTCTGCACTCTTTCTAGAGTCTCCACATCTTTTTTACATCGTGGCAACCAAAATTAGATGCAGCATTCCAAGCGTGGTCCCTACTCCCCCAATTTGACCTGCTGTACTTAATCTGCATCATGATCTTTTCAATCTGCTTTCTGGCAACCCCCAGGGAAAAGGGTGAACTGCTCTTAGCCTGAAAGAAAATTGTTCACTCTCCATCAATAGCCGCTAACTATGAGCCAAGAACGAGTGGAGTTTTCCCAGACTGCTCTACATAGTAGGCATTTCTCCAGAGCGGTGTCTCTTAACCTCTGCACCATGAAGATTGTGTGGACTTCAATTCCCAGAATTCCCCAGTCCGCACATCTTCAAAGTCCAGAGGATGCAATGCTCCAGAGCATTCTGGGAAGTTTAAGCTGGTCATAAGGCTCAGAGAGTTTGAGTGGTGCGGTGGCCTAGAGGTGGAGCTCTCGCCTCACAATCAGGAGGCTGTTGAGTTCGATCCTAGGTAGAGACAGATATTTCTCTCTCTGGGCACAATGAGAATATATCTTCTGAAAAAAAACTCCGCATTGGCAATAGGAAGGGCACCCGGTCAGTAAACACTCAGCTCCATTCAGTTGCCTAAGCTCCACCCCGCAAGGGATTATGGGGTCATTAATAGAAGATGATAAGGCTCAGAGAGTTGAGTCGTTCTTTTTAACCAATTAAATCACCAGTTAAATGAGTGGAAATTGGCTAACTAATGATGCTACAGGGGGAAATGATTTATCACTTGTATTTTTAATGTACACTGAGAGCTTATGCACCGGAGACAAATTCCTTGCCTGTCCAATCACACTTGGCCAATAAAGAATTCTATTCTATTCTAAAACAACAACAATAACAACAACCTAAATCCATTGAAATCCAGATCTGAGATTTGGCAAAACGATCCAAATTATTTCGCTGACTTCCAGCTGGAACCTCCAGCCATCCAGCCACTCTCTCTTTCTCCCATCTCTCCTGCAAATATGATTTATCTATTTTTCCCATCACTCCACCCCGACTCCACCCCGCCTTACATTCTACAGATCATCTCAAATGAATTGTGCACCCCCACCCGCCCTACAGAAAGAGGCCACACTGAAAAGAGGAATAACACTCTCTACATAGCCAGATAGATGTGTTTTCCAAAGCTGCTTCTATTTTTGGCTCTGGGATGATCAGGTTACACCGACTAGATAGATGTCTGGTCTTTTCCCCTCTTTTTAAATTATCTTCTGCCCCCTCCTGGCTACGTCTGACCCTCAAGGAAAGGATTTAATCCTGAGAGAGATTCAACTTCACACAACTTTTTATTTTTATTTTGAAAGATTCCTTGAGCCTTCAAATAGGGCCGAGAAATCTCCTCCAGGAAATAGACACCCTGAATTTTAAAATTCTGAGCCCACAATCTTTTCGATCTCAATTCTGTATTCACGAGGAAGAATTCATATCAAAGGAACTTAAGGGACAAGCTATACTTTCAAATCTGCTTATTTTCAGACTTTATCAAGACAGTTTTCAACCAATACAGCTGCTTTATGAAAAAAAAATGCTGGTTTTTTTTTTTCTTATTGGAAAATATTGGCATTTGTATTGGAAAATTGGATATTCTTATCCCACTGAAGGCCTTTTCCCAACTACAACTATTGCAATACCTTTCCTTTGGCCTTACATGATGTCACTTTTTCCTTGTTTATGAAGAATTTTGTGTATTCCTTTAAAAAGACATTCCTTTTGCAAAGACCTGCAGCCTTGTGCATTCCTAATTGATTCCTCCTCTTCAAATTATTTGAGAAGTAGTTTAGGCTGGACCTTGAACATCAAAATCCATCAGTCATGTCGTCAAAAACGAAGTGCTTTTTTTTTTAAAAAAAATGCTTTTTACATTAAACCTGCTCAATTATCCGAAAATACGCCAGAAGGACCATTTATTGCAAACCCCAAACCCTTTTTTTAAAAAAAGATTAAAAGACAGCGAGGTAAATCTGTTTTTAAGATATTCCCTAGCGGAGGAAGCAGCCAAAATAGACGATCATCATCATCATCATCAATATGTTCTTAATGAAAGATTGGCCTGTCCCCTCTGCAAGGCCGGCGAATAAAGCAGATTGAAGGATCTTCTCAGAGCCGACCATCCTGGCTGAACGGAGAGTTTCAATCCAGGAAACGTGGCCACTGATGCATCATCTCAGAGACCATTTTCAATCGCCGGAGCCAAGATCTATTATGATCGTTGCCTTTTTGGGAATTGGGGCTTTTACGCCTGCAGTTTGCGTTCCAGGCGCAATTCTGGCTCTTGGGAAGGTTCCCCCACCCGCTTGGCTTTGCATCTCCCACCGCTGCAGAATCCAAAAGGACCTGTCCCCCCCTTCCGAGCCCCCCCCCCCACCCCACCCTGGATCGAAGGAGGCGCAAGGCTCTTCCAGGCTGGGAATCCGGCGCATCTCAACCCCGCGGCCGCGAATCGGCGCAACAGCTGGGAAACCCCACCACCACCACCACCCCTCGCCTCTGGACGCGCAGCTGCCTCCGTCAGGCTCTCTCTTCCCCGCCTCGCGCAAGCGCCACAAGCCGCCGGTTCCGACCGGGGAGCGCTGCTGGGAGGATGCTCCGCGCCCGGTAAAGCTGTGCGCCTTGCGGCTCTCCCCCCCACCGGGGCCGGGGGCGCAGGAGGCGCGCCGCCACCGCCATGCGCCAAGCTTTGGCTCCGCCGCGCTCCAGTGCGATCCCGCTCTCCACCTCGGTCGGTGAGTAGATTGGCAGGGCGGTCAGAGGCAAGAAGGACTGCCGGGCAGGAGGACGGGGCGAGCCCCGCGGGGCCTTTCCAAGCGAGCAAGAGCGCGCCCGGGCGCCGTGCGTAATTGGAGAGGTGCCGGCAGGGCGCAGCAGCCTTGGGGTCCCCCCAACCCCGGTCAGCTGGAGAGGTGGGGTGATGGCTGCAGGGCGAGGGGGGCCCCCCGGTTCAGCCTCTCTCCTTTCCCTTCCTTCCTTCCCCCCCCTCCCCCAATTTCCAAGAGACCTGCTTCCCTCCCCTCCTCCTCACTCCAAATAGGGAGAGGATTTGGAGCAGCCAGCCTGAACTTTGAAGGGGTTTCCTGGAGTAAGCGTGGGGCAATGGACCTCTTGCACAGTGGGGTGGGTGGGGGAGAGAAAATGATGGGGGGCAAGCCCCCTCTCCGCCCCTTGGAGCTTTCCTAGGAAATTCAGGATGGTACCAAACAAGATAAGCATTTCAAAGAAAGGGGGAGGAAGCTGGCCAGCCAAATTGAAAGCACCCGGATGAAAGGTGACTACCCCCCCCCCCCATCCTTCAGAAACAGGGTTCTTCTTTCCTTTCCTCCCAGTTAGGATCCAGTTACTTCCAATGATCTCTCCTTCCTTGTTTTCCTTTTGGGATGGTAAAAGAAGAAGAGACCCTCCCCCCCCTAGTTGGCCATTGCTTTTGGGTTCAGAGAGAATTCATGAGTTGGTCGTCTGGTCCCTTCGCTTTCTCACGCCCCTGTTCTGCGGTTTCTCCAGGGGATGAACCAGTGGTGGGATTCAAATAATTTAACAACCAGTTCTCTGCCCTAATGGCCAGATGGGTAGGCGTGGCTCGGTGGTCATGTGACCATGTGGGCGCGACCAACTCAACGTCACTCAGGTCGGTGGGTGCTTCGCCTTAGCTGTTACAATGTAATAAGGGTTAACCAGAGAGGCAGTTTCTATAAGCAGGGCAATGAAGATTAGGCTAAAAACACCGCCAGAATGTTTCCTTCCTGCCTTCCTTACAGGATTAGCCCTGTATAAAGTGGAAAAAAACAAAATAAGATTTCTTCCAAGAACCAGTTCTCCGAACTGCTTAGAAAGTTAACAACCTGTTCTCCCGAATAGGTGCGAACTGGCTGAATCCCACCACTGGGATGAACCTAACCCGGTTGGCCACCCTGTGGGTCGGTGTCCTACAGTATGTGGCCACCATTCACCTTCTAGAGCTGTGATGGCGAACCTATGGCACACGTGCCAGAGGTGGCACACAGAGCCCTCTCTGTGGGCGCACAAGCCATCCCCAGCTGCTCTTCTGGTTTCTGGCGTGCGCATGCCAGCTGGTCTTTGCGCGCACCAGAGCGCCAGAAACCCACAAACCAACTGGCCGGCGCACACATGCCTGTTGTTTGGGTTTCCGGTGCACACATGCGCCCACTTGCTACCTGGTCTTCAGATCTCCGGCGCACGTGCGCGCTCGCACATGCTTTCCAGTTTGGGCACTCAGTGCCGAAAAGGTTCGCCATCACTGTTCTAGAGAAAGTCATCTCAAGCTCACAGCCCCTGCTTTGTAGGTGTGTGAATGAAGATTCGGTTCTCCAAACCTTCTGAGAACCACAATCTTCATTTTGGGGTAACATAAGTGGATTTTTTTCACCTACAAGCGGTGAGGTGGCCTAGAGGTGGAGCTCTCGCCTCATAATCAGCGGGCTGTGAGTTCGATCCTAGGTAGAGGTAGATATTTCTCTCTCTCGGGCCCGTTGAGAATATATCTGCTGAAACAAAACTCCACATTGGTGACAGGAAGGGCATCTGGCCAGTAAACACTCTGCTAGCTCCATTCAGTTGCCCAGACTCCACCCTGCAAGGGATTATGGGGTCGTTAAAAGGAGATGATGATGATGATGATGATGATGATGATGGATTTTCCTATGTCTACTCCAACTTTTTTGTTAAGAAAGTGACAAACTGGAATGCTGACAGTGTCAGATAGAAGCTTGGTGTGTGGCATGCAGTGTGTACTCATTTGCAATAATAGTCTGGAGCAGGGGCCCCCAATCCCCGGTCTGTGGACCAGAACTGGGCCGTTGCATGGTAGTAACCAGGCCGTGCAAACAAGCGAAGCCCCCTCCCCGGGATGCAGGCAGCATGCAAAACCACGCCCTCTCCAGTCCATGGAAAAACTTTTCTCCATGGAACCGGACCGTGGTGCCAAAAAAGTTGGGGGCTGTTGGTCTGGAGAATTCCAGGTAACGGTTGCAACTAACCGACCAGGTTGAATATAAAAATTCAAATTCAGGTGGTTTTAAGGTGCATCTGAAAATGGGAAGAAAGCCAGGATGCCAGCACAGATCTGAATTGAAGAAGCTGGAGATGTACCTACTGTACTCTGTGATTTAATATTTACCGTAGATGTTCTGTCCTTCATTAAACTTATTTATTAGATCGATGGCCAGCCTTTCCTTCAGGAGCTCAAGGTGACCTATATAGTTCCACAACCTACTCTTGTTTTTCCCCCATACCAACAACCTTGTGAGTTAAATTGGACGGAGAGAGAAGGTCTGGCCCAGAATCATCCAAAGAGCTTCCTCAAGCTTGAAGATAGATTTGAACTTTGATCTCCTTGGATCTGACAACTAAACCATCACATGGTATAAAACAAGGATTCCTTCTGATCACCTCTAGGCTGTCCTTTTCAAAGAGGGGAAAAGAATAAAAGCATAAAAAGCACCTTTTATTGGTAGAACATTGATTTTGGATGTTGAAGGTCTTTTGTTGGTAGAACATTGATTTTGGATGTTGAAGGTCTTTTGTTGGTAGAACATTGATTTTCGATGTTGAAGGTCTTCCTTGTAATCCAGGTAAAAAATAGCAGGTGAAAGTAAACTTCTCTCTCTGGCCCAAGATCTGGAGATGATCCTACTAACTAGAGTGGAGAACACTGGAAATCATTAATTGGATGTTAACATTGTGTACGAACATGTAATATGTTCAGAAGTCTTCCTTTATAACCCAGTTCCATGGCCTGGAACTGGCTGACCATCTCAGCCCGCTGAGCCTCCAGGCGCCAGTACCTGGCCTTGCACTCCCGCAGGTCTTCCCTCTGCTTGGAAAGCCTATGCTCGTAGTCCTCAGTGAGGTGCTTCTGCTGAGCCTCCTTTTCAGTCAGATCCAATTTGAACTGAGTCAGCTATTTTGCCAACTCTTTTTCATGGTGGCTGCTTAGCTCCAGCAACTGCTTCCTGTTGAGGGCCTAAGGAGCCCAGGCAGGGAGGCGAGGATTGGGTGGGAGGGAAGGGGTGAGTAGAGGCTGGCGAGGCACCCCTCTACGTGAGTGACATCAAGTTGGCCACGCCCACCCAGTCACATGACCACCTAGCCATGCCCACCCAGCCAGTCGTTAAGGAGTTCATATTAGTGGTCCGTGGGATTTAAAATTATGGATTTAGTGGTCCCTGAGGTCCGAAAGGTTGGGGACCCCTGGACTAGTTGACAGAATAGGCCCGTCCTTTTATTGTTATCCCTCTGTGTCTCTTTCTAGGGTCTTTCAACAGAAGGAAGCGAAATTCCGTCTATGTCACTGTGAGCCTCCTCATCGTCTCGCTCCTAATTCTCACCGTAGGCCTCGCGGCGACCACACGAACTCAAAACGTGACCGTTGGGGGTTATTACCCGGGAGCTATTGTAAGTATAGAATTCCTGGACGGGAGGGGAAAAAACCCGGAGTCTTTCTTTGAAACACTTACAAGCCATTAACGATGGTAACACAGTGGTGTAAGGGACACGGTGGCTCAGTGGCTAAGACGCTGAGCTTGTTGATCGAAAGGTCAGCAGTACAGCGGTTCGAATCCCTAGTGCTGCGTAACGGGGTGAGTTCCCGTTACTTGTCCCAGCTTCTGCCAACCTAGCAGTTCGAAAGCATGTAAAAAATGCAAGTAGAAAAAAATAGGGACCACTTTGGTGGGAAGGTAACAGCGTTCCGTGCGCCTTTGGCGTTGAGTCATGCCAGCCACATGATCACGGAGACGTCTTGGGGAAGCGTTGGCTCTTCGGCTTTGAAACGGAGATGAGCACCACCCCCTAGAGTCGGGAACGACTAGCACATACTGTATGTGCAAGGGGAACCGTTACTGTTACCGTTAACACAGCGGTGGGTTTCACATTATGTTACTACCAGTTCACCACACACATGCATGCTCGCTTTGTGCACATGCGTGGCTGGTTTGCGTCACACGTCTGCCTTCCGTACATACACTCGGCCTTTTGTGCATGTGCTTTGCTCGCACGCGTGCCCCTTCCATGCATTTGATTTAGGCATCAAAAACATGCCTAAATAGGATGGCATAGAGCCGGAGTGAGTGGGTTTCTGCTTTCCCGATTTCCGCTACCGGTTCGGGCGAACCAATCTAAACCGGCTGAATACCACCTCTGGAGTAACATGATGCCCAGAATAGCAACGTTTCTTTCAGGCAGAGAAAATGGCTGTGTTAATAGGACATCTGCTAATAGGACATTTCCTCCATTCTTTTGTAAGGATGAGCCATCTTCAACGTAAAATCAGGAAGGGAATGATTGAAGTTTTGGAACAGCCAAAGGACAAAGAAATTGGGATCATGGGAAGAGATTTACTATCAATTCTAATGCAGCTAGTCCTGGCCCTACGAGCCCAAAATTCATGTCGCTAAGTGAGACTGTTCTTAAGCGAACTCTTCCCGTGTTATGACCTTTCTTGCCACTGTTGTTAAGCGAATTCCTGCCGGTGTTCAATGAGTAACACGGTTGTAAAATGAAACTGGCTTCCCCATTGGGCGGAGGGGAAGGGTTGGACTAGATGACTGACAAGGTTCCTTCCCACTCTGTTATTCTGCATTCGATTAGCGTCGCTTGTCAAAAGGTCGCAAAATGACCCCAGGGCACTGTAACCGTCATAAATGTAAGTCAGTTGTCGAGCGTCTGAATTTGGATCACGTGACCACGGGGATGCTGCAATGGTCGTGTGAAAAACGGTCGTAAGTCAGTGTTTTCAGTGCCGTTGTAACTTCAAACAGTCACTAAATGAACTTGTAAATTGAGGACTACCTGTATACATATTTAGCTCTTTGATTCCCCATAATTGTTAATCGATCCCCATTTTTCCCCCCCTAAGACTGACTCAACTGGCTGAGTCTTAGCTGACCAGGAGAAAACTAGTAAGGTCAAATATTTATAATTATATATTGTATATTGCCTGATCTCTCCGTGTTCCTGTAGATGTTGGCATAAAGGTATAGAAATATTTTGTTTGCATGAGTTTATGCTCCTCCTTCCTACTCTTGTTTCCAAATTTGACTATGCAGGGGGGGGGGAAGCCATTGACTTCCAGGCCAGAATGTAAAAAAAAATCTAAAAATCTTTTTCCCTTTTCAGCTGGGCTTTGGATCGTTTCTTGGCATTATCGGATCCAATTTGATAGAAAATAAAAGACAAATGGTAAGTCGCACCGCTGGTGAAGTTATTTCTCTCTGTTCATGTAATAGAATTTTTTAAACAGAATTTTCTTTCGCTTCCCTCGCTCTCAAAGCTGATAATTCTGCCTGGTTGTTCTTTCTTTCTTTTTTATCACTTAATTTGACGAGCAGGAAGTTCAGTAGTGTGGAGAGCTTTTTTCCCCCCCTTCCACTTAATCAAAGGAATTTATAATTCAGCGGTAGACATCTGTCACAAGCCAGGATTACAATTTAATCCGCTTGAAAATTAGAATCGTGACCTGCCTGACCATCTCAAAACTGAATTATGTGTGTTGAGGGAAGGTCCTGAACTAATCCAGCCTTCACTGGAGACTAAAATATACAATGGAACGATTGCAGGAACTGGGCCTGGCTAGTCTAGTGAAGAGAAGGACCAGGGGAGACATGATAGCAGTCTTCCAATATTTGAGGGGTTGCTACAGAGAGAAGGGGGTCAAGCTATTTTCCAAGGCACTTGAAGGCCAGATAAGGAAGAATGGATGGAAAGTGATCAAGGAGAGATTCAACCTAGAAATAAGGAGAAATTTCCTGACAGTGAGAACCATCAACCGATGGAACAGAAGTTGCCTTCGGACGTTGTGGGAGCTTCATCACTGGAGGCTTTCAACAGGAGATTGGACTGCCATTTGTCGGGGATAGTGGGGTTGGACTAGATGACCTGCAAGGTCCCTTCCAACTCTTTTCATCTATGAATCACGTGAACTCCAACGCACCTAGTATGGCCCAAGATTTCAGCCACAGCTCAGTGTTTGCCCCTGTTCTTGCAGAACCCAGAAGCTGGCTTGAGGCAGGAGCAAGGAAGTTAAGCAGTTAAGTTAAGCAGGAAGTAAGATTGGGTTACAACCCCTCCTTGTTCCATCAGAGTGCTCATCTCAGTTGACCAGTGAGTTCAGAATGACCCCTTCTCTGTCCTTTTTTTTTTAAAAGTCAAAACAGAGATTGAGACGTTAGCCCAATTAAGCCACCATGCATTAATATACACCCGTGGATTAAAACTGTATTTTTTAACAAACTGGAAGCTAATGAGGGTTGTTGAACTAGTTAATTAACTGGCATTCGTGACTTCTTCCAACTATTTTTGATTTCTCCTCTATAAACGGAAGGTGGCCCTTCTTGGCTGAGATCAACCATGGCCAGATATTTCAAACCGTGCCTAGCGAAGCCTATTTTTGAAAGGATGTTCTTATGAAGAATGCCACTTGATTCCTGATAGAGGAGGGGATGAGTCAGAGAGTTAACCCTAAGTCTTCAGAGAACTTTTCGGCTTAATTGTCTTCGCTGGGAATTGAAGGGGAAGTCAAACTCAGACCTCCTGGAGAAAGGATTGTGTAGGGCAGGGGTCTGCAACCTTAAACACTCAAAGAGCCATTTGGACCCGTTTCCCACAGAAAAGAAAACACCGGGAGCCACAAAAACCCTTCCCGTGCCTGGCTATTTCTTGAGCGGCCACAAAACTAGCATATGTAGTTGAATTAAATATTTTGTTTCCTTCTGAAACTTTTCTTGGATTTATCCATGGTTGGCCTACCGGGGTTGAAAAGCTCAATAAATCGCGTGCCGGCGGGTTTCGCACATTGGCGGTTGTGACGCATATTTTGAGTGATAGGGAGCCGCAGCAGAGGGGTGAAAGAGCCACATGCGGCTCCAGAACCACAGATTGGTGTAGGGTATGGAAAGATACGCGTGGAGGGTGAAATAGTTGGGTCCTTGGTCTGATCCAGCCACCAGACTTTTTTGTCCCAATTTTACTTGGAGATAGGTTGCATTCAGAATATTTTTGCATGCGGCAGTGCCGGAAACTGGAAGAACTGGTCTTATGTTTTCCTATGTGAGCATGTGCGCCTGCCAGCTGATCGTTATGTGCGCATGCACCCCAGAAACCCGGAAAAGTAGCTGGCTGAAACCGGAAGTTCAGTAGCTGAAACCGGAAGTTCGTTTTTGGGCTCGCGCATGCATCCTGGGCAGCTCCTCTTCCGGGTTGTGGCCCAGATGTGCGTGCACGCTCCCTTTTTGGCACTTGGTGCCGAAACAGTTCGCCATCATTGCTCCATACTATTATAGACAAATGGTTGTCCAATTCCTTCTTAAAAGCCTCCAGTGTGGAGCATCCACAACTTCTGGAGGCAACTTGTTCCACTGGTTAATTGTTCTGTCAGATAGTATGACTTCTGTCATTTAAGTCTTGTAGTAGAGAGCTTAGGAAGTGTCTTATCTACTAAATCAGAGCATTAGTACATCTGACTTGGTACCTGTTAACTCAGGTGGGCAACAGCTTTCTGGTCTCTTAAACCGAGATCTTTCTACCACTTGATTGACTCAACTGGAAGACGAGGAAGTTGGATCTGGCTCTTGTGCCATGTACAGTACTTCCATTATTTATTTGATTTTTATTTATTAAATTTATTAGCCGCCCATCTTACCACAGGATAACGCTGTGCTTCTTCCTAACCTCTTTAAAATTTCCTCCCCAAAAACTAAGGTGCGTCTTATACTCTGGTTCGTCTTATACTCCAAAAAATACGGTAGATGTAGAGGCAGATGAAACACTTAGATCCGTGATGGTGAATCTATGGCATGCGTGCCGGAAGTGGCATGCAGAGTCATCTCTCCAGGCACGCGAGCCGTCACCCGTTGCTTTTCCGGGTTCCAGTGCGCCAGCCAGCTGGTTTTCCGGTTACTGGCATACATGCGCGCATACGCAAAGACCAGCTGACAGGTGTGCATCTGCGCGCTGGAAACTGGAAAATCATCCCCTCACATGTGCACTGGTTTCCGGCACGCGTGCACTCCTGTTTTGGCACTCGGTGCCGAAAAGGTTCGCCAACATTGACTTAGATTAAACATGAGTGATGTAAAAGGACGTAGGGTTCCAGCCAGGGGAAGAGCAGGTGAGATTTGCTAAAAGGTCAGTAAGAGTTGAAATACTAAAAAGGGCAAGAGATGATGGATAGATTAACAGAATACTTTTTTAATATGGGACTTGTTTTATTCATGATTAGAAAATAGAGATAGAAATTAGAAATCAGGAAAATATTACTGAGCATACTGATATAATACATTTTTAATAATAAATATATGTAAACATTAGAAATTGATAATTATTATTATTATTATTATGCATGTGCAAATAGTATTATTAGTATCTTTATTATGTGTAAAATAATTTGACCCGGACAATACTTTGTTCACTAAGCACTTATGGATGTTATAGAAAAAAGTATTTTAAAAAATTAAGAAAAGAAAAGAAATCTATGGGCCAGAGAAGTTCATCCAGATGATCAGTGAGGAACTGGATGTTATGTCTTCTCTGGGGGTTGGGAGTAGATTTCTTCACCTGAAGAAGGGAAATTCTGGCATCCCACATCTTGAGCTCAATTGTATCTGAAGTCTGCATCTCTTGGCTGGAACCATTTAGGCCATTTCCCATGGCTACTCTCCCTGGTGCAGTTTAGGGAGGAAGGCGGTGCAGGTAGGATCTTTATCTATTGGTTCATCAACTCAAGAGTTGCTTCTGTGGGTTGACCTCTTTTTAATCAGACGAGTCCTCAATCTACCCATTGACACCCCATCCCCCCACCGGAAGGAAGAACCTAGAATCTGAATTATGTCATCAACTGCCGTGAACGTAGAGAAGACGGCCTGTAGTTTTTACCCTGAGAAAAAAAAAGAAAGCAGATCCATCTAACCTAGATAGGCTCCATCTTTGGGCTTCATTCGAATGGCCAAAGCTACTTTGAGGGGGGGCCTCCCCCTTGAGCTGAAAAACGGAGCGCCAGGAGGAGTCAACCCCAAATAATTACGTGGCTTTCTTTTGCCCTCTCTGGACTGTCTCAAGACAGTACTATGGGATAAAATACCACGATATCTAATAAACCACCATGAAACAACAAACCCACTTCAACAGCTTTCACTTTCTCCCTCTCTTCTCTCTTTCTGAACGCGATTCTAAGACGTCGTTTAAACCATGTTTCATCACAGAAAAAGGGGGAAAATAAAAATGGAAACAGAAATACCTTGGGTTGGACCATCGGGGTAGTAAGACAGGTGGAACAGCAATTGTCCAGGAGGCCAATGAGGTGTGGCCCGGCAGCTGGATTCCCTAAGTGACCAGTTGACCAGGAAGTGATGTTGGGATGAACAAATCTCTATTGTTCCGTTCCGTGTTGCATTCTCAGCTGTTCTTCCAGCGTTCTACTCCTTTGTGTTCTGTCTCCATGTCTCAGAACAGGTTGGTAGTACCTGGTAAATACAAGGATAGTAGGAACCATGGTAGCAGGAACTAACGAAGTGGTGAGGCTCTTCGAATTGTTAGTCGATACTTCCTTGCGGTAAACTAATTGCCTTTTCACCCAAATGATAGAGACCGTAGGCAAGCAAGACACGAAGTCCCCAAAGCTTGACAATTCCAGAAGATAGGTAGGATGAGAAAAAGCCAACAAAAGATGAGACAAGAACTTTTCATAGAAAGCCATGCCTAAGGTATTTAAGGTATTAAATAAATAAAGCCAGGCCTAAGCTGGCTGGCTGGAGAATTCTGGGAGTTGAAGTCCACAAGTCTTAAAGCTGCCAAGTTTGAAGACCTCTGCAGTAGATGCTGGGATAAAAGTTATTGAAATATTTGTTGACGTGAGTTTATGCTCAGTGGCTTTGTCGCTCTGAATGGTCGCTAAATGAACTGTTGTAAGTCTAGGCTTACCTACGTATGCGTTACCCTCGATGTGTGTAAACAGAGCGGCTTTCCAAATATCTCGCTGGCGTCCTGCCGAAGGGAATGCTGGTGGGTGCTTAAAATAGCTCTCGGGGTGTTGCCAGGAGGCAGAAGAAGGGCTGCCCGCTTGAAATGATGCACCAGCCAGCCCCTTTGGAATTGACCACTTTCTCCTTGTCCTCCACAGCTGGTCGCCTCCATCGTCTTCATCAGTTTCGGGGTCATCGCTGCCTTCTGCTGCGCGATTGTGGACGGCGTCTTTGCTGCCAGGCATATTGTGAGTACTAGGGATCCAGAGGGCGGGAAGTTGGCAAACGCCCAGCCTTGCCTGCACGGAGTCGGGCGCGGGGAGTCCTCGGCTTCACGATGGCCGGTTTTCGCAGTGTTCCTCCCCCCCTCCCCCCAAGGTCTCGTGATCCGAATTCGGGTGCTCGGGCACCGGCACGGATTGATGGATGATGGTTGCATTGTCCCAGGGTTACTTCAGAGGTGGGCTGCTGGGGGTTCGCAGGAGTTCGGGAGAATTTCTAGCTAAGATTCAGTTCGGAGAACCCCCAAATCCCACTCCTGGCTGGCCCCACCCACTCTGCCCCTCCCAGGAGTCCCCACGCGGTCTGTTTTGGATGCAGGTAAGTGCAGGGCACACGCGGAGGCTGAGGGAGGGCGAAAAACGGGCCTACTGGAAGTTTGGGAAGGCCTCTGGAGCCTGGGGAGGCCATTTTTGCCCTCCCGGAGGCTTGAGGAAAGCCTCCGGAGCCTGGGAAGGGCAAAAACACTCCTCCCGCCATGGTGCAGGAGGCCGACTAGGCCACGCCCACCATGGCCACACCCACCCAGCAACCAGACAGAGAACCTCTTGCTAAAGTTTTTGAAGTCCACCCCGTTACTTGATCGCCATTTCTGACCTCCTGACAAGTAAAGTTAATGGTGGGGAGGGGGGAGCCAGACTCACTTAACAAATGTGTGATTCACCAGCCCAAAATTTCTGTTGCTAAGCAAGGCAGTTTTCTTTACGGCCTTTCTTGCAACGGTTGTTAAGTGAATCACTGCCATTCTTAGTCGCAAGGTCATTAAGTGAATTGTGACTTCCCCGTTGACTTTGCTTGTCAGAAGGTCGCGAAAGGGAATAGCGTGACCCCAGGATACTGCAACTGTCGTAAGTACATGCCAGTTTCCAAGCGCCCAAATTTTAACCACGTGACCATGGGGGTACCGCAATGGTCGCTAAGTGTGAAAACTGGTCGTAAGTCACTCTTTTCACTGCCGCTGTAACTTTGAACGGTCGCTAAATGAATTGTTGTAAATCAAGGACGACCTGTATTGGTTACTACTTTTAATTTTACACTATGGACGTTTGAACTGTTTTAAAAAGCGGGGGGTTAAACTTTTCTTTTTACAGGACTTGAGGCCACTTTATGCAGGACGTTGTCACTACTATGCCAAAAGTACCACCCAGCCCAAAGTAAGTCAGACTGATTTCTTTTCCCTTCCAGAGCCAAATCTTCCTCTTCCTTTAGATATGTAGCTGTGATTTTATTTTATTTTATTTTATTTTATTCTATTCTATTCTATTCTATTCTATTCTATTCTATTCTATTCTATTCTATTCTATTCTTTTATTTTATTCCATTCCATTCCATTCCATTCCATTCCAAACTCATCAAGGAGAGAAGCAACCTAGAACTAAGGAGAAATTTCCTGACAAGGAGAACAATTAACCAGTGAAACATCTTCAGAAGTTGTGGATGCTCCATCATTAAAGGTTTTCAAGAAAAATTGGTCTGAAATGGTATAGCGTCCCCTGCTTTGAGCAGAGTGTTGGAATAGAAATCTCCAAAGTCTCTTCCAACTCTGTTATTTTATAATCCTATCCTTATAATATTATCTTAGAAAGAGTACAGAGAAGAGGAACAAAGACGATGAGGGGACTGGAGGGTAAAACATATGAAGAACGGTTGCAGGAACTGGGTATGTCTAGTTTAATGAAAAGAAGGACTTAGGGGAGACATGATAGCAACATTCCAATATCTCAGGGGCTTCCACAAAGAAGAGGGAGTCAACCTATTCTCCAAAGCACCTGAAGGTAGGGCAAGAAGCAATGGGTGGAAACTCATCAAGGAGAGAAGCAACCTAGAACTAAGGAGAAATTTCCTGACAGGGAGAACAATTAACCAGTGGAACATCTCCAGAAGTTGTGGGTGCTCCATCACTGGAGGTTTTTAAGAAGAGACTAGACAGCCACTTGTCTGAAATGGTAGAGGATCTCCTGCTAGAAGGGAGTCCAATGTCTCTTCCAACTCTTGTTATTCTGCATGCCCCAAGAAGGGCCTCTTCACTGCTTCTGTCTTTCCCGCAGACCGTTTGCCACCCGCAGCCTCGGAGTTCCTGCGTTCCAAAAATCAGAACCAACACCTGCTTTTGTTGCGACTTGTACCACTGCGGAAGGTGAGTGGCGCAGACGGCTCTGTAACATCACCAATAACTTGTCATGGCGGCTCTCAAGCTGAGACAGTTTTGTAGTCTCTCAAGGAGAGAAAGGCCATTTCTGATTGGGTTTCATGCTGGAAAATCAGGGACTGTATCTTCCACTGCATGTCTCTCTCTTGTCCTTTCAGATCTGGTTTTGATAGCCAAAGTGTTTTGACCGAGCTCCCCAAACACGACAAAACCTCTGTAGTTGAAGCAATGATTCCTTTATTAGGAGCGCTGGCAGTCCCGGCAAAAAGTTTATCTCATTGCAGGCTAATAAGTCCATCTGGCGGGAAGATGAATAGTTGTCTGCCACATCTATTCATCTCCGCCCCCTGCCTTTTATCCCCAGAGCTAGGAGTGGGGTTTTGCTAGCAGTGGTGGCTCTTCCAACACAAGGACCAGCCCATAGATTTCCAGTGCTCTCCTCTCCTCTGCCTTCTGCACATCCGTGTGTGTCAGGCACTGGACCCAGCTGTTCCTCCTCTTCCTCATCAGCCACCTCCAGATCTGGGAGCTGTTGATTCTCCATCTGAGGGCTGATGGACAGTCCAGGCTCCGCCTCTGTCTCTCCCTCTCTGCCAGCTCCACTCCCTCTTCCCTCTCGGAGCTCTCAGGTTGCCTTGATGCTGACACAGATTCACACGCCTCCTCCTCCTCCTCTGATTCAGCTGCTGGAGGGGCTGGCAGCCGACAGGCCACAACCAAATCACAAATGCCAGGTCCTCCTCCACAAGCAAACCTGGTTTGCCTCGTTAGCTGATGCCCCCAAAATGGTCATTTGGGCCCTCTTGAAGTCTTATTCTTTTTTTTTTTTTTAAATTTGATTTATATGCCACCCTTCTCCGGAGACTCAGGGCGGCTTACAATGCGCTAAGCAATATCCTTCATCCTTCTGTATATATTTATACAAAGTCAGCTTATTGCCCCCACAAACTGGGTCCTCAATTTACCTACCTTAGAAAGGATGGAAGGCTGAGTCAACCTTGAGCCTGGCGAGATTCGAACTTACTTTAATTGCAGACAGCTGGTGTTCAATTACAATGCATTAGTCTGCTGAGCTATCCAGGCTCCTAGATATTCATCTAGATTCCCAATCTTACATATCGTTCGCGAGTTACGACCGTGATGGGGCCTTCCCCTCACAGTTGTAAATCAAGTCACCCATGTCGCTGACTCAATTTTATAATCTTTTCTGTCATCGTTTTTTTAAATCTAGGAGGCTGGGAGGTTTAGCTTTGATACCGTTGAGAACATTTGCTTCTTTCTGTCCAACAGGAAGGAGATTTCCGGCGGCTATTATGAATTCATCGATGTCAACAGTTGCCAAGATATCGTCCATCTCTATCATTTGTTGTGGTCGGCAACAGTGTTGAATATCTTGGGTTTGGTTTTAGGCATCATCACGGCGGCCGTCCTGGGTGGTTTTAAAGATATGGTAAGTCCGAATGCTGGTAAGGTGGACAGGTGGTCCTCGACTTATGATCACAATTTAGTCCAACATTTCTGTTGCTAAGGAAGGCAGTTGTTAAGTGAGCTGTGCCTCATTTTATGACATTTTTTGGCCACCGTTGTTAAGCCAATTGTTGCAGTTTTGAAGGGAATCATGCAGTTAAGGGGGGAGGGTGACCAGTCTTTAGGATCTGGAGGACTTACTCCGAGCATAAACCCCAATGAAATGAAGTAAGGAGTGATGGAAAGAAAGGACATGTGGACTTCAACTCCCAGAATTCCCCAGCCAGCATAATTCTCAAGCATGAACCCGAAGACAAGCCATCAAACGAGGTAGGAAGTGATGGAAAGGAAGCAAAACTCAAATACGAAGTAGGAGATGTAGGAAGCAGATCAAGGGTCTGCCATAATATGGCTGGGGAATTCTGGCCTTCCAATCTTCCGATCAGATCATAATAGTTTTCTCCGCTCTTGTTTTCAGATTCCCGCTCATCCGACTCTTACCTGCACGGTTGAAAACACCCGGCCCGCTGTGTCCTATTACTCACGACCCCAGGTGACCTCGTATAACACCTATCACAGCACGCCTCACCTGCCGCCGTATTCAGCGTATGACTTCCAGGTACGGTAGCCCGGGCAACCTTGGTCTTCAGCCCCATCCAGCTGGGAGCAAATTCTCTTCCGTTGAAAGCTCTTTTTCTTTCAAGGAAACGCTTGAAGTTACAACGGCCCTGCAAAAGGTGACCGCTGGCCGTGTTGACTTTGTTGCAACATCCCCACGGTCACATGATCAACATTCAGAAGTTTGGCAACTGGCATGTACTTATGACAGTTGCAATGGCCCGAGGCGGTGGTGTCACGTGATTCCGATTCGGACGAGCAAAATCAGTGGGGAAGACAGATTCACTTAACATTATATTGTATTTTATTCCAATAGAAATAGAAATAATAGAAATAGAACAAAACAGAACAGGAGCAGAGCGGAGCAGAGCAGAGCAGGACAGGACAGGAGCAGAGCAGAGAAGAACCAAACAGAACTGAACAGAACCACAGCAGAACAGAACAGAGCAGAACCAGAGCAGTACAGAACAGGAGTAGAGCAGAACAGAGCAGAGCAGAACAGAACAGGAGCAGGGAAGAGAAGAACCAAACCAAACCAGAGCAGAACAGAACAGAACAGAACCAGAGCAGAGAAGAACAGGAGCAGAGCAGAGAAGAACCAAACCAGAGCAGAGCAGAGCAGAGCAGAGCAGAAGAGAACATGATTCTTTATTGACCAAGTATGATTGGACAAACAAGGAATTTGTCTCCGGTGCATAAGCTCTCAGTGTACATATAAATGGTATGAAGTTTCCTGCTTGAGCAGGCGGTTGGACTAGAAAACTTCCAAGGTCCCTTCTATCTCTGTTATTTAATTTTTTTCTCTCTCTCTTCTGTTCCCCTTGTAGCATTCCAGCCTCTTTGCAACCTCCAGCCCATCCGGCCTGCCGGAGGATCTGCTCTCGTTACCGCCCTCGCCGAGCTTGGTCTGGTCCCCAACTGGTGCCCCACCTCGTTACTCCCCACCGTATTTTCCACCTTCCGAAAAGCCGCCCCCTTATTCACCGTGAAGACCGAGGAGAAGGGGGAAGAGGATGCAGCCACCTTGAACTACACACAAATCTTTGGAAGAAGCAAACCGGCACGCCGGACCTTTCCTCAGTTTCCCTTCTGTACCGGGAGCCTTGCATCCATCACTCTTGAGCTGGGGGGGGGCTCAAAATTTGACCACTTTTAAAACATGTGGACTTCCGACGCCCATGGCTGACTGGGGCATTCTGGGAGTTGAAGTCCACACGTCTTAAAAGTTGTTGCCGAGTTTGGAGAGATCCCTGCTGAAGGGTGATCAAAAGTGCCCTGGATCCTCGCTTGTTTTTAAAATGACGGTGGGAGATTTAACCGTGGCCTATTTTTTTAAAAAAAGAATTAGCTTTCTTCTCGTGCTCTCTTTGAGCGAATTGCTTGTTAAAAATAGCCTTTTGGTGATCTGGGAATTAACTTCAGCTCCTCAAAAATTGGACGCCTTGGTCAAACTGTCGAATGGACAGCGCCGTGCATTTCCCAAACCGGCAAATTTATTTATTTGACCCAAATGACTCTGCGAATTGGAATCCCTGTGGGTTTACGATAAGACTCCTACAAAGCCCATCATTGTTCACCGCTAGAAATGATGGGAAGTTCAGCCCTGTAGCCGAAGGAGCAAAATTTCTCTCCTGTTCGTTTCGAGAAAGTCGGAGTGCATGAAATTAATTCTTTAAAACAGGGTGTGGAGAACGGAGAGACAGCCGAACGACAAATCTGCAAAATGGCCAAGAATGAATGCAGGGTGGTTTATGGATTTCAGTCCTGCTGATTGAAGAGGCAGCCCTATCCTGACACCCAGTGGTAGATTCATCGGAGTTGTGCTGGGAAATTAAAAAAAAAAACAGATTTCTTTTCTTTGAAATAAGAGAAAAGCTATCCCGGTGTTATTCAACCTTGGCACCTTTAAGATTTGTAGACTTCAACTCCCAAGAACTCCCCAGCCATTGGGAAAACTATATGCTACTGAAACTCTTATTGTGGTGGTCTTTAACTGGATGAAACAGTGCCTCATAGGGTACCTGTTTTTGAACCAAGGTACCTCAAATGGACTAATTTACAGAAATGTGTCCAAAATCCAGGACCTATCACTTCTTTAGGGAATGAAATTTGGGGAGATTGTGACTGCTTCGGTTTTATCAATTGCTGCGGTCCTGCAGGGATGCTGCTGCGGTGATGAGATCTTCCTTTTCAATGTTCCGTGACAGTTTCCCAGGCAGTCTAGCAATCCCTTGCTGCCTCCTCCACCTAACAGCAGCCTGGTACGGGGAGGAAAAAAAAAAGAATTGGTCCCATCAACAGCTATAGCCATTACATCTAAATTTGAGGTTTCTTTAAAAAAAAAAGAAAAAAGACTTGGAACAGGTGCCTCTTTTATACGTGTGTGAGTGTGCATGTGCACACCTGGAAACTTTGCATGAATAAATGAATATTTCTACCGCTTTGCACGTTCGGTTTACTTGCTTCACACCCAAGAGGTGCTTTGTTGAAAATTTGGAAGCACAAATTGTGACGTCGGGACGAAAAGATCGTGCACCTCAAAAACAGGGTGTTTTTTTTACTTGTAGCATTTCTGGATTAAACGCTCTCACCCAACATGCATTAAAGGCATTGGGGCTGACAGGAGCCATGGCTCAATCTAGAGAGAGGGCAAGGGCAGATACGTGTATGATTAATGCCACGATACAATGCTATAAATAAACGACCCTTTTTGTTATAAGACCACACATGGTAAGTTTCATGAGCGTGCCACTTTCCAAACTTCTCATCTTAAAGCTGTGTTGGCGAACATTTTCGGCACCAACTGCTGAAACGGGAGCGCGTGTGCGTGCGCCCACACATGCCAGAAAATGGAAGAGCTACCCAGTGTGCATGCGTGCACCGGGAAGATTATCGTTTAGTTTCCGATACACGTATGCACACCGACCACCTGGTCTTCCAGTTTCTAGCACGCATGCGCACACAAAGAGCCTTGGCAGTACAGTGGTCTAAGGCACCCTGTTATTAAAGCTGGTTATTAAGACCAGCTGCCTGCAATTACTGCAGGTTCGAATCTCGCCAAGGCTCAAGGTTGACTCAGCTTTCCATCCTTTCAAAGGTAGGTAAAATGAGGACCCAGATTGTGGGGGCAATAAGCTGACTTTGTATAAATATACAAAAGGATGAAGGCTATTGCTTAACGCATTGTAAGCCACCCTGAGTCTCCGGAGAAGGGCGGCATATAAAGCAAATAAAAAAAAAAAAAGACCAGCTGGCCAGCACGCCGGAACCCGGAAGACCAACGGGCGACGGCTTGCGTGGCCGGAGAGATGGTTCTGCGTGCCACTTTCAGCACGCGTCCCATAGGTTCGCCATCACGGTCTTAACGACTTTGAAAACCGAGCTGTATAATTTTAACCGATGTGCCCCAAAATCGGTAAACGTAAATGGGTTCCAGAATCTTTGGGGGCATCACCTCAAGTTGATGCTTTGATATCATTGCAAACTCAAAAAGTATGCGTCATCCTTGGCCTGTGACCGTTAACATTGCTCGTCCGTTGTGGATATATATATATTGTAACAGCTGTAAAACGGATGGGATGTTAAGCAAATTTGCAGTCGCGAATTTAAACCTCGCAGTCATCAAACCAACCGGTGATTTTCTCTGGGTGCAGTTTTGCTGAAAACAACAGTGCCAGTTTTGGGCCAAAGCATCGTGAAACATGATCACGTGACTATGGAATCCTGAAAACGGCTTTACAATGCACCCGTGTTGCTGCAGGGGACCCAAAATTAGGTCACGTGACTGCAGAGGGAGCCTGAGTGTTGTAACTTCAAATCTGGTCATAAGTCCCTTTTGTAGAATAGAATAGAGCTGGAAGGGACCTTGGAGGTCTTCTAGTCCACCCCCCTGCTGAAGCAGGAGAATCGATACCATTTCAGATAAGTGACTGTCTAGCCTCTTCTTAAAAACCTCCAATGAAGGAGCGCCCACGATTTCTGGTGGCAAGCAGTTCCACTGGTTAATTGTCCTCACTGTTAGGAAGTTTCTCCTTCATTCCAGGTTGCTTCTCTCTTGGATTAGTTTCCAACCATTGCTTCTTGTCCTGCCTTCAGGTGCTTTGTAGAATAATTTGACCCCCTCTTCTTTGAGGCAGCCCCTCAAATACTGGAATACGCTTTATCATGTTGCCCCTAATTCTTATCTTTAGACTAGCCAGACCTGCAGTCGTTTTTATTGGATTGTTTGCAACTTCGGTGGCTAAGCAACACAGTTGTTAAGTCGAGGACTACCTGGTACAGGCAATCCTCGACGTACGGCCACAATCGAGCCCAAAATTCCATGTTGCTAAAGCGAGACAGTTAATTGAGTTTTGCCGCATTTTACAACTTTTCTTGCCACAGTTAAGTGAATTTTGCTTAGCCAGGTCGCAAAAGGGGATCGTGTGCCTCCTCAGGACACTGCAACCGTCATAAAGAGGAGCCAAGGGTGTGAATTTTGATCACGAGACCGTGGGGACGTTGCAACAGTCATAAGTGTGAAAAGCAGTCACAAGTCAAACTGTTTTCAGTGCCGTTGCTACCGTGTTTTCCCAAAAATAAGACTTATATTAATTTTTGCTCCAAAAGATGCATTAGGGCTTATTTTCTGATTAGGTCTTATTTTGGGGGAAATACGGTACCAAATGCATCCATCTGGCTCACAATCTTATCTGGGGCTTATTTTGGGAGTAGGGCTTATATTACGAGCATCCTGCAAAATCATGCTAGGACTTATTTTCCGGTTAGGTCTTATTTTCGGGAAAACAGGTTATTTGAACTAAATGAACCATTATAAGTCAAGGACTAGCTGTATACATAAAGCCACCAGTGAGCAGACTGGATAGGGATCCTGAACCACGTATCCCGACCAGCACAGTCGACTTAAAGCAACAATGCCTTTCATTTTAGCCCGCAGGTCTGTGCAAAAGGACAAGAGATTTGATTCCAAATTACAGGGATGTAGAAAATAGAATAACGAAGAGTTGGGAAGGGACCTTGGAGGTTTTCTAGCCCAACCCCTTGCTTAGGCAGGAAACCTTGTTGTAAAAAGAAAAATAAGAAACGTTTGCACCTCCGCAGAATTGAAAGGGTTTTATTTATTTATTTATTTATTTTGCCATACAAAGCTCTAAGGACTAAAAGTCAAGTATTGGTTAATGAAAAGCAGAACAACAAATTCCCAGAAAAAGGTATGTTAAGGAAAAAAGCTGTACAACTATATACATTACAGTACTGTATTGATAAAATAATAAAAAATAATAATAATACCGCTCTGTAAAAACTGCCGTTGAAATAAAACCACTGCCCCCTTTTCTTTTCTTTTCTTTCTTTTCTTTTTTTTTTTTTTTTTGCATATTTTGTTTTGCTAATAAGTGATAACGCTTCGGTAGGAAATAAATTAAACCAACTACTGATTTTTTTTTTTCCTTATTAATCTCGTCATATACAGAAACGCACAAACGCATATTCGGCGCAAAGCCACTCTCGAAGGGGAGTCGAGCTCTCTCTCGCTCTCTCCTGCCCCCAATATAAACAAATTCCTAACTCAGAAATATCTGCGCAAAAAAAACCCCCCCAAAGTGGTAAAATATTGGATTTATACAAACTTCAGGCAGACACAGCCACATCTGAATTCTGTCAGATGCCCTCAAAATATCTTCTCTGCAACGATTCAGCAAATGCTGAATTTTTTCATCCTGTTATACGGCATGCAACAGTTTTTGAAACGAGGGGGAAAACCTAAAAGAAATTTAAAAAATTAGGGGTTCTTGCAGTTGTGTCTCTGTTTAGGATGGGGAAATGTATAACATTGGTACAGCTGAACTCAAGCAGAACTATTTAAATCAAGCATTGTTGCTCCAAGAAAGAACATACTTAGAATGATTTCACCTGCTGTGATCATTTTTGCTTTAGATTTTGAGGCTGTACTTCACATTAATCTCTTTAGTAAATGTGATTTTTGGGAGGTGGGGAGGAAGCAAGGGGAATCTTTCTCATTTAGTAAATGTTATTTAGATGTGTTCTTTCCAGAGCTGATGCTGTGACCCTTTTTTACAAAATGGAAAACAGAGAAACTGAAAAAAAACACCAGATGGTGTTTTTTTTTTTTAAACTATAGATAGCGTCAATCAAAAAGGAAACCAGCATTCTTCCAACGCCCCGTAAAGCAAAAAAAAAGACTTTACGGCAACGTAATAAAGATCTCTTTAACTTTGGATATTGAAACTTTCCTTCCTAGGAAAACCAAAATACATGTATTTGGAAAACCAAAGAGACAGCGTGTCTTCCTAACAAGATAAACAGCTTTGAAACTTCGTCTTTTCAGTTTGGAAATTAAAAAAAAAAAACAGACACTTTCAACAGGCACTGATTTAATTACTGGTTATCAGGATTTTTTGGGAGGGGGAAATAGCACGGTCAAGATGGAAGTTTGATTGATCTACAGCAACACGGTGGGTTTAACTTAGGAAACAACGTAACATCCTTTGCTATGGGCAGCTGAATGAAGTTAAGTTTCAGTTTATAAAATGCTACGGACACCGGTGTCTCCGGAAGAGGACAAATATACCGGAGATCGACTAAATTATTTATTTAAATAAAGTCCCACAAATTATTTCATTTAAGTACGCAACGCCAATTTTAAAAGATCGCTTCCATTTATAAAAAAAACAAAAAAACCCCAACCTCCTAGCCATAATCAAACACCATCTCAACTCTACAGAAAAAAACATCATACAGAGTCACTTCGCTTTCTTCCCGTTATTAGAAACACGAGCTGCTCTTTTTCGGCGTGATTTCCGTACATGATTTTTTTCTCTCTCTTTTACTCCACCGCAGAATTTCATTCACTTTCCTGGCTGAAAACACAACGTTAAAGAAAAAAAGAAACAAACAAACAAAAACGACACAAAATTAAGGACTAGGAATGACTACTCCGAATACAAAATAGAGACTTCAGAAAAGGGGGAAAAGAAGAAGAAGAAAAAATAGTTAAAAAGTGATGAGGACAGTAGATTTTCATGACAAAGCACCAATCGCTAACTAGTTTTTATTCATCATGGTCCTTTTCGACCTTCTATAACACCCACTCCAAATATTGTAATTTACAAAAAAAGGGCAAGAGATTATTTGACAAAAAAAAAAAATACCCCAAAGCTACATGGCTCTTGACCACTTCTGTTATTTGCTCAAATCGAGATCCTGCTTATCGCCCAACAATGGAAAAGGATATTCCCAATTTGCAACGAAAGGGAAAGCATGACCACAAAAGGAAACCTCAAGACTAGCACATCTGCTCCCCCACCTCCCCCCAAAAAAGCCAAACCCCTTTTTCCGTGTGGCTGCTGTTAAAAAAAAAACCACGAACTAACTAGTAGTCTCTCTTTTAAAAGTTACCAACTCAGTTACAGAGCAAAAAAACAACATTATCATTTGCCAAAGCTGCTTTGGTAGGAAGCTTCTGAACTGTTCAGGGCAAAAATCTACAAAATTAGATTTCTATTTTTTTTTTCCTCCTCCCAGGGAATAAGACGGGGGGGGGGGGAGAGAAAATTAAGGTTCATTACATTACATTAACCTGCTTCTCCTGTAGAAAAAAAAAAAATCCTGATCTTATATTGTCTTCCATCTACCCTACCGAGTCAAAAAATAATAATAATAATTGTGAAATACAATGGTCCAGCCACTGAGTTAAGCTTAATCCCCGGGATAATAAGAACGAGTGTTAACGTTTTCCTTGGAGAAACCTTCTCTTTAAGGACGGCCCACGTGCATTACCAACAATGTATAATTGTTTATTTCAAAAAGCCAATGAGAAATGGCTATGCCTCTTTTGCATGGTTTCGTGCAGAGGTGGTATTCAGCCGGTTCGGATCGGTTCGCCCGTACCGGTAGCAGAAATCGCGGGTGGCCCCGGCTCTATGCCATCCTATTTAGCCACATTTTTGAGGCCTGGTGCATGCGCGGAAGGCATGGGCACCAGCATAGCGGATACGCGGAAGGCCCCGCGCGCCAGCATAGCGCATACACGGAAGACCCCGCGCGCGCATTCACCTTTGCAAACCGATAGGGAAAGTAACTGAATACCATCCATTTTTCGTGAGAGCAAGCATGATTTGGACCCTTATAACGTTCAGTTGCAGGAACGCACTGATTTCAATTTAAACAAAAAAGATTCCCCCCCCGGCCCCTCCCACAACATCAGCAAGAAAATCTAGCTGCGTGCCTGTTTTGTAGTCACAATGGAACCCTTTTCAGCATTAAAGTGCTAACATGAAAATAGAAGTAAGTGGTTCAAGGAAGAGAGATATATATTCCTGTTATTCTACACCTAACCCGGGGAGGGGGGGCGGGGAGTCTCCGAACGGGTAACTTTTTATATTTTGATCCGTACGAATAAACGTCGAAACGCCTAACTTCCTAAGCGTCTTTTCACCTGTATTCAAGTATCGTTTTATTTCCTGACCAATTTTTTGTTCACAAGTTCAAAGGTTATTACACATATTATCTAATTTTAAAACACTACCGTAGGCTAAAGGTCGAAGAAGAAGCACGTGGACGTGTTCCGTAATAGGAGAGGCTCTGCAGATGCTTCCGAGCACCCCGTTGAGAAAGAGCTCTGATTTTTTTTTTCTTTAAAACAACCAACAACCACAAAAACTTTCCTCCCCCTTTTGATAACAAAACAGAACATTTTTTCCCATTTTCGCAACACCTTCAGTAAGATTCTGGTATCACGAACTCAAATTCGGAGGTGCCGTCCGATGGGTTTTGTTTAAAGAGGGATTCATTTGCTTGCGGGACGAAGATGTCGTCCCAAGTCATTGGCTTCACAGGTTGGTTCGGGACCGGTTCCTGAGGGGTCTCTTTTGAAGGACTGCCAGAATAAACCAGGGCATTGTCATTGGCAACCGGGATATTGTTGGAATTCCCCGAAATGTATGCGTAATTTCTGATCTGCAAAGACCGGCACGGATGCAAACGATACAGCTTGGATTCCCCTGAAGGATCTTGGCTGTGAACCGATCGAAGATGAGTGGCCATCACCTGATAATTGATAAAACATTGGCCGCACGCCAAACATTGGTACCGCCGCTCCCCGGTATGATGGATTTCGTGTTTGGTGCGGTATTCCGCCAGAGGGAAAACCTTCTCGCAGTAACGACAAGGGTATTTCTTCTCCCAGGAATGAACGTTGAAGTGTCTCCGCAAACTGGTGAGGCAGACATAGGACCTACGACACACAATGCAGATGTAGTAGACTTTTCCGTCCATAATCAGCTCGTAGTGATCGTCGTGCTTGACTTTCAAGCGCTTGCGGTTGGCGGAATCATTGCCCGAGGTACGTGGCACGTCGTCCAGCCGAACTTCTCCGTCGGCCTCATTTTTCACCGGGATGACAATGTCGTAGGTGTCTTCACCAATGTTTGCATAAACTTTGCAGCCGGTGGACAAGCTTTCTATCTCTGACGCTTTGTCTAACGTGATGGTCTTCTGCCCTTCAGTGATATGCTTCGGCGCAACATTTGGGGGAGCATCCTTGAGGCCTCCAGAAAGAACATCAGAAATCTGGATCTTGAATTCGTTGGGTTGGGAGACGGGTTCCGGCGGGAAGTTTACAACTTGCTTCTTCTGGGCTGCTGTGCTGTCAGCCGCAACGGTAGGTTTCGGAGTCGTGGGCTGCTGGACCAGAGAACTGCTGCTTGCCGAACCGGGACTGGATAAACCCAGGATGTCGTCATCATCTTCCACATCTTCCTCTTCCTCTTCTTCCTCATCGATGACGTTGGTTTCCATGTCGGTTAAGGAATCGTTGGTGGATGGCTGCTGATTCTCTTCGGGAATAGGCAACACCTCTATTTCGTGGGAAGAACCAACCCCTGGAGCAACATCAACCTGCGATGAATTGAGCACAAGGACATTTGGAGTCGTGGTCTTTGGAGCCGGGGGAGGAAGGGGGTCAAGAAGCTTTTGGTTTTCGGCGGGATTTGGAAGAACAGTTGATGAGTCAAGCCTTGGAGGTGCAGTTGCCACCGGTTGAGGGAGAGAATGACTGCTGGTAGAGCTGGCTACCTCAGAAGACCCAGAGGCATTCGGGCAAGGCGGGATCTGGGTTATGACTTTGGTCTCCACAGCACGCTCCTTAGAAGGGACCAGCTCTGAGCAGAAAATGACGTCGTCGTCATCATCATCATCGGAATCACTAATGGTGATCTTGGTGGAGTCACACGGCTCCCTGTATAGGGAAAAGGATTCCGTAATGATAGGCTTCCCGAGTTTTATGAGTTGAGGCTCAGGTGCGGTTGTGGGCTTCTGGACTTTGGGCCCGTTTGCCTCCAGGATGGGCAACTCCGAAGCACTAGGTATGGCCTCCGAAGACATGCTCTTCACCTGTTGCAGAGGAACGCCCAGGTCGGCGAGAAATTTGACCCCTAGCAGCTCCCCCGATTTAATCAGTTCGTCGAGCAGATCCGATCGCACCCGGACAATTTTGGAACTGTAGATGTAGTTGAGGATTTCCGCGAAAACCTCCCCCCGGATGAAGTTCAGCTCGACGACTTGTCCTGCCACGGCAAAGAGTTGGTGAAAGTAAGTGCTGGAAGCCGAAAGGATATTCCGGTGGGCTCGAAACTTGCGGTCCTCCACGATCACAGTGACGTCGCAGAAAAGCCCGAGGCCTCGCTGCTCGTCCAGCGCTTTCAAAAGCATGCCAGAATATTGGTTGTCAGTAGCGGTGATGAGCTTCCTGGTCTCCATCCCTGGAACAAAGAAATAGAATCAAAATTCCTTTCTATTGTACAAAGTTAGCACCCACCCCGCTCCTAGAAGAATGAAATATTTTGAGAAATATTAAAAAGGCAGAATATTATATTTTCCTGGATGAGAAACGGAGAAACATGTTTTTTTTTTAGAGGCAGGAAGTAGACTCACTCTTAATAGCTCCTACCTTTCTTAACAGCCCTCAGCAGATGTCAGCACTTAAGAGAAAGATAGATAGATAGATAGATAGATAGATAGATAGATAGATAGATAGATAGCTCTATTCATAAGCAAATTCCCTGCAGCAAGGTCTGAACAAAGGTAGCGTTAGCCCTCAGCCACAATAGGAATTGCCCAATAAACCCCTTCATTGCATCAGCCCAAACCTCAACCAAACCTAGCTCAGACAAACATGACCCCTACATGGGCCCATGGGAGTGTGACAACAGCCAATAGAATACATGCTCTTGCACAGGAACAGGAAGCTCAAATTCAAAGCCCAAAGGAAGGTATAAACTCCCCCCTCTCAACTCCATTTTTGTCAGTTGCACCAGAACCATAAACCCGTGTGATTTTGCTTCATCATTAAACCATCTTTCCAATTGGCCTCCATGTTTCCAGTATCTTTCTCCCAGCTTGGAACTGAACCAGATGGATATTCCTTCCAACACGACTAAGGAAAAATTCCTTTTGAACTAAAATAAAAAAGCTTGAAATGGTATATACATTGCTATTATTGCCACTCTAGGATAAAAATGCAATGTCTTTATTTAGCCCATTAAAAGTAGGGATTCCTGATGGAGCTGAGGGAGGAGATAAAATGAGAAATGCAACTTGCAGAACCTGAAGGTTAGTAAGGGAATTTGACAAGCAACGTTAAGGCGTGATGAAACACATCCACAGATTAACACACTCAAAACAGGAGCTGGAAACAGGCTGCATATATTTCTTCACTGTTATTTCTCAACAGCTGCTAATGTGTTGGCCTTACTAGGGGTACGTGACATGGGCCAAAAAGTGCCAGGCTCTGAACTACCACACCAGCGGTGGACAATCCTGAATAGGCTTCGCATCTCGTGTCAGTATTTGAGGGGCTGCCACAAAGAAGAGGGGTGTGTGTGTGTGTGTGTGTGTGTCAGATTATTCTCCAAAGCACCGGAGGGCAGGACAAAAAAATAATGGTTGGAAACTGATCAACGAGGGAAGCAACTTAGAACTAAGGAGAAAGTTCCTAACGGTGAGGACAATTAACCAGTGGAACAGCTTGCCACCAGAAATTGTGGATGCTAAAACACTGGAGGTTTTTAAGAAGAGACTGGACAGTCGCTTGTCTGAAATGGTATAGGATCACCTGCTTGAACAGGGGGCTAGACTAGAAGACCTCCAAGGTCCCTTCCAGTTCTATTCTATTCTCACACAGCGTCTGCCCTATGAATGGGGTACAGCATAATCTCAATTGTAACCGTGGGGCCCTACATCAAACTGTAGAACACTGTGATTATCTGTAAACTGAGGGCATTTATCGGTCCAGTATCAGATATTTTTCATATATAGGTAGTCCTCAACTTACAACTGAGCCCAAAATATCACTTGTTAAGTGAAACGGTTGTAAAGTGAGTTTTGCCCCGTTTTATCACCTTTCTTGCCAGAGAAAGTGAAATCACTGCAGTTGTTAAGTTAGTCACACGGTTGTTAAGTGAATCTGGCTTCCCCATTGACTTCGCTTGTCAGGAGGTCGCAAATTTCCTCTTCTTCCTCAAGAGAAAACATGTCAGATGGCACCTTATGCTTGCTATGCAGTGACAGACTGTGGGCAGAGGGAATGAAAGGGGCGGAATGCTTGGGAAACCGAAAGTAGCTGGTGTACCACCTTGAGAAGCTGCCTCAAGGTCACCCAGCTGGAAAGAGGAGGGACCCACAATTTATGAAAACATCTTGCATGGACTTGATGGGTTACACTGGGGTGGGCAATGAGGGCCAGTTAAAAGGGGTGAAGTAGAACTTAAGGGATTTTGGCCCACAATTCTCAGTTCTGGCTTTGCAATGCTGCAATTCAGGTAGTCCAAAATTGAGCCTGGAAGTTACGTTGCTAAGTGAGAAATTTATTACATGAGTTTTGCCGTTTCATGATTTTTCTTGCCGCATTTGTTAAGCAAACCACGGCACGGTCTGTTTTGAGCCTCTGATTCCACCATCTTTTAATTTTAACTTTTTGGAAAACGCTAGTAAGCCAGGAAGATGGCGAGTTTACAAACTGAAAAAAGAGAGAGAGAAAAACCTGTTGAGTAAATTACAAGGTGTGAAAGGAAACCTACAGTTTCAAAATGAGATTTAAAATAATAATAATAATTTAGGAATTTTATGAAAAATTATACGAGGAGGAAAAAATTCCAGCGGAAAAAAGAAATACAATGCTTGGAAAAAGCTAAACTACCAAAAAGTGCCTGAAAACTGTTAAAATTGTGTTCAATGATTCTACCCGCTATCCAGCTGCTACTAGGATGCCTCTTATCTGAGAGTTCCCTTGGGAGCATCCCTTGGCCGTCTTCCAAGGTCATTCCCATATAGATCATTAGATGATGCAAGAGTTGGTGCCTACTCTTTCTGCTTCTCCTCCTTTCGGGACCGCAAAAGCTTGGGAATTTTTTTTTTTTTTTTTTTTTGATCACGTCAAGAGATAGCTCCTTAAGGATTCTTCACAGGCAGACGAAATTGTTCTGACCTAGGCTTCCTTAAAAAGCAGGAAGCAGAGTCTTGGTCCCGGCAAAACCTCTTTTATTTACACGACTGTGAATTCCTTTCATTCAGTCAGCAAGGCCTGTCCAAACAGTTTTTCAAAGGAATATTTATCAACACAGACCTTATCTCGCTTGGCAAGCTGACACGTAACTAGTTTTCCAACACAGTACAAGGCAAAACTTGGCACAGAGTCACGGAACGAAAGAATTGTCTCCTGCAAAAGCCCACTCCCCTTTTGCTCCTCTTTTGTTTCCTATGGGAGGGGCCAATCACCTCCAAGGTGTAGCTTTACTCCCAAGTCGAACCTGCTTTCTTAGTTGTTCTTGTTTTCTGGCAGCTCTGCGCATGGGAACAGGCTCCAGTTGTTCCTCTGCCTCACTGCTGTCTAGCTCCCTGTCTGCCTCCGACACAGAGCCCTCGTCCGAGCTTTCCACAGCCCCCAGGACTGGCCCAAGTTCCTCCCCGACCTCCTCACTGTCCGACTCTGCTGCCAGCTCTGCTGGCCACCGGCGGGCCACAACAGAAATGTGGTTTTAAGGGAGGGAAAAAGCTAAGCCCTGGTTTGTAGAATGCACCGCAAACAGCTGGATTTGTTCATCTTGCTAAGCAAGGAAACCATCACGGTTTGCAAAGCACAATGCTTGTGCTTTTCCGCCATCCACTCAAGTCAAAAATCACTACGAATCACCTTTAAGGCGATGGGACAATATGAAAATCCAGTCGCTATTAAGCGTCCCTATGTTTTGGGGGTTGCATCGATTGGACAAAGCTTTCTAGCCAATCGCAGTGTCGCCTACCGGTTAAGTCAACTTATGACCACAACTGAGACCCAAATTTCTGTCGTTAAGTGAGCTCTGCCCCATTTTAACGAGCTTTCTCACCGCAAAAAGAAGTTGTGAATGCTCTTAACACTGGACGTTTTTAAGAAGACATTGGATAACCATTTGTCTGAAATGGTGTAGGGTTTCCTGCCTGAGCAGGTTGGACTAGAAACCTCCAAGATCCCTTCCAACTGTTGTTCTGTTCTGTTCTGTTCTGTTCTGTTCTGTTCTGTTCTGTTCTGTACTCTACTCTACTCTACTCTACTCTACACTCTAATTTCTATTGTTAAGTGAATCACTGCAATTGAGACATTAGTAATCCAGGTTGTTAAGTGAATTGGGCTTCCCCGTTGACTTTCCTTGTCCGAAGGTCGCAAAAGGGGATCACATGACCTCGGGACACCGCAACGGTCACAAATACGAACCAGTTGCCAAGCACCTGAATTTCGATCGCATGATCGCAGGGGTGCCGCAAAGGCCGTAACCAGTGGTGGGTTGCTCCCGGTTCGGGCGAGCCGGTAGTGGTGATGACGTGACGTCAGCGAACTGGTTCTCTATGACTGTGACCTGGGCCCTCCCGCCCACCTCCGCGTTATACCTACCTTTATTTGTTGTTTTTTTTAGCCCAGCTGATAGGCACGGCAGAGTGGATTGCTGCGCCTCAGCTGGGCAGAAATCTAATGCGCTTGTGCGGAGCGCACAAATGCGCAAAGCACGTGCGCGAAGAGAACCGGTGGTAACATCGGTTGGAACCCACCACTGGCCGTTAACTATAAAAGTCTTGGTAGTACAGTGGTCTAAGGCACCCTGTTATTAAGCTGGTTATTAAGATCAGCTGCCTGCAATTACTGCAGGTTCGAATCTCGCCAAGGCTCAAGGTTGACTCAGCCTTCCATCCTTTCTAAGGTAGGTAAATTGAGGACCCAGTTTGTGGGGGCAATAAGCTGACTTTGTATAAATATACAAAAAGGATGAAGGCTATTGCTGAGCACATTGTAAGCCGCCCTGAGTCTCCGGAGAAGGGCGGCATATAAATCAAATTTAAAAAAAAAAAAAAAAGTCGTAAGTCACATTTTATAACTTTGAATGGTCACTAAACGAGCTGTTGTAAAGTCGGGGACTATCTGTATTAGGGTAATAATAGCAGACCCGGCTGCTCTAGCAGAGAAATACGAAAAGAGGAACCATAAAAGAAGAAATATGGCATTTATAGGTACTGTCTACCAAGAAGAAGAGCCTAGCACCCATGGCTTTTCCCAAGCTCACAATGAAGGTTCTTAATTATGCTAAAATATACACTAATTTCTGTTTCTTAGACAAGGAACTCAAGTGAATAGTCAGGCCCCATAGTGGCTGGATTTAGTCACGCCGTGGGGCTTTCACCACCAGACAGAAAGAGCCACGAAGCGTCATTGTGTTGGTTTTTTTTCCTCGAGTTC